TAAAATCCATTTCATATCATTTCTGACTTCAAGGAAATTTAAAAAAAATTTTTTTTTTTTCTATTATGGGAAAACTTTCTTGCTAGTTGCCAAGTCTCTTTTATTACACAAGTGGTATAAATAATAATGGAGATACGGCTCTTGTATTTAGTAGTATATAAAGTCCTGTTGAAACATACTTAGTGTCAGTTCAGACACTGAGTAATAGCATTCATTAGTATCTGTGTTATGCATAAAGCAGTGATTAGTGATAAGACATTTTGAAAGTTGTGCACCAAACTAAATTTACACTAAGAGAACTCTAACAATGCAACCACAGCATAAGGTGTGAAGAGAGAATTTAAAGATACATTGAAGTCAACAAACAGTACAGACTATGAGAAACCTGATACCCATGGATGTTCCATTCCCTATCAAGCTCTGATTTGCCACTATCAGATTTCTGATTGTTCCTAAAATTGAAATAGGTGAAAGGTCAATATATTGTGCACAAATAGCTCAAAACTGAAAGACAAAATTTCTTCATAGGCAAAATGAAAAAAAAATGCACTAAATGGTGACAGAGGAAAAATGAAACTTGCAAAGTTGAAAAGAAATAATTTCATTTTGATACTGGTTCCATTATCCTAATTGTCTAAAACTTATTTTAGTAGATTAGAAAGCTTACTTATCAATATGTATGCATGTGTGTCTATATACTGGCTGTGATGGGTAAATTGTCACCATTTTATATTTTTAATTTTTGCACATGCGCATTGGTTGTTTTTAATTTTGTTGACAGCACAGTATAGTAGGGTCGGTTGGGCATTGTTCGTGAGAAAAAGAGCACCATGATGCAAATCACTCTGCCAGAAATTTGGAAACAGTATGCTGTACTGTTTTGCATTCACACTAGAAGCTCCATTTCAGAGTGTTTAGGTGTCAATCTGGGAACAATGTAGAGGATATATCCAGTCAACATCATGGTGTTTTGAGTGGTCACTAGTGATGGTGACATTATACCTCCATTCATGTTTCCACAGGGCCTCAAACTCAACACTGAGGCCTACATCAAGTGTCTTGAGGAGGTAGTGCTGTGCTGGCCCTGGGTCAAGAGGTTGTCTGCTGGAAGATCATATCTCTGGCAATAGGACTCTGCACCATGCCACACAAGCAGACAATTTCTGCGACCACATCACCCCTTACATCTGCCCACCTAACTCTCCAGACTGCAACTCCCCCTAATTATTATGTGTGAGATGCAGTTAAGTGAGAGACCAACAAAACTTCTTGTAACACCAAAGATGAACTGAAAGCAAAGATTATGGCAACATTCACCAACAAGGAGACTGTCCAGAAGAGTGGCAGGAGATTCTGAAGTTGCCTGGCGGACGTGGTTGAAATCACTGGCGATTTTATTGAATAAATTTACTCTAGTATTTCAAGATATTTTTGTATAATTTTGGTTAATATATCTGTTAAAATCAGTTGTCAGTGTTATTTTCATTTTTGCATAATTTAGACAACAATGTGTGTGTGTGTCTCTATATATACTTAGTACAGAACAATGTGTGTGTCTCTCTCTCTCTATATATATATATATATATATACACACACACAGTACAGAACAATGTGTGTGTGTCTCTCTCTCTCTCTATATATATATATATATAGTACAGAACAATGTGTGTGTGTGTCTCTCTCTCTCTCTATATATATATATATATATATATAGTACAGAACAATGTGTGTGTGTGTCTCTCTCTCTCTCTCTATATATATATATATATATATATATATATATATACACACACACTTAGTACAGAACAATGTGTGTGTCTCTCTCTCTCTCTCTCTATATATATATATATATATATATATATATATATATATATATATATATATATATACTTAGTACAGAACAGTGTGTGTCTCTATATATACTTAGTACAGAACAAAGGTCAAATAACAATATAGAAATTGTCATCAGTGTTCAAAGTGATAAGAACTGGTCTGCCTTGAAAATCAGCATTTGAAATTCTGGGCTTGACCATTGTCACTAGTGTGAATGACATCTTGGTCATATGCCAACAATGTTCCTTATATTAATCATTTGATGCTGCCAAAGATAACACATTATCTATTAGCTCTGCCTTAAATATTGATAAATATTTTATGGTTTTAAACTAAAAGAAAATACCCCAAATAAAAATGTATTCCCTAATATTTGTTAAAATTGTGATTTAATATTGAATTAGCCCCACATCAAAAAGTGTCTCAAAGTACTTATCAAATGATTCTATCAAGCATTTTTTATATACAAAAAAAGAAAAAGTTGGAAAGTGAATTTAATATATAAATAGTTTAAACAAGATGAATTGGGATCAAATACAGATGATAATCTGACAGAATAAGATAAAGAACAAATAGGAAATGTTTATCAATCTAACAAAATAATGAAAGTGGAACATGTTAGATTGATAAATGTTTCCCATTTGTTCTTTATCTTATAAATCGTTCAGCAAAGCTAATTATGTAGTTTGAATTAACAACTGTAGCCACTTCTTTGACAGTCTGTTTTCTCTAAACCAAAATAATTTTCATTATAGCCTGAAGAGAATTTGATAATAGAAGTCATTTGGTCTGGTTGGGAAATATGAATTTGAATCTTTTTACAATTTCTTCTCTTAAAGGAATAAATTCTTTTGAATCTTTATTTCTGATCCCATCATACAGTTTTTCTTTTCAGTTATAAAATATTTTCTAATCAAATTGAAATATTGTGTTAGTAAAAAAATGCTAGGGCCTAAAATTAGTAGGCTTTTCCTTTTTGTTCATTTATTCTATTTCCTCTATTCTTATGTCATGTGTAAGCTTTGTGTTCACCTGGGTTTTTTTTTTTTTTTTTTTTTTTTTTTTTGTTATTATTCTTTTTCTTTGTTTTTCTTTTTTTATTATCTGAATTTATTTTGGTGGGAAGACATTTTCACTTTTTTTTTTTTTTCTTTTTTTTTTTTCTTTTCTTTTTTCATTGTGAAATTCTTCCTTTGGCATCATTATCCTTCGCCCTAATGTAACCACTTACCTTTATCTACAATCAATTTTTTTTTTTATTGTTCATGATATTGTAATGTTTCTGTTATCCTTTCGTGTTTTGTTTATTTTTCTTTTTTATATTAATTAACCTCAGATGGGCCAGAAATCTGAATTTAAATAATCTTTATTTAAAATTATCTCGATGCATAAATGTGGAGCCACATTCCTATTATGATAAAAGTTAAGACTGCCCAGAATAAAAAGCAGTTAATGACAAACTGTTGGGCCTCTTAGAAGTGGCTTCAGAGTAGAATTTTCTATCCTTCATCTTATGAAGTTATTAATTACATTAAGCCTTCCTTCATGAGAAGGTTTTTTGTTAGATATTTGAATATTGCCATTATCACACACACCAATGTTTGTTACCATTTTAAAGTAAATTTTCCCTTTTGCTTGGCTTAAAAATAGGCTTAAACTGACAATGTAAATTTAAAAACCTGAAATTTCAAGTTTTTATCTGAAATGTAGATTCCATAACAGTGTCTCCATCTTTTGGAATAACCGATTCTTTAGTTTGAGTAAATATTAGGAATCTTTTTTTTTTTTTTTTTTTTTTTTTTTTAAATAAAATATACTGTGATGTTCCTCTTGTCCAGTGGCCAGACAACATCTGAGGTCCACAACCACTTGTTCTTTTTACTTCTTACTTAAATGGATGGCATTTTTACATTTCTGGTTGTTTGTTTAATATACCTGTTTGCAAAGATTACAGAAAATGTCTAAGAATCAATATCATAAAATACAAATAAGCTGTTCCATATTTTGGTGGGACAAAAATAATCATCTAAAACAAAAAAACAAAAAACTTTTATTTTATTTCTTTTTTATTATCATTTTGTTAATTTTATTTATTTTTGTGTATATTAAAAACAAGAGGTATGAACAGTTATTGTTATTTAACAGAATGTCTCAAGGGAAAAATAAATGTTGATACAGAAATATCACTATTGGAAAATATTTCAAATACAAGACATATTGAACCTAAAAATGTTTATTTATGCGTACATACATATTTAAATGTAGAACACAAATGTCTGAGGGAAATTTACCTAAATCCATCTAAAAATTGAAATTTAAGCTATTAGGAAATTATAGATACCTTAATGAAAATGCGTGACTTAATTCTTTTCTGTATTTTTCTCACTGCTGTGATGAAAGTTGAACTTTGTGTCCATCCTCTCCCATGATAACAGTGTACAGCATTTGTGTTTCTCTCTATTTGAACTCCATTTTATGGCATGATAAACTTTGGGCAGGTGTTCTCCCGACTGGATTGAGTGAACTTCAATCAATGGACGATGCAGCTATAGTAAACTGGATTATAAGTAAGACTTGTTTCTCGCCTATCTGAATGTCTGCACGGAAATGAACTCTGTCGTACTTGGGCCAACCCTCCTTGTCCTAGCCTTCTTTCTCTCTTTCTCTATCTATATCTCATTCTCTCTGACTAAGCATGAGACAAAAAAGCAATCTTTTGCTTCTTATTCTCTCTCCAATTTGTCCCTCCTTGTCCTCATAAAATTACTGGCTCCATACATGTGTGTTGCCTTAAACACCACATATGTATTCAATACAAATTCTGTTTTCCTAAGTTTATTTATTTTTCCAGTTAAGTGGCTTAAAAGTTTTTTTTTTTTTTTTTTTTTAAGACTTAATTTTATTTTCACATATGAAAAAAAATGTAAACTAATTGTCCATATTTGTTCTTTTGTTGTTCTCTTTTGCTGTTGTCTTTACTGCTACTATTGTTTTTGTTGTTATTGTTGTTGTTCAATCACTTTGTCCACCCATTTTTTCCTAATAGTTGTATTTTTATCTAATTTTTAGTTGCCTGTCACTTTTTCACATCCTTTTATTCTTTTTCGGTTTTTTTTCTTAATTATTTTTCTACTTTTTGGCTTTTAAACAATTTTCTTTATTCTCAGATTCAAGACATGGCAAAGTATCTGCTAAAATCCAACAGCTTTTAAACACGCTCAAGGTAAATATGCTGACTTTATTTTTGCATTATTACAATGATTTGGCCTTGCAAATAATTGAAGTCTTTTTGAAGGATTTTACCCATCTTGTGCCTTTTATCACACTTGACAGGCTTTCATCTGCTGGCATTCTTGTAAACAAGAGAGAATAAAATCTTATCTATATTTCAAAAAGAATATAAAACGTGTGCATAACATGGCTCCCAAAGAATGTTCATATTTAAACTTGTGTGATAAAAACAGGAAATAAGATGGTAGTTTGAATGAATCCAGATTTGGAAACTGTTTGCGCAAGAAGTGTCAGTAGAGGGATATATTTTTAATTTAAAATTTTTTTTTTTTTATATTGCAACTTGTTTTCACTATTTTGTTTGTTCTGTTTCAGTTGCATATTTTATTGCAAGAAATTTTTTTTTTATTTTGTATGTAGCTATGCATTTTTTAAAATTTTTATTTTAACACATTTTTACTTACGGAATATTTTCTGTTCTATTTTTTTTTAAATTTCATTTGCCTTTTTGGGTTTTTTATCTTATACTGAAAAGCTTGTGAACTTTTCACTGAATGTCTATTTCTTATTTCGAATAACATTTTCTCTCTCCCTCCCTTTTCCGCCATAAAATATAGATGAAGAGATTTTTTGCCCATGTTCTAGAATGATGATCAGGATAACCTTTGTCATCTTTATTTATGAAGCACTAAGCAAAAGATGGAAATGGATGTAATCTAAATTTGTAATTAAGCTCAAAAGTAACATTTGGAGATAGCTAATAAACAAACCACTGATATATATTTATTTTCAGTGTACATTAAGAACTATTGGCCCTGAGAAGTAGCATTTCTACAAAGTATAATGCATCCTTCATTTGCTTGATTTGAGCTGTGTAAAAACTCATACAAATTTATAAAGCAAGTTTAAATATATCAGTATTTTCATATCTCATCTTAATTACATCATTTTCAAGGGCAAGAAAAAAAACATTATTCTTGGCTTTTAATATATCTTTTCTAATTATACATAATGTCCTGTGAATTTATCAAATAACATTTAAAAAAAAAAAAAAAAACCCTACAAAAATGATGTATTATTTTGGAAGTTAAATCTATACTCTCACTGTCTCAGTTTGGTTTGTTGACAACTAAATATGCATTCCAAACCAGTTTTTGAAAGTTTCAAAACTGATAGTGTACATTTATCTGATGAAGTACATTTGTTTCACCGAACAAGATATGATGCTACTAAATTTTTTGTATAAAATATTTGATTTAACATTGATGTAAGAATTATTTAAAAACTATTTTAATAAATCTCACCTCCCTTAAATGTTTTCTACAATAAATGTCATTGGCACCTTTTGATTTCTTGTTGCTTCTTTGGATATTTTTGCATGAATCTGTTGCATTTTATGTGCATGTTGAAATGTTGTTTGTCTCTCTCTCACTTGCTAGTGTTTCTTTGCCTTTTTAAAATTCCCTGACTTAACAATCAAGGAATTTTTCCTTGTCAATTTTCTTGAATAAAAGAATATCTGCTTTGATATTTTTTTAACCATTTTTTTTTATTGGCTGTATTAATATGCCTAAAATTTATTAAAAACTGCTACCATAACCTGCTTAATTATGAATATCAGAAAATATGTAAGGGAATTATCCTATTATGACAAATACCAATGTTAAAAAAAACAATTAAGAATTCCAGTCTTTTAGTATTTACTGAAGATGAAACGAACCCCCTTTTAGACAGAAGTTATTTCTCAGTTTAAAATAACTTTAATTTAAATTCAGTTTGAAAACTTTCTATACAAGTTACTCTCTCTCTACGATGTACGTTCTGTTCAGGCTATGTAGTAGAAGTATTTCAATTGGGCCTCTCACCTGTTTTGCATATTGATTGGTAAAAATCACCAAGAATTCAAACTGTCATTAAAATATTTCTTTAAAAAAAAAATCAGCACTGTAATGCTCTCAGCTTCCTTCTTGGGCAAGTCAAACTGAGGGCCAGTATTACTCTAATCAATTTTTCCATCTATTCTCAGGGATTGTTGTATAGTTTTTTTTTTTCCCCAATGGTCATCATGATTGACTTGTCCAAGGACCCCTGAAGCATGAAGTGCATGGTTTTATAGTCTTGGGGTAGTCAGCTGCAATCTACCATTCATGTCTTCTATTTGCCACATTCCCTTTTCACAGATCCTTGTTTTGTACTAAGTATTCTCATCATTTATATCTACATGTATACTGAGATAAGAATCTCTTACACAAGACCATATTCTGCTTTACCTAGGTGTATGATCTATATTGTATTCAGAATCCTCAGTATTATCTAATTCATTCTCAGAACTACTTTGTTCATGGTCATCTTGTTTGCCAATTGGCTCAATATGTATTACCATCAATAGTACACTGAGATGCCCAAAGTCATGGGATAGTTGCCTAGTATCATGTAAGATCCTATCTAGCTTGGCAAAGTGTAATAACTTGTGCCATCAATTCCATAAGTGATTAGAAAACCTCTGGAGAGATGTTGAACTATGCTATCTCAATAGCTGTCCACAGCTTCCAGATATTTTAGATACAGGATATTGAATGCAGATAGGCCTCTTTACCTATAAATGTTCAATTTGTCTCATGTCAGATAAACATGGAGGCCACATTGAATGCCTTCAGAATTTTCCTCAAACCAGTTCTGAGCAACTTTGGCCTGATGACACAATACATTCATTATCCTGCTGGAATCATGTAGTGTTATTAAGATACATGGAGTCCAGGAATGAGTTTAAATGGTTATAAAACAATGCAATGTAGCAGTCATTGGTTAGTGATGTTTAAATGGACCAGCAAACCAAATTCATGTTACATAAGTGCACCCTATACCATTATATAATCATCACTAGGCTGCATGGTGGCTTGTTGACAACCAGTGTCCTTGTTCTTGTAGGTCTGTGCTCTGTCTGAATCGTACTGTCAGCCTGAAACAATTACAGCCATGGCTCATTAGATCACATTAGGTGTTTCCAGTCCTAGGTGATGTGCTTTGATCTAGAGTGTCTTCTGCTCCCATATCAATGAAAGTTAAAGAATGCTGAATTGACCTGCTGGATATGGCCTCTTGCATTGAATGCAGATGTGATTTAAGCTAGTGTCATTTTGACTGTTACTGCATACAATTCTAGCCAGACACCTCTGGCTATGATCATTCAGGAGTCATGGTCAGCCACTGCACAGTGTGTGCGTGTGTGTGTGTGTGCATGGGCGGGGGGGATTAATGATATCTATTAAGTATTCTCAATACATGTGTGATACTGTAAATAGTGAAATCTTGGATGTCCCCATAATTTAAGAAATGTCCCATCTGTCTGGTACCCATTAGCATTCACTGTTCAAACCCCAAAATACGCATTGCCTTGCTATGCTGCAGTTTATACTGACTCATCTGACATTTCTATGTTGTCAAGATATGATAGCAACACCTACCATTTTACATACTGCTGCCTCATGATTTTTAGTGTACATGCATTCTGTCTACTTGTTAGTGCTATTAAATTTTGAGTCCTTGGGGAAAAAAAACCAACTTTGTATCTATTTCCTCTGTTTTAAACTTATCAGTCAAGAATGGCTTGCAAGGCTTCCTGAACATGCTTCAATCAGTGCTCAGTTGTCATGGTATCAAAACTGGATCATCTGTTGATGACGAATCACAAAACAAATAGCAAAATTGGAAGTACACCACTGCTACATAGAAGTTGCTATGTTGTTTGAGCTGATGATTCATACATGTGTTTGGCTGGACAAATCTTAACAATCTTGTCTGGAATAATTTGTGATTTCACCAGCATAAAGTAATAATTAAAATGTCAGTATAAGTGTCACACACACACACACACACACACACACACACACACACTCACTCACAATGGTGAGTAAATAAATGACATAATAGGTCTGACCATAATTTTGATTTAAAGGATGCAGTTCTGATTTTTTTTTTAAATTAAGGTGAAAAAAATATTAAGTGTTAGACTCCTCTTCAGTAAATTTATGTTCAGGGATATACAACATGCTTCCTTTCCTCACAAAAATATGATTACTACAATGTGGAATAATTAAAAATAATAAAAATGAAACAAGTGAGAAAAAGTTAAATGTGATAGGCCAAGATTAAAATATATAGATACAAATTTGAATCTAAAAGTTAAGCATCTGTATATCTAACATTTTTATATAAACTGTAACTGGTATTTGTTAAAGTTTTCTCTTTTTATATATAGTGTTGGTTTATCAATAAAACAATTCTCTAAAGATGATTATTTTTAAATGAAATCTATAAGTTTTCTGTCTTGTCATTCATTTCCTCACATACAGGTTTACTTGGTAATAAAAATTACAACTCTAATTTTAAAATGCTAGTCATGAATTCTGTTAATTGTACCAGATGAAAATAAAAACAACCAATTTGAGCAACTTTGTTGGGTTTTGTCAATAAGGGCAAACTTAACTTTGATTGTTTAGATATGTAAGTCAAGAATTTTTCACATGTTGAGTCAATCAACTTAGCAAGTTTTCAAATCTTTCTTTTTAGTCAAAAAGTATATTTGTAAATATGACAGACCTACAATGGTTGTCTAAAAATGAAAATTGATCTCTAAATTTCATAATTTTCCCCAATTTAAATGAAAACTTATGGCTGCAGTTTACAGTTATCTGCTTTGTGTTTTGTTTTTCTTTTTGATTAAGAGTTGTTTTTAATTTCTTAACCTGCCTTCAACTGATATCATTTTACCAAAATTGAAATGTCATTAAATTTTTATTTGCAAACATTTGATAAGTATTTATTGCCATAAGTTGGTATGTGGTATTTTTGCAAAAAATATTTGATAAAAGCATTTAAAGGTAAGTATTTTTTCTTTTGTATTGAAATTTTGATGTATGTAGTTTAGAAATTATCAATTTAACAAAAAATATCCAGTTATTTATTTCATGAGAATAATGTATAATAAAAAAATAATGATGAATAAGGTTGTTTTTTGTTTTGCTTTTTTTTTAAATTTGATAGTGTGATTATATTGTGTATAGTTTGTAATTGCTTTATAGAGGAAGGAATTATATCTGTGTACCTAGCATTGTTGAAATAAATCAAATTACCATTTTGAACAGTAGGCATCATCAATTGATGTTTCATTGGAAAACAGCAGATATCATTAATTGATGATTGGAACATTTTCTATCATTCATTCAGAATTTGAATCTATATAACTGGCAACTCTAGGATTCATTAGGTTACATCATTTCCTAGAATATTTGCTGGAAGAACAGGCCAATGACAATGTTATGTCTACATGCATGAAAGATTAAAAAAAAAAAAAGGTGAAAAATCTTGACAACTTGGTGCAAAGAATGCACAACCTCATTGGACTTTGAATGCTTCAATGAGTATCATGCCATTTAAAAAATATTAAATTTCGGAAACTAATAATTATTTTATTTCTATTTTTATTTTTATAATCTAAAAGAGGTAAAATATCATTTTTATAGTTTTTATATACAATTTAAGTGAAAATGAGCATTAAAAAAACTATCCTTTTTAAAACATTTTTTTTTAGCTAGTCCAGCATGCACATTCATGCAACCTTTTCCTGTTGGTTAATATATATATATATATATATATATATATATATATATATATATAATATTAATTATTATTAATGATGATGATCAGTTTTTATTGTTACCATTTTATTTCTTTCCTGAACAAAAAAAAATCTTTTTTCTCAATGATTTTATATGTGACAAAGGGCTGAAGATTGGATCAGCTGAAGGGTTGACATCAAATGCTAAAAGAAAGAAGGGTCTTGCATGTCCAAATGAAAATATGACCCATATATGAATAGATCTCAAATGTATACCAGCCTAGCTCCACCTTTAACTGGACATCTCAGTTCCATTTACAATAGTTCTAGGAAAATTCAGATGTTTTTACTTTATTCCCATTGTTGCACATTTTTGAAATACATGATTATTGCAAGTCATAATTTCTCTTCATGATTTTTATATTTTTATCAGCGCCCCAAAAGAAAACCGTTGCGTGAATTTTTTGTTGATGAAGATGAAGCTTTGGAAAGTAAGTTAATTTTTATTTATTTCTTATTTTCTAATTGAAAAGTTTCTTTTCTTTGCCAAATGGTACTTTCCCAACAATGAAATTATTTTTTTTTTTATTTATTTTTCTTTCTTTCCCTTAGCTCCTCCACTTGATCCAAATGCACCCAAACCTGAGGGAGCTGAACTGACCCCAGTGGCTGGAGAACAACTTTGTGTAAGTGTGTCAATTATCATTTAATGTTCACCATCTTAAACAAGTAAGCAATTATCCACAGCCAGAAAATTTATTCTGGGACTTAAAAAACAAATCGTAGTCATTTGACCTTGTCTAAGAATGGCCCATTATTCTATATAAGAGGTACATTTGGTATATTTTCATTACTGTTGGTAATATCTCTACTTTTCATACAGTGTCTGGTTTTGGTTTTCAGTCCATTTATTTTCAACTTCCTATTTTGCTACAGATCCCTTCGGGACTTCCCAAGAGCCTCCAAGATGCTGTACAACGATATGGTTCCTCTACATACAAAGCAAATGCTATTACTGTTCTGGACCAGAATGGAAAACCCACTTTTAATCTAACTTATGGTGAGTTACTAATTCTAATTGTAGTATCAAGGGACAGGGGATATTGTTTCTACCCACTCTATACACATGCACACGTACCCCAAACTCCTCAAAATTTATGTGAAGAAGTTAGATAATACTTGATTCCTTGAACACCTACTGGCAATCAATTTTTTTCTATGTGCAGCAGAGTGCAAAAACTTGCTATAGTAAAATTTAGGCAAAACCTCAGAAAATTCGAGGTTTTATCGTGTGTGTGTTTTTTTTTTTTTTTTTATTGCCATAAAATTTAAAGCTCACTGGAGGAAGGTAGCAGTAAAGCTGGTGGGTAGCAATAAGAAAAGCCCAACCCATACTTCTATCCAATGGATTTAATGCCATCAGTACTAAAATACAATCAGGATTATTTCATTTCACAGTGCCAGAATTTGTAGTCATGAGATTTTCAATCATTAGAATTAATGAAAGTTTTGATATTTGTTTAATAAATCCTACCTGTAATATCAAGGGTTACATAAGCAGCTGGGGCATTTATTTGTTTGTTTCTATGGGTATTCTTTTGAATCTTGTCAGTACAGCAGTGGTGGGTGCATGACCTTCATATACTTGCACTCTGGAGAGGACACTCCACTCTCAATGCCAATGAGATAAAGAATGCCTACTATATATATATATATATATATATATATATAACATTTCCATATTGGTATCTTGGTTGGTAATTTCCAATAATTTTGTTGATTTTCAAGGATCCTACATCAGAATTGTTTGATGTTATAAGTGTAACAGATATTTTAGAGTTTCCATGGTGTTATTTAATTTTGTAAACTTAGACCAATTATCAATGAAGTGTTATAATTTTTTATAATAATCTAATTTGTCCAAAATTATGTATGTATTGGCTTTATCGGCTCATCTGATGACAATATTAGAATTGTTTTTTAATTCTTTTGTGGCAGTTTTGATTTTTTTGAATATTGTTTTAAGGTATGCTATATTTATGGTTATGGGTTAAATGCTCAATATCAGGGGTAGAGCATATGTAAATATAAAGTGAACATTGTCACCCGAAGTGACTTTAATCTGTTTCATGCTAAATGCAATCATCAGGCCATCAGACAATTGCTTTTAGCATGGAACACACACACACATATATATATATATATATATATATATATATATATATATATATATATATATATATGAGAGGAAGAGTGCTAAATATCAGTGATCTATAGATATATACAGTCTGGATATAGGAATTAACACTGATCTAAAGATCACATGCAGTGTGAAACTGATAGTCCCCATGCAGTGTTGATCCATATGCTTACACACTTTCTCTCTCATATATGTATGTATTTCTTTTTCCAGCAGCTTTTGCTCATTTTTATATATATATATATATATTATTTATTTATTTTCATTTTTTTTTTTGTTTTCAGGAAAACTTTACAGTAGAACATATAAAATAGCTTATAACTTACTAAACAAAGTGGGACAAAAAGGAGGGGAAATCGGAATCAAGCCTGGTGACAGGGTAAGCTTAAAGTTGCCTTTTCATACTTTTTCTTTGTCCATCCATTTTTTTTCCCTTCAGCTACAAGTATTATCTTTAATGAATTGTAATATCTTTTACCTGATAAAGATTTTATGAACTCTTGCTGTGAATAGTGTATTGGTTTTGATATATGTCATAATTACAGGATTTTCTGCTGTAAGCTCTCTTATACGAAAACCCTGTAACTGATAAATTTGCTATATTTATTTCATTTAGATTATCAGTAAAAAAGTGCAACATTTTTTTAATCGGCCACTAAGATGCAAGGGGTTACTGAGAGTGAAAGGAACTGAGAGAACGTTATTGAGGATAAAAGAACAAGATTCAAGGCGACAGAAGATGATGATTGACTTGCATTTAAATTTTTGAAGATCATAGTTGACAGGAAAGCAAGAAGCCAGAAGTGAGTTCCGTATGCAAGAAGTGTGAGAGAAGAAACTACTAGAATAGAACTTATGGTTACATCTAGCAATTTTCAACAGTAAAATAGTGAGACCTAATTGCCAATCTAGTACTATGTTTAGATTCATGAAGTCAATGATGTATTGTTTTCTCAGCTTGGAAAATAGACTCTGTAAAGAAGTTCAAATTCTGGCTAAGATGGTGTATGTTCACATCACACATACTTTTTGTGGGGAAATGTATAAATCCACTTATCTCTGTTCCATTTCCTTACCAAATATCTTGTATGCCATGATGGTTGAGCAAAAAGAATGGATAAGTGAGCACTTGATCAAACCTCTCTCTCCTATAAAGGCTTTTACACCCATTTGCTACTTTATTGCTGGCAAATGTTCAGAAGAGCTTCATTCTTTAGTTTCACCAGTTCAAACCTTTACAACTAGGATACACCATGCTATTTCCATGGAGTCAAAGCACCCTAATTTTTGTCTGTATTTCAAATATAAGAAAACTTCCACTAAGACAGCTTTCCCCAAGAACTGCAACCTTGTGCAATAGACTATTGCATGGGTGCTTCTCTGAACACGTCAATCTTCATATTTTCAAGAGTTAATTGTTATCTGACCTCCTTATCTTCATAATCTTACCACCTTCTGTTCTATTCATGTCATACATCTTATTCCTCATTACCATTTTGACTGTAACCTTCTACCTTGAGTGGCTCTTAAGCCTTGTATTGAATAAAATTTATTTAAAAAAATAAAAGTAAACATTGACGATGCTCAATCCTTATCAAAATATTATTCACTTGACCATAATCTTTGCACGTGATGGAATGTGGAATAAGAATTTACTTAGGAAAAAATGAAAAAATAAAATCTTTTTTTTTTCCTTTTCTTTCAGGTTGCTCTTGTCTATCCAAACAATGACCCAATATCATTCAGCTGTGCTTTTTATGGCTGTCTTATTGCTGGCGTTGTTCCTGTACCTGTCGAAGTTCCTCTTACTAAAAGGGTAAGTGTTTATTTGGTTTTTATCTCTTTCCATTTTCTTTCTCTTATTCTGTTAATTGTTTATTTGCTAACCTTGCTGAATGTCAATCTTGAAGATTTCCATGTTATATTTTGCTTTTCAGAAAATGTTTGGTTTGTTTCTTTACATTCTCATTTTTTTAAAAATACCACAGGCCATTTTCTTTCATTCCTTTTCCTTTTTTTTTTTTTTTTTTTTTTTTTAATAATGGTCTTAAAGATCCAAACTAAGTATAGATCCTTTTGAGAATTCATTACATGCAAAAATATGTGAAAATTAGGTATTAACAAATTTTTTCTGTTTACCACTTTCATTTTTACAATTTCACAATCCAATGAAGTATTTTAAATAATGCTTGTCAAGTGAGTAAGAATGTTATTTTACAACTTTTATATTGATGTCCATTACAAATTCATATTAAAAAAAAAAAGTGAATTTGATGTAAATTACATCTAAATATTTGCATAATGAAAGAATTGACATCTTTATGAAAATGTCAAATAAAATACTCCTGTACAAGATAAAATTTTACTGTTCCAGAATATTTTTTCCTTAATGCTTTAGCAATATAGCAATTTTTATATATCTCTGAGGTATCCCTTGTCTGACACGCATACATCTATATGATACTTGTATGTATTGGTCTGTTTTTCTTTAAATTATTAGCTCTGGATTTACATTGAGCTCTCAGGATTTCATCCTCCTTGGGACTACCCATACGGATTACCAAGTTTTTTGGAACTTTATATATATATATATATATATATATATAAAAATTCACTTTTCTACAAATCATTCTATTGTCTTTGAAGATGTGTTGCACTCCTGTGTAATCTAAATTTTCTGAAAATAGCTGTCTGACAGGAGAATTGTCCAACACTTAAATTCATCAAAGACAAACTCATGTACAATGTTTTGCAGTTGTTTTGATTAATCCAAGGGAAAGGTGAAAAAAATAAATAAATTGATTGTTTCTGGATTTTTGTCTTTCCAGATTCCCATAGCATTAACCACTCCCAATATACTCACATAACATTCTGTACAAGTTGCTTTTTCTGTACCAAGAAGCTACATAAAGCATTTTCACACTGTAGAGTAACATGTTTTATGATTTAATTATAGAAATCTAAGTGAAAATGTTTTCAGGATCAACTTGTGCATATCAGCCATTTCCTGTCATTATAAATGGGAACCTAATTGCATATGATTTAATGTAGTAACTACATTTGCAAAATGTTGTCACGAAAAAAATGTTTTTTCTGTAGAGAGAACTTCATAAAAGGATGACTTTGCTGCATTAAAAATATCAATCTTTTCAGATAATCTAGGTTGAGTGATGCAGATCAATGCTACATTTTCATTTTATTGGCTTTAACAGAATTTCACATTCAATTGATTTATCAAATCATGTTTTTTTTTTATAATCAATGTCCACAGGCTTAAAGTTTAATTCTGATCACCTTGATCTTCTTGTGAATTAAAATGAAAAGAGAACACTTGTAGTGCTGACATCTACTTCTGGTCCTAGTTTATCAAATAGCTGTTTTGTGAAAGATCTTGTTTCTCTCAACATCTATGTTACTAATGTCATGATGTCTTATTAACCATATAAAGTGACTATCAACTAACAAGTTATGCCTAATCCTAACAGTGAGTCTTATTTTTCTTGGCTATTAAGGAGTCTTCCTCTTTACAGGTCTTTTTGAACATTTGAACTTCTCATTACATACATTGATGAAGCACTGTGTTTGTATTTTTCATTGTAGCATTATGCCATGGTCAAATGCCTGTTTTTTGTTTTTTTTTTTGTTTTTTTGTTATTTATGCTAATAAATCTGTAATATAAAACTGTCAATGCAGTGGCCATATTTGATCTACCATTTCCATGTCCATTCTGACTTGGGTCCTGCCCTTTCCCTCTTCTTCATTTGTACAGTTCGAAGAGAAGGTGTATAATGACCCTGCTAAAGGCAAAGTGCAGGTGAGTCAATGCCAGCCTCCATTTTGGCTGCTGACATAGCATTGCCAATGCTGCTTGTTCACCATTCTGTTTTGTCTGTCTGTCTGTCTGATTGTCTGATATCATCATTATCTCCTCCACATCTGAGCATGCTCCCTTCCCTACTCATTTTATCACTATTCTTCTTACTCTTGGAATGCATCTGTATGTTTGTGTGTGTCATCTGTTCAGATCCTTTAGTCTGCATCCAGTCTATGCTAACACTTGAGCACTCTTTCTAGATGTCCATTACATTTTTCTATTTACTTAGCATTCTTTATTTCTTGCTTCAATTTTTCTTAGTCATGTTGTCATTGTGAGTCATTAAAGAATATTCTTTCCAGAAAAAAAGGATTCTTCATTATTATAGATATTGATTATTTTTCTTTCTTGCTTGCTTGCTTTTTATTTTCTATTTTGATTTTCATTACAGAAATTGCTGACATTTAAATCTGAAATTTCTTTATAATAGATTTTTTATATTTTTTTTTTCTTCTTCAACAAATAATTTTATAAATATCCAAAAATGATTGTTTTTCTTTTATAGATTTTATTTTAATGTACTTTAAAGAAACTTGCATAAACTGCACTGGTTTAACTGCAATGTCTTAACCACAATGTCAGTGTATTATATATATATATATAACAGATTTCATTAGTTAGATGTTAAAATCACATTAAAATTCTATTTGGATATTTATCAATGTTTTCCCAATTCAAAATTTATTTAGAAATAATGTAAATATACAAATGTTGTTTGTCATGTGTATCCTTTCTCACCCATAATTGTTGCATACTTGTATGCAATAAATAGTGCATGATAGGTAATCAAGACTAAAAATCAAGTCTATTCATATTGTTCTCTTCCTATTGACATTTTCTTCGACTGGCACTTCTATTTATAATGCCTTTTATCTATATTTGAGTAAATTGAACTTTTAATTAAACATCTTACTTGGATTAAAAAAAATATTTGTTCTGAAATGCATTTTGAATATAAAATAATTTAAAACTATTTTATGGCTATGATTTTTTTTTTTTAATTCTGGGAGGAAGCACCGTTTTTGATGAAGGAAGTAAGGAATGGTTATATTGTTCAGTCTCATTTTTTATTTTTCTGAAGTGCAACTCTGTATTTTAAATAACTCTTATTTTACAGTCTATGATACACATGAGATTTTCATTAAAAAAGAAAATATTTGAGGAAAAATTTCTTAATATTTTTGGTTAAAAGTTTGCATTGTTTCTAGAAAAGCTTGAATATTTCTTTACAATGTAATAAATATAGTAAGATTAAAGCAAAAAACCCTGAAAATATATGTTTGGATTAATTATAATGTTTTTTTTTTATTCCTCATGCCCACAATTTCCACTTTGCTTTTTAAGGTGAAATACTTGTTTATATTTTGATACTTTCTAAAAAGTATACCGTTAACATATTCCAATTACTTAGGAATAGTAATCTAAATGTCTCATTGTAACAAAATTCAAGTTTTTAAGGAGTTTATCATTACACATAGGACTATTCACTTTTAAAATAGTTACAAGATGATATTTCATCAAAATAGGGAAAATTTGTATTTGCATTTAAGTAAAAAAAATTCTATGATTCTTCTGAGCATATTTTTCTAATAACCACAAATAATAAGTCCTCTGAAACATTTTCCACATTCAGTCCCATCTGGAAAGATTATGACCACAACATTATGCTACTAAACTTATTAAGCAGTTTTTGTAGAAAATTTAAATAATATTTTTAGTACCTAGCTCAGTACTTGCTTGTAGATAACAATTATTAAATATATCAAATATTTGTATATCTTAATATTTTTTTTTAATTCTACAAAACCATTTTATATAGTAATTTTACTTTTAAGGGAAATGTTATCAAAGTCTTATCAATTGGTTTTGTTTGCTCAAATTCTAAATCATTAAATACTTGAAACAAAAGCTAGTCAAAAGCCTTAAAATAAATGTAGTAATCTGCTTAACATTGACTCTTAAGTCAATAACAATTTGGCTATTAAATTTCCCTGCTTTTTAATTCCCTTGTAATTTTATTCATGTTAGATTGTTTCAAACTCCTTCTGTTGTAAATGAGTTGACAATTTTGGATTTTCTTTTAGAACAGTTTAGAAAAACATTTTCCTTGTTTGTTTTTCTATTTTTTAATATTTAAATATATTGCTCTTTTCTGTCTTAATTTTTGGGATGAGGAGTTATTATTTACATGCAGACTATAGTCCTCATCTTTGTTATTGTTATCCCAATAACAAAGATGAGGACAATAGTTTGCATGTAAGTATTGCTTTTTCTTCCCATGGTATGTCATCAATAATTGCTAATCTTCTTTTTTAGACCTTTTTGTATATTCACTTATGTCTATGCAAATAAAATTTCAATCAAAGAAATATGATAAAAATAATAAAAGTGCTCAGTGTGCAACAATTCAATCTAAGATTGTATTAAAAGGAATAGTTTGATGACTTAGCTGATATAGTGTGCTTTCTCCTGCAGACCAAAGCACTAGTAGGTAAGTGGCCAACCTATTCCTTTTATTCAAGGTGATACCTATTGTAATCACCTTTCTTTTAATACAATCTATATAAATAAATGCGAATGTCAGTGTGTCACACATTTTTGACTTTACTCCTAGTGGCTGTAGCCCAATATATACCATTTTGGAATCAGGCAGACTCTCTGAGCAAATTAAAAACATTCCAGGATCCAGACCCGCAGTTTCCAAGTTTTCATTACTGTGTGTTACTTGATTTTTTTTGTGACAAATTTTTTGGTACAATAACAATTTTTATAACTTAGAAATAAATTTGGGAATAATTGAAATTAATTTGAAATACAGTGAAAGTCACCCATGAAATAAAAGTAATTGTTTGTATGGAAAATAAGGACCTACGTACATCAAATTGTCTTTAAATTAAGTGGTGGCAGAAGAATTATTGTTGAACTTTTAAAAGGCAAGCTTAGATATTAATGCAATACTTAAATAAAGTTATCAATTTTAAGTTCTTCTGTAGTTTATTGTTGCCTATCGCATGCACCAGCAGTATGTCTCACAAAAAGAAATCTCCGAACAGAGGACCAGATTGCAATCAAGAGCCAAAGCTGCAACGAGGAAAAAGTCTTATGCAAATGAAAAAAACAGGTCAAACAGCAGCCAAGGGAGCTTTCAATGCTGAGAATATGCAAAGACTTAGGGACTCTCAAATTCCTAAACATGCCAAAGGTCCAATGAAGAATATATATATATATATATATATATATATATATATATATATATATATATATATATATATATATATATAATGGGGGGAAAATGTATGACAAAGTGGAAAAGTTTTCTTGTGACAGGTTTTGTCCTTTAAGACTTCATTGGACTAAATTTGTTATGTTGGTGTGACTACATGTGCACAAACGATGGATGCTGGGAATTAAAAAGTTTTTTTGTTTTTTTTTTAATCTAGCCTATTTCATTTAGATTCTTTTTCAGCTAGATAAAAAAAAAAATTAAATTCCCAGCATCCATTGTTTGTGCACATGTGTAGTCACACCAACATAAATTAAAAAAAGAGCCAAAGTTTTGTGATGTGTTTCGTCCTAAAGGACAGAATGCTTCACAAACCTTTTTCCACTTTCTCATACAATTTAACCCAATATTGTTCTTGATATATAAAAACATATATTGTCATCTCAATCCTATATGTTTGCATTGTACCTTTTGCCTGTGAGCAGTCATGCATGCATACATTTAATGCTTGTTAACAAATCAAAAACTAGTTATATTGACATAAAAGTCAATTTGATGTATGACAGTTAATGTACTACTTGAAAATGTTTCACATTTTTTGCAAATATGTGAATGAAATCTGGTTTAGCATTTAATTCTCTACAAGAAAAACAGCCATTTTCATTCACAATACATTCAGTTGTATACATAAATTCACTTTAAAATATTATCTGAACTAATTCTCCAAATGTATTCTTTCTTCTGTATGTAAATTCTCTAATATCATTTATACAACTAAAAGTCAAACCAAAGGTAGATTCATTTAACTAATTTTTAGTTCAAAATTTATTCCCAAATAAGCAAGACCAGAATATAGAAACTGGAAATAAATCAAAGTATCCATTTATTTCTAAATTGATTTGGTTAATTCACACTATTGCATCTGTCAGAGAGGGTTTGTTTTTCCTTTTTCATATCTATACAATCAATAAAATGGCAATTGAGAAAAGTGTAATCAAATTCAGCTTGCTGAACAACTACTAATAAATGACTTTTATTTCAATTCATTATAAATAATTTCATGGTGAATGGAATGGTTCAAAATTTTTAATCCTCTTTTTTTAGTATGCAGCTTCCATATCCATGTGTCTAATTACATACACAAAAAAAGCTAATGGCAAAATGTATAGGTGTAGCCTTTATGATAAAAACTGCATTTACTCATTGGTGGATTTGTTGTAGGTAAATGAATAAGTTTAGATAATCCCTACATTTATATTTTTCCTCTATTAATTCTAACATTCAAATATTTATTGGTTGAATAATAGATCAAACTGATTACAAACAAGTTATTTCTGGAAACTACGAATTTTTGTGTGTGCACAAGTACACCCCACTCCTATAAATTCTGATTATTTGTATTGTATTTGTCTAAATGAAACTATCTCCATTTTTTTCTTTTTCTATTGGTGTATAGATTAATGCAAACACCTTAATTGCATTACATTTTTTTGTACTGACTAGCTGTTATTTCTTTAATTTTTGTCAGATACTTGTGGCAAATACTAAATTGGTTAGTGATGATGGTTGCCTATCCCAGGATGCATACCTGGACAATGGTTTTGTGTCCAGTCTCACAGTGTTGAAGCAAATGAAATTAGTAGCAGATAAAAATGTGTAAACAGATTACAAAAAATGTTACTATTTCTTTTGCACTGTGATATGATAGGAAAGAAATATCCTTGTCTCCCGATGATGTAGGAAAACAAATTGGTCAAAAACTTTTTAGCAAAATAAGCAAATTGTCAAAATTCATCCTCAGGTTTATTGTTTTCTTTCTTAGAGACTCAAATTTTTAACAACCATTCAGCATAAATAATTTCTGGTTTTCAAATCTCTAGAAAATAAAATTCACCTGTTTGTATAATACAATTAGCCTGAATAAAAATTTAAGATTTCTAAAATTGAGAAAGAAAAAACAAAAACTAAACATAATTTAAACAGTTTGATATCTTCATGTTTAAGCCATTTAAATTTAAACTGAAAGTTTTGATATGTTTAGATCAGTGTTTCTCAACCTTTTTAAGCAATGGCACACCTATGAGCAAATGAAAATATCACAATACACTTAACAAATTTTAAGTGTATACATTTAAATGTTATGAAATAGAACACCATAGATTTAAAAAAAAAAAAAAAAAATTTACAAATATGAATGAACTTTATTTCAATGTTTCTATTCAACTATTTTTGCAGCTTATTTAGTGTGAAACCCTGTGTTTTTTTGCAAGATCTTCAATATTTGATCAAATGTGCGATAATCAGACCTTCATTTCTTCTTCAGTTGAACATAGTCTTTCTCCCTTATTTTTGATTTTATTTAAGGTTGAGTTAATTTGCATAAATAAGTAGAAAATTACAATAAAGTTTAATACTTATTCATTTATTCAAATATTAATGCTTTACCATTACTACTTCCACACACACACACACACACACACACACATTTGTATGCCATAACAATATTTTGCAGCAGACTTAAAAGGATCGTGCAGCACACTAGTATGGCGACTGAGAATCACTGGTTTAGCTGAACTGGAAAATAATTGTCAAAATATCATGAACTGGAATTTTTTTTATCTTTTTGACTTGTACTGTAAAGATGACTTAACAAAGAATAAAATTGTTGTTTGATTATTCAATTTGTTAAATGCCCTAATTGAGATGTTTTAACAGTAGTATTATACAGTATTTAGTTTGTGTTTTCATGTTGTAATATTGCTGCTGTTTGTATTTTTTATCATACAAAGCATGTGTACGTCCATGTTATTTTCATATAGGTATAATATTGTTTTTTATATATTTACTGGTAGATTACTTTGTTGGTGTGTATTGCATATGTTACTGATTTGCATATATGTTACTCTAGCATGTGGCTAATATGAAATCTGTGTATTTAATGTATTTTCATTGACACATTGTTTATGCATTTATTCTAAACAAAAATAGTCATAGCACTTTCATAAAATGTGTAATCCATAAATTCCTGTATTTTTACTATAGAATTTATTACACTTTTTATTTTTTATTTTCATTAACAAAGTCTGGGTTTTGCTTGCAAAAGGTGGTGGTTTATTTTGAAGTGCCTAAATTGATAATTTCTCATATGATAGTTATTTAACAGATTAGAACTTTGACTAATCCACAACTCTGTGCTTTGTGCTTTTTGTTTAATATAACTTGTATAAACAAAAATCCATTGTAGAGAAAGCAAAGAGCAGGCTCTAGAAATGCTTAAACTGGATGTTGATAAGAATTTGCTGATTTTACAGCAAAATGCCTAAATGATTTCACAGAGGTGGTGTCTCATTGAGAATATAATAAAGAAAAATAATTATTGACCAAAATGAAATGTTACGACAGTTTCCTATGAAATTCTATTCTCTTGTCTGCAGAATAGACTATATTCCATTATTAGCTGGTAAAAAGCAAAATCAATGTGCCAAGTTTTGAAGATGCAAATAGCTACAAGGAGCTTGAGTCTTCTAGACAAAGCTAGTTTTTACTTTTGTGTTATTGGAATTCTTGAATCAAAACAATTTTATCTATTATGATAAAATTTATTTTGAATATAGATTAAATATTTGAATGAGACTGTATGACACAGCAAGAAATGCAAATGGTTCCATATTGATTAGTTTAACTGCTTTATTTGCATGTGTTACAATGCCTTGAGGGCTGAGAACTTAAGATGTAGAGGAAATATTTCTATCTTCCCTAATAAAGATTCATTTTTCCCCAAATATTGCACACAATTAAAATCTGCCATTCAATTTTGTTGTTATTTAAGTTTCACAGTCTCTAATTGGAAAAATTTCTTAAGGTTTCTCATTTTGCACATTTAGAATTTATAAAGTAATTCTGGGGAATAGTTTTAATTTGAAGACTTATCTTCAGTATTCTTGCATAGCAAAACCCATTTTAAATGTATGTTAAAATGTTTCTGTTTAAATTATTAATGCCATGCATATTAACAGCTTTGAAGATCAGTTTTTGTCTAATTATATCAGCCTTTTCATGTATTTCACATAAACTACTTATTAAAAAAGATTTTATAGGAAAATAGGATTGATTTTTTGCTATTTTGCAAACAAAATTATATTTGATTGAATCAAACAAAGAGAAAGAAAATTGAGGATTTTAATTCTGAAACAAAATCTTTTGAATTCTCTCAGCAACCAGCAATCATCATCTGTTGTTCAGTTTTAATAGGATTGATTTTTATTTTTAAATGGTTTTGATGAAATTCATTATATCTTTTAATGATTTCAGGCATTTTTTAAGCCTAGAGCAAAACAAAAAATCCTATTAAATAATGACTTTTATTTGGTGGAATTAGTAGGAAAGATTATTATAATATTTTTCAGACGGAAGGTGCAACCAGCCGTGGTGGGATGGTGAGTGATAGCCTCAGTGTACCTTCTCAATGCTGACAAATCTTCATTTCTCTTTGTATCACTCTAAACAAACAGCATGCCCATGTTTTTCAGCTGATGGGGGTGCCAACACAATGGCAGACTCTATTAGTGCCTGTTGTATACTCTTATACACATACAAAAACAAAAATACAATCTCTTTCAGGTAGAAATCTACTTGAAAAAAAAAAACTAATAGATTTACTTCTGTAGTTGGCAGTGTTTTTAAGGCTATGTATGAGTTTTAACCTTATTTTGTCCCCTCAGATAATACCTTGTTTAAAAAAAAATCTCAGGATTTTAATAATCAACATTTGAATTATCATAATTGTTAACTTAAAATTTGATCCTGATAAGTAGGATTTAAAAACCATACCATTTTACTTATATTTGTGTGCATGTGATTCACACATATACATACATACACACACACACACACACACACACACACACACACACACACACACTTTATCTCCTTTTTCTCTCTCTCTCTTTCTCTCTCTCTCTTTGTGTTCTGGAAATTTTTTTCTTAGATTTTTAGTATTAACTTCTCTTTAGCTCCATATGGTCATTTTAAAATGAATGTCTACAGAGAGAAAAATCATGATTTTTTTTTTTTTTTTTTTTATTTATAAGAAAAACTTTTTGGCACAAAATTAAATAAAGATATTGGGCATGATTGTTAATTAATCTAATTTGATTATCTTTTATTTGTAACTCTATTGGGTGGATGGTTTAGTCTAATTGATCACTTGCATTGTTGTATGACATAATAAAATCACTTTATCAGGATATTTACTTCTTCAAAAATGGATATTGGGATAGCTGAAATGAACTTATTAACACTTCCATTGCCATGAACATACTTATGTTTTTACAAAACTAACTTTACCTGCTTTCAATATCTATATAAGTTTTCAAGATATTGGTAACTAGTTTGTTATAAACTAACACTTAGTGTAAACATCTAGTAGCATACTATTTTGAGGAAAATTTTTAAGTGATTGGAATATCATTTAGTATGTATAGCAGATTATCTGATCAAGACCCAAATGGCAGTACCCATGAGAAACAGCCATCAGCATCTATAGTCATTTATTTCCAGTAAATGGCAATTTTCCTATTTTTTCAAAATGGGCCAGCACAGCCAGGCAGCAATGTTATAACAATGCAGCAGTGAAAGTATTAATGTGTTATTTGGTTTTGAAAATAGACATTAAAGATAATGTTATCATATAAAATTAATTTAGTATCTAAATTACTAATCTCTCAATGTAAATATTTACTGAATTCAGCTTTGTCTGCACAAAGCTAAATTGTGACAGGATGTTTATATTTTACCTATGTTCTCAGTACAGATTTACTTGAAAATCAGTATTTGAAATTATTTTTTTACTTAAACATGAAATATCAAAATTGGTTGGAAACAGGCAACAACTTCAACTACTAAGCAGCTCTTCTCTCTCTTTCTTTCATATAAAGAAAGCAACCAAGAAATGCCAAGATTATTGTAAATATTCAGCACTGCTGTTTCTTTGAGAGTAGAATAAAAAGATAGAGCAACAAACATATGCTGCCTTTTGAACTTTTGGGTTTTTTTTTTACTTCTTTCCAAAATTGTATTGCATCAATTTTTCCAAATTCATAGCAGAATTAGTGAATAAAGGTTGATATTCTCACTCCCCTTCCTCTGTCTGCTGTACTGATTGGAATGACAGTTTACAAGAAACAGCATCTCAGAAAAGCATGTGTTTCTGCATTTTGGAGAAGTTTACTATTTAGACTGTACATTTATCAACTAAAATCCATTTTGATTAACAAACCTTCAATTGATCAAGCCAACAGAACTGAGCTGGTGTAAGATAAAAGGTCAAATAAAAAGATTATCTGTAAAGCCTTAGCTTTAGATGCCCACTTGATGGTTTTACTAATCAGAAAGTTGCAATTTTTATCTTGGGAGTTGTGTACAGGTTGAAGATATAATTTCTCTGTAAATGACATGAATGTAAAACCTCTGAATCTAAATGATCAACAAGCTAATCTTTGTTCTTTGTCTTTATTTCTGTATGTAACTTTTGCATGTCTAAAAAGAAAAAGATTCTGGTACTCTTTCTCTTGCTCTATTTAATCACCATTTCTCTTTCTTGACCTTGTGTGTATTTACTATTGGATAAATTGCCAATTATTTGCTTGTTTGTAGGATGCTGGTGGCCAAGGGATTGGATTTTTGCTGGGAAATCTCAACGTTAATTGGGCTCTCACTTCTGAGGCCTGTAACAAAGCCTTACCAAAAACAGCAAATGGTGAGGTGATCACATTTAAAGGTTAGTTCATTTATTGGCATATGCATCTCTTAGAATTCCACTGATATAACAAAAGGAAATGGCAACATGCTTTGAAGACCAAAGCACTGTTTTTTCGATGGGGAGAGGGGGTGTCTCTCCACTGGACAAGGTCAATGAACATGCAAATTCATTTCACTCTTAGATAGTCAAGTGCAGCAGCAATGTAAACATTGCCAAGTTGAATAGACTGCTTTAGAGAATATGCACATTGATTTAATTCCTGGAAAATTGTAAAGCATGGTAGACTGCTTTAAAAACTGCTGATTTTTTTTTCTCCCTGCAGCCACTAGTAGTAAACTGACCTTGGGTGGCTGTGAATGAATGAGTGAAGTGAACTTCTATTCATTTTTTTTTTTTTATTTTATTTTATTTTATTTTTTTTTCAGTTTGTAATGTCTTAACCTTTACCACACTGCATTCTTTTTCAAGGCTTCTCAATTGCAGTAATCTTATTGTTAATTTTCTTGAAAGGTGTTTTCTGTTGCCATAGGAGGATACAACACAACTATGAAATTCAAACTCACTATTGTTCAGGGATCAGTCAACTTCAGTGGCAGGATAAACTTTTTGTACTGCAAATGAAGTCACATACAGAGTGATGAATGTTAAAAATGAAGCTGGTTTAAAGTAACTAAAAGGTTTAATATTAGTGTGGATATGCAGGAGATTGAAAAGATGATGGAAATAAAAAAAGAAAACATTTACAAAGGAAATGGATATCAATTGAAACATATTGAAGCTGAAAAAGTAACCTTGTGAACATAATTATAGAAAAAAAATGTTAAGAAATTTACCTTCTATACATAAGTGTAACTGAGAATGTCTACTCTTGTTACCTATCTTCTTATTGGTTATAAAGTCTCATAGCCAGATTCCCATCTGTATGTTATAAGAGGCATGGTGGAGTAATGTATAGCAGCTCCGATTGAGAAATCAGAGAGCCGAGTTCAAATCCATTACATTCACTTACATGTTAATACCCTTGGGAAAGATATGAATCCTCTTCTCTCCCCAGCTATGGGTAAATAGCAGGACAGACTGGGTTCTATAGCCTTTGATAGCAACTGGTCTACTGCAGAAAGAAATGGCAACCTACTGCAAAAAAAAGCTCCCTTAGTCATGTATCAAAAGATACATGATCGCCTAAGCAACTGATATGTTATAAAAATAATGAATTATGTTTGTTTTACTTTTAATCAAACAAATTTCAGAAGGAAACTACAAGTCAACTTTAATTTTTACACAAAAATTAGTACACAAGTTGCTTAAATGATTTAAAATTTTTTATGCTTGGGTCTAATAAACAGAAAAACATATTTCAATATAACTAAAGTAGTACAGGTAGTAGAATTATAGGATACAGTATAAAATAACATATTTAATAACCCTTTTTCTTTAATTTTATGTTTGTTTTTTCGTTACTTAGTTGCTTAAACCTCACTGTTAGAAATGGCTTAAGATTTGAGTACAGTTATTATTTACATGTGTACTATTGTCCCAGGGAACGATTCTCTGTGGAGAACTTGGAGCCTTAAACCTAACCTACCTACTGATGAGTGTTGTTTGTCATATTTGACTGTACTCATTGAAGCTTCTGTTTTGTTACAGCTGCTGCTGCTATCATTTGTCTTTCTTTATTAGCAGCTCCCCTATTGTATTTATTTCTATGCTAGGCCTACTAAGAGAGTCCTCATAGCCTAGCATATGTGCTGATTCTTTCAGACATCTAATGCCAATGTTCTTCCTTGTCCAGTATTTTCAGAACACTCCACAGGAGCTGATGACTACCTTTACCCTCCATACGTAATCAGTCATGTCTGATTTCATTGTCTCACCCCTCACTACAGTTTTTCGATGCTCCTCAACCCTTATTTATAGTGGACAACTTGTTTTACCTTTATAGTTTTCATAAGAATGTAGCATTCTGACTTCAAGACAGACCAGGACAGTCATATGAAACCGAGAACAAGCTTGTTTTATTGGCTAGGAAGAAATCCCAGCATGCATTTGTATGCATCTGCCTATAAATTGGGGAGGGGGATGTTTTGCAGTCATTTCCAGTATAGATTGGAACAAGTTGATGTAAAATGAAGTGTTACAGAACTGTTTTGTAATGTTTTTAATATAAAGTTGAATATTCTAATATTTATTAATGTATAAGTTATGTTGCTTTTCTGTGTTTAGTTCTAAAGCTCAATGTACTTTGAATTGATGTATTTATTATTAGGTCTTTGATAATGTATTCTTTTATAGGTAAAGAATATTTAATTATTTGATATTTTGATTCATATGTAAATATAAAAAAAAGTAGTCTTAAAGTTTGAAATAAAAAAAAAAAAATTATTTTCAAATCTCAAAGACTATCCTTTTATTTATCTGATTCTTCTTTCTATTAAGCAATTTGTTGTATGTAATCCCTTAGCTATTATTTATCTATATTTCTTTTTTTTTTTTTTTCCTGATTAGGTTGGCCCAAACTAAATTGGTTCGTTACTGAAAATATGGGCAAACCACCTAAAGACTGGGTACCTCCTCCAAAAGGTGCCGACGATGTCCCTGCTTATGTCGAGGTAAATGACCCTCACAGTGCTTATTACTAACTTCCCAATCAAATATCTACCTTTTTATATGTATTTACACATATTACAGCAAAACATTTTCAAATGGACAAAACAATAAAAATGCCACCATTACATAAAATCAATTTTTAAGCAATTAACAGATTCTTTCATCTGGCAATATTTTCTTATTGCTATAAATGTTGCACCCACTAAATGTTTATTGTAATAAAATGATTTACAAAATCATTAACAATTTTTTTTTTGTATCATTTTTCTGAACTTAGTTAGTATTGTATCCAGTTATAATTTTTTTGTTCTTTGGTTTTATTTTCAGTATACAACCAGCAAAGATGGTAGCACTGTTGGTGTTACTGTTGCTCGAGGTACAATGTTATGCCACTGCCGTACGCTCACTGTAGCTTGTAATTACACAGAAGGTAAGATTCCATATTTTTCTTTTGTGTTTGTTTGATGTCACTTCAGATTTATTAAACATTTGTATTTGATGGTAAGGTCATCAACATTGTTTTCAGAAAGTATTTTAATTATAAACTAATAGTGATAATGGCTAATATTGCACGAGATGCATTGGTAGTGTCTGGAACAAGGAAATAAATGATATGGCTGGTTTTTAAGCTTAACAAAAATGATAATTTTTCAATTTGTACAAAATGTCTATTTTTAGAATGTTTGAAAATTGATGCTTAGTTTCAGCTGGAAGTTTTTGGTGTAGTGAATTTATTAGAAGTGGAAGATTTTGTTTTTGTTTTTTTTTCCTCCTCCCTAACAAAAATATCTTGGAAAGAAAGATAATCTCAGAAATGTGTTCACCCTCCATTAGTATTGTGGTGTGTTATTGCTTAGTATTTGGCAAGTCAAATTTTCATGATTTGTCAAGTAGCTTTCTGAATATCATTGTCAAGTAACTACAAAGAGTTTCTGGTTTTCGTCTTAATATTTGTGTGTAAAAGTACATGACTATAAAGACTTTCTGTGATAATTCTGGTAAAAACATGCAAAGATTACAGTAACCTTCTTGTTCATTGCTTGGAATTTGAAAAATTGTTGAAGAGGAATCAAACTGATTATAAATTATTTTAAAAGATTATACAGAAAATAAAATGAAATCTGTTTTTGAATATTTAAATTTTTGAAACTTACAAATTCATTTTTTAATACTGTTTTTTTTTTTATGTAATTTCTTTTCATTTTTATTTATCCTATAAAAATCAGAAAAACACTCTAGGCAATATATAACAAGAAAATTAAGAAGTAAATGATATATCTATAATATTTTAAATATAATATTAATAATATTTTAAATGAGGTGTTTGAAAAACCCCATATAACTATTGAAGGGTTAATCCTGTGCTACATATATCAGACATCTATCTAATGAATTTTAAATGTGCATTCCTTTATATAAGGAATTGTGGAAGTGATGAAATGCTTTAAGGCCTCATGCTGAAAAGACATAATGATCTGTCTATTATTAAAATAGATTTTTGGTGACTATCAATCTTGTTTCACTTTTATGGACACTTATCTTCTATTCCTCTGTGTATAACATCACAAAATATATTTTAATGCTTTTAGAATATTTCATAGCCTGAAAGCATTTTGCTTTTCTAAATTGTGTGTGTGTGTGTGTATATATATATATATATATATATATATATATATATATATATAGCTTTTCACACTTAGTAAATTGCTGCTAATTGTTACTTACCATTTGGCTGATTACTATAACTCAAATAAATCTCTTTCTCTTATTCTAAGGTGACTGCAAATTGTCTATCTTTGTAAGCAGTTGTTTAATTTTTTTGCTGTTGGCTAAGTGAAATTTTTGGAACATTTGTTTGCAGGGGAAGTGATGGTGTGTGTTCTTGATTTCAAACGAGATGTTGGATTATGGCATGGCATCCTATGTGTAAGTAATTTTAATAGGTCCTTTTTATTTATCATATCTTCTAACCCACTGGTTTTCAACCAGGGCCCATATGGACTGGGAAGGGCCATGTAACATTCCTGTTATTGAGATTCACACTAATATTTTAGTAGTGCATAGAACAATTTTACTTTGGAATGGTTGTTACAACTGAAAATTATAATTTCTGCAGTAATCTTTGCCATATTAATATAAATTAATTTTAAATATTAATAAAATAAAATATTAATACATTAATATAAATTAATTAATATAAAATATTAATAATAAAATTAATACATAAATTTTATAAGGATTATGTATAAAAGATGGATTAACAGTATTAATCTCTTCAGCAGCAGGAGCAATTTTTGGCAAAACCACCCACTCTGAGGACATATATATATATATATATATATATATATATATATGCTACATAGAATGTAGTTGTTAAATACAAGTTTATTTTCATTAAATTACTTTTACTTCAAAATAAGGCATATATATTTACCATTTCTATAATACAGTTATTAAACTTATCTATTAGTAAAAATAAAATAAACTATTTTTTTTCTTTCTTCAAATGGTTATGGGGGTTCACCAAAAATAATTAAGAGTAAATATGGTCCATGGGTAAAGAAAAGGTCAAGAACCACTGTTCAAGCCTATAAAAATGTAATTTGTTTTAGAAAGAAACAAAAAGGCTTCAATGTGATCATATTATAAATTGAAGAGCAAATTTTATTGTGTAATGCTAAGAATGAGATATGTTAATGATGATTAAAAAATGCTCTTGTAAAACATGTTTGATAAGTTAGCATATATATGTCTTGTTTGTCAGTAATTTTGTTTTTTTTAAACCATAGTTTTTATTTTCCAAGCTCTTACTGACCAAATTCCTTTTTGAAGTTATCTATTGGGAAATGTGAGGCAATGAAGCAAGTGATAGAAATAATAAAATTATGTTCCACTTGCTCTCTCATTTACTTTGTAAATGATAACTTACAAATCGTATTTAAAATGAATCAAATATTCAATCATCCTATCTTATGTCACATAAGTTAGAACATTAAATTTTATTTTTTACTGATCGAATGCTAAATATAGAATAAATAATGTTTTATGTGAATTATGTTTACTGTGGATTTTCTGATCATCCTATATTTCCTAGCATAAAAGATGCATCCTTAGCTCAACCAAATTATTTTGGAAAAAATATTTTCTTTATCATTAGATATCTACTGTAATATTTATCTATGAAAATACTTAGTAAATTCTAAAAATTTTATTTAAGGATTAAGTATTTTAATGCTGTGAAATACAGTATAGTAGGCTTTGTTTTTGAATTTGTATTTTAAAATATTATTAACTAGTTTTAGGTACAAATTTGGTTAACTAACATTTTTTTCTATATCAAAGTAGTTACACATTTTTAAAATATTCATTAGAGATATAGTATAGACATAATATACAAAAACATGCTCTAATATTTCTCAAGACTGATATGCAAAGCAAATACTTTCCTGTGCACAATAAGCGATAACGTTGTTATTATTATGACTATAAAATTTCTTTTTCTGTTGCAGAGTGTTTTTAATGGGATGCATGTGATTTTTATTCCGTATTCTTTGATGAAAGTTGACCCTGCTTCCTGGATGAAAATGGTTACTAAATACAAAGGTAATTTATTTTTCACTTGCTTTTAAGTTTTATATTCTGTATGTCATATTAGAATTCAGATATAACTAAAATATACAAATAAAGGCAAAAGGAAAACAAAAAAAATTCAACAAGAACATTTACTCATTTTTGTTTATTGGACTTTAGATTATATCACTTAGCATCTTCAATAGTTTACTTTGATTTTCAGTAAGCCTGAAATATATTTATGAAAATTTTTTTAAATTTGGAAAAACTACCAACATTTTTACTTCTCTTTATAAATACTTATTGCATAATAAAATCCTTACATTTTCTTTGATAAAGTCCATCAGAGGATGAAATGTCAACAAATATAAGTTTTCCTCTTTTGTCTTTTTATATATATATATATATATATATATATATATATATATATATAGACTTTATAGTCTTTATATATATATATATATATATATATATATATATATATATATAGATAGACCTGATGATAAAAGCAAAAAATTAGAACAATAATTTTTAAAATACAATTTGTGGTCTTTGTATTTTCTAGCTGCCGTAGCTGTTGTGAAATCCCGTGATATGCATTGGGGTTTATTGGCTCAAAAAGACCACAAAGATGTCAACTTTAATTCTCTGCGTATGTTGCTGGTCGCTGATGGTGCCAATCCATGTAAGTACTCTTTCATTGCTCTTTTTCTCTTGGTCAGTTCTGTTCCTGACATTGTTCTCTAGCAGATTAGTTTTGTATACCAACGGGTATCAGAAAGTATATGGTTGTATTGTTCAATGAAAGTGTAACACCTCATTGATACTCAACCAACCGAGTCAGTCTGCCAATTGACTTTATGCTATCTACTCATATTTAATCATTATGTGAGGTTTCATAATTGTTATAACAACTCTGTAGCCTTTTTATGATGACTGATAAATTTAAGCAACATGAAATTAAGTGTGAAGCTTGCTAAATCTGCTACGGATATCCTCAAAATGCTACTTCAGTTTTATTGATGAACATTCTTTAAGTCAAACTTTTTTTTTTTTCTTTTTTTGAGTGAGGTGATTGTTTTAAGGAGAGTCAAGTGACCAGTCACCAGCAAAATGCCAGAAAATGTGAAAATAAATTTTTGAACTTATCCTGCAGATTGTTGCCAAATAATTTATCAGCTCTCATATGATTATCAAGAAATGTATTTTGTTTTACATAACATCTATTTTATAAGCATTCTCATAATACCATTTTGTATAATATATATATCTTCTTTACAAAGTTTAATAAAAATCAATTATCCAAACTCATTATGTATTTTTAAAGTAGAAAGAACATAGGTTTTTGTTATCTTCAGATATGCTGTTTTTTTTCATTGACAGATTTTTTTTCATTGACAGATCTTTTTTCATTGACAGATCTTTTTTCATTGACAGATCTTTTTTCATTGACAGATCTTTTTTCATTGACAGATCTTTTTTCATTGACAGATCTTTTTTCATTGACAGATCTTTTTTCATTGACAGATCTTTTTTCATTGACAGATCTTTTTTCATTATGAGATATTTGATCATTATTATTATAAATTATACTGCAGACCAGTGGTTCCCAAACAGTGTGGCATGCCTCATAGGTATGGCAGAAGATAGGTGAGGTGGAATTATTGAAAGACAATGATTTAGAAAAAGTCTCAAAAAATTCATATACCAAAAATAAATATGATTTCAAAATTTAAAATATTATTATGGATTCCTTTAATTGCATGCATGAGTCCCAGTATAAATAGTTATAAATGATTATTGTCTGATTTTATCATTGTGATATTTTTGCATTATAACAAGTATTAAGAATATAGTAACTAGGGTCCATGAATTGGAGGAGAGTTATCAATGATAATGTTCTGACTTCGAATCTGCGGTTATCTCCCTTTTAACCCTATCTCTGTTTTAATTATTTTTAAATGTACTTTTTATCACATAAAATTTGGTGAGACACAAACAAATGTTCATTCCAAAAATGCAGCCTAGCAAAAAAAAAGCTTGGGAACCACTGCTGTAGACATAAACTGGCAAGACTGATTTCTAAGAAATTCTTTTTTGGTTCCTTTCCTTTAAGGGTCTCTTACTTCCTGTGATTCTTTCCTGAGTGTGTTCCAGTCCAAAGGTTTGAAGTCTGAGAGTATTTGTCCCTGTGCTGGATCTTGTGAAGCTCTTACTGTATCGGTTCGAAGGTCAGTGGTTGCTGCTCCGAATGCTTAGATTGATTTTAAAAAAATATTCTAACTCTTTTATTCATTGCAAAATAAACATGCACTACTTAAATATGTTTGGAAATAGATTGTAATGAGAATAAGAAGTTAAAAAAAATCTCATTTGATAATCTTTGATGAAGTAAGAAAAAAAAAACAGTTGAACTAATGAAGTCAAACCAGTATTTTAATATCATATTGCATGGAAGGGAATGACGATTGAGTTTTGTTTCTTGCTGACTTATGAAATATTTTTTTTTTATATAATTTTGGATTTAAAAAGAGTTAGTGATTATTCCTTTTGGTATATCACTGATGTTACTAACACATATATAACCTCCAATAGCCTTAAAGTTGTGGTTACTTTTTTCAGGCCTGGTAAGACTGGGAGCACTACTTCAGGCCGTGGTATCCTGTCAATGCAGGGACTCAGCTATGGTGTCGTCAGAGTAGACAGTGAAAATAGCCTGACATCACTAACATTACAAGACTGCGGCCAGGTGATGCCAGGCGGTAAGTGTTCATTTTTTATGTTGTATGTTTTTTTATTTTTAATGTTTTGTCTATCACTTTTGGTAATACTAAAACACTTGTATTCTATGATTTGTTAGCATTTAAATCAATGCTAACCAATTAAAGCTACACTTTTCAATTTTCACCTTTCAAGAAATTTTCATTATAGAATAATGATATTCAATTCTATATATATCAGACTAATAGTGAGTAATTGAATGACAAAATAGAAAAAATCCAATCTTACACATTTCCTTTTTCGAATGCTCTTCTTCAGACTAAGTTATTATCAATGGAATTATATATATATATATATATATATATCTTTTCCCTAAAATTGTTCTTGATATATAATTTTTTTTATATATTGTTTTCCCGTAAGTGTCCATACATACTTCCATGTTTCATGGCCTGAAGATCGCATTGAAGCATGAAACAGTTTGTCACTACTTGGAGTTGATATCAGTGTCCACTTTTATATTTACATATGCTCTATCTCTGATATTTAGTACTTTTATCCAAAAATGTAGAATAACTTAAAACTATATGTTTATCATATATAACATTTTAATGCCATTTTATATTTCTCTCCATTTCTGGTTAGCCTCCTTATATTGAAACACCAGTTTTGCATAAAAATTCCATAGCTACAACAGATAAATTTTAAAATGATTACAGAGTGCATTCACATGTTTTTAAAATCACCATCACAATGGAATGCAGATTTTATCACAGTTGCAATAAGTTTGTCTTTGTAATTTACCTTTGAAGATCATCTTGAAAAAGATTGAAAGTACTCAGGTTAACAAAAACCATGTCGCCTTCCTTGATGAATTTCATCTTGACATGAAGAAACTGATTAGACAAAGGATCAGTATAAAAGACATAATATGTCTATATTATTCAATGAAACATATTTGAATGAACATATACTGCCTATATATATATATATAGAGAGAGAGAGAGAGAGACACACACATAATTTGGAATGAAATAAAAACGAATATCAGTTACAATTTTATATAGCTATGATGAAGATACAAAGACACTGAACTTTAGATTTAAAATTTTTGTTGTTCAATGTATCTAGATGCATAAGCTGACTGCATTCAGCTTTCTACTGTTTTTGTTTTTATGGCTATAACATTTAGTTCTGTTAGGAAAAAAGATATGTTGTACGATCTTGGACATAAATTTGCCATGTACAAATAATGTACTTTCGGTACATTTTTGCCTCAATAAATTGTTTAATTAAAGCAGCATTCTTGAAGACAAAATTATGATCATATTCATTACAATGAATGATTAATGTATTGTTTTGTAATAAAAAAAAAATCTTCAACTTTTATGATCTTCTGATGTTTATTATTATTCTGCATAATCTTTTACACTGGAATCATTTCTGATTTTAACTCAGCAATTATATTAAAAATGATAAAGGCAACAATATTGACTGAAAAATTCCTTTTTGTCTAATAAATATTAAAATATAAATTTGTCATCTTTTTCTTACCCTCTTGAAATGTAGCAATTAAATTTGAAATAATTTCCTTTCATAGAGAATCACAACACATCACTAAACTTAAAAAAACATATCTTTTTTTTTTTTTTTTTTTTTTTAGTCCTGTTAGGTGATCACTCACCTTATTCAATTATTGTAAATTTTCATTATTAAAGTCTCAGAGCATTCAGTTGAATAAAATATATCCAATACCTAATTTTGATAATTCATCCTATTTAGTTGCTGTTTAAAAAAGAAATATGTGGATTTAGAGCAGAGTAATTCTTAACTTGTAGTATCCAATGTAAGATTTTCTTCCTTGAGATGGTTTAATGGTTTTATGTGCATTTATTTTCAGCTGTGATGGTAGTAATTCAGACTGAGGGTCTTCCCTACCTATGTAAGACTGATGAGGTTGGGGAGCTGTGTGTATATGCTGGGTACACTGGAGGCAGCTACTGGGGACTGCAGGGACTCAGCAGCAATACATTCCAGGTAAACAACCAGATTCTTTTGCTTATCACTTCATTTTATTTGCTTTGCATCCAATTATCATAAAGGTGTCAAACTTATATATCTAAAGTAGGTGACCCAACACTTCTATTTAAAAAAAAAAAAAAATAAATTTGCTATTGGAATTTTAAATATTATTTTACTGTTATTTTCATGATTTAAATAATAGAAATAAAACTGCAAATTTTTCAACATTTCTGAGGTTTTGTATATTAAATCATATTTAGCAACATTTTTAGGCAGTTAAATGAAAAAATTTTTGCTAGGATTTATTAATATTATATTTTCTTCAAGTGTAAAGATTTTAATTGCCGCCTCAAAGATTAGTTTTGGGTAAATGAACCTCACCTACCTGATATCATGTTACTGTCTGTAACAAAAGAGCTCTAAGTCATGCCTTTAGTTATTTAAAGTTTGATGACAATTTAATAGGTCAAAAAGAAAGGTTTTTAGGACTAGAATACAAGAAAACCAAATTTTCTCTTGATTTGCTTTTGTATTGAATGTTTTTATTTTTATCTCACCAAGGTTCAGCCTCTGCGAAGTGATGGCCGGCCAATTGGAGATAAATTATTTGTTCGAACAGGTCTACTTGGATTTTTAGGCCCAGTAAGTAGACCCTCTTCATTTGCAATATCAAAGGGAGAAGAGGAAGCAAGAACGTTTTTTTTCAAAATTTCATATCTAAATGAACTTAATATAAAGTGTTTTCTTGTTGAAAAGGATTTTAAATTATTTCTTTTCGCTCTTTACAGGGAGGCTTAGTGTTTGTTTGTGGCAGTAAGGAAGGTTTGATGACAGTGTCTGGAAGAAGACATAATACTGACGACATCATTGCCACAGTTTTAGCTGTGGAACCAATGAAATTTATATACAGAGGGAGGTAAAACATTTTAAAACCTTTTATATAAAAAAACACCCAAGTCTCTTTAAAAATTGAACACAAATACAGAAATAAGTAATGTTTGTTTATCTTGATTTAAAATCAAAGCATTTAGAATATTTATATGGACATTTTAGTTGATATTGTGCCTCCAAAAGAAAAAGAAATTAAGTTCCTTTTTTTTTCTATTTCTCAGAATCGCTGTTTTTTCAATTAATGTGTTGAAAGATGAAAGAATTGTGATTATTGCTGAACAAAGACCTGATTGTTCAGAAGAGGAGGTAAGTATCTCCCACAGTTGTTGCTGTTGTTGTGCTATTTAACCATTTGAAACTGGAAGCATTCAAATGTACCTATGGGTTCAACACTCTTATTAGTCTGAGAGCACCTGAATTTTCTGTAGTTGGGTAGTAATGTAACATTTGTCACATCAACTAGAGATACTGGAAATGTAGATTTCCAAAATCATATCACATAACCAATAATACCAACGAGGCTAAATTTAGTATCATTTGAAAGGGAAATCAATTTACGTTCATATAAAATCAACTTGTAATATTTGATTTTTCACAGTTTTTGAGATATATCAATTGAACAAACATCGCATATTTAGATTGATCAACAATTCCTCCAGGACTCCCAAATTTAACAATTAAGAACTCTTACAGGTTGACAGGGTTAATTTGCTGTTAATATATTTATATTGCTTTCAGGTTCACTCTGAAAGAATCCTTTTCTTTATATTGTTAGCAATGAGTGTAAATATAATTTTTTTTAAATTAAATTTAAATGTAGAAAGTGTAGGGTTGATGAGAATTAAAATCTTCTGTTGATTTCTCCCTTACTTAATAGATTTTTGGATAAATATTTTCTTTAATGGAGTGATATCACATTTGTATGTAAATTAGTTAATAATATCAATGCCTTGTGTTGCAGAGTTTCCAGTGGATGAGCCGGGTGCTACAGGCCGTAGATAGCATCCACCAAGTTGGGGTGTATTGTTTAGCTCTAGTCCCACCAAATTATTTGCCAAAGGTAAGTCCTTTTACTAATAAATTTGATCATTCTAACAGCAATTGCTATCTATAAACACACACACACACACACAGTTGCTTCTATCCTCTTAGGTTGCATATTCATTTTATTAACAGATAATCGTAACAATTTCAGTGCCTTAATAAAATATAGTTAAATGTTTGCTATAGGAATTTTGTGTGTAGATATTTCTTTCCTATGTGAATAATAAGTGATAGGATGCTTGAAACAATATAAGTGAAAAAATATCTATGAATAAATTCATGAGATTTTCATTTGATATTTTTTTTTAATTCATTTTAACAATTACTAATGTAGATTTGCTGCCTAATTTTTCTTTCTTTTGTCTTTTAAACAAGAATGGCATTAAATTGTCTGATTTTGAAAATATCAGACCATTGTAAAAGTTTGTACCTGGTTTTAAATATAAAGTGACTACAACTTGACACTGGTGTTTGTTTTGGTGCAAATTTGGTGTGTTCTAGATTGAAATCTTGCATCTTTCAGTTGCAAGTCACACTTTGTTGAATATTGTCTACAAACAAATACCTTAAAATATATGCTTCTATGAATTTTGGGGAGGAGGAGTAAGTGCTGGAACTGCGACAAATCAACATTCAAAAGGTTTATTTGGATCATACTCCAGCACTTTGGAGAGGCAGAAAGTGGTTTGGCAGATTTCATCAGGGTGATTTTAACTTAATGATCAACCATACTCCGGGCAGCCTTCCAATGTTGAAGATGCTCTACTTGTTATCATGGAGAATAAACTGAAGATTTCAATAGTAGAGAATGCTAAGAATTTGAAAACTGATATCTCAGCTGCCTTTCACCATTTGCATAGAATGGGGTTCAAGAAAAATGGCTGATTTTGGCAAATCAAAAAAATATCATTTTCCACCATGACAATGCAAGACTGCATATTGCAAAACGGACCTTACAGAAACTTCAAAAGTTCAAATGAGAAACCTTCCAGCATATTCTCCTGTCATGGCCCCTTCAGATTTTCATTTGTTCCAGTCTCTACAGAAAAAACTAAATGACAAAAAATTTGACTTTGTACAGTCAGTTGAAACCTACTTCACAACTTTCTTCCAACAAAACATATGGAAGTTTCTATGTAAATGACATCAACAAAGTTGTAGAATGATGGGAGACAATTGTTAAAAAATAATGGAGACTATGTACTTGATTAATGTTTTTTTGTATGTAAAATTTTGTTTTTAATTTTCTAATTGGGCAAAAAACTTTTTCAATGATCTAATAGAAGTTGCAAAAAAAATATTGACTGAAATATTTTTGGAAAAAATAAAATGTATAAAAGAGGATGTTTGAAAAATAAAGGAAATAAAATTTATTAATTTATTTTTTTTTATTTATTTTAAATTATTTTCAGATTATTTTCCAAACCTGACTTTGTGAAAAAGCTTTCCATTTTTCACCATGATCTGATTCTTAGGCTTTAAACTCCATTGTTTTGTCAAGCAAAGTTGTTACATTTATATCTTGGCAGAAATAGTTTTTTTCTTTTTTTTTTTCTTTTTTTTCTGTCTCTTCTTACAGACCCCTCTTGGTGGCATCCATCTGTATGAGACAAAGGCCAAGTTCCTGGATGGATGCTTGCATCCTGCCAATGTCCTCATGTGTCCACACACGTGTGTGACTAACCTGCCAAAACCACGGGAACACCATCCTGGTAAAATTTCAGCATTTCTTTCTTCTTCCCTTTCTACTAATAACTGCATATAGAATCTGCAAATTTCTATAGAAATAGAAAATATGCAAACTCACTTGCCTTCAGTATTCCCAAAATTCTATGATCAGTTGTAAACAATTGGTTCATTTGTTGTTTAATTAAAAATTTTCTTACCTTATCTGATTGTATTCATATGCCTCTTTAAGAGGCAACTGAGGCATAATATCATTTCACGATTTATCGTTTAATACATAGAAATTGCTGTAAACTGTGACGTGTTGTATATTTGCACAAAACTTTGATATTTTTTTTTTTTTTTTTTATTGCAACTTCTGATCTCAAAAAAAACGTTTAATTGGTTTATTAATTTACTTAACATTTTTTTTATTATTTATAATGTAAAGTTTTTTGACTGAATTATTTAGAAACTTTTAAAGTTAAGGAATTATAAAATGCTATTGTATTTTACTCAAATCAGTATTTTTAAAAGATCAAACATTTGGGGATTTTTATTTTAATTATTTTCTATTTTTTAGAAAGAGTTTTTCTTTCTGTTCATAATTGATACACAATATGAATTCTAGTGAACAACATAATCAAATCAATGATCATTTTGCTATTCTTTATTTCAGATGTTACCCCGTCAGCTGTACATGTTGGTAACATTGTGCAAGGAATGAGACTAGCCTGGGCACAAGGCCGTGAACTCATCAATTGTGATGATGATGGTGACCAAGGAAAAAAAGTAAGTTATAACTGATGGTTTTTGTGACATTTTTTTTTTAACATGTTTCTGCTGGTGAAAGTGAACTTAGTATGCCTTTGCTCTCATCCCACCAAAGAATAAAGATCCTACTCATTGATGTAATTCTAAAAGCGTTTAAGTTGGCATACATCCTTTTTCCAAGAATGGCATAGATGTTAGCTTACCACACTACCAAAAGCAAAAGGTTTTGAAGGAAATTCCCATCAATATGCTAAAAATAGCAGTAACACATGGACTTGAGAAGTTAAAGATAAAATTTCAACTGACAGTAACACTATTCAGTCAATGAATGCTCTGTGTTTCCTATATAGAAACATCAAATTTTATCATTGCCATAAACAATATTCTGATTTTCATGAAGATAGGTTCCAATTTTAAAGAAATCATTATGCAATAAGGGCATAAGTTGACTTAGGCTCTTTTCAAATTTCTTTTTCATTTTCATAAAATGTGCGTCACATCACACACATGTTCTTTATTTAGATTCTTTGAACTTGCTATTCTGATCAAAGCAGCATTGTTTTATTTTTTTGATTTGTTGGTAACTAGTGAATATAGATGTAGAACTGAATTTACACTTCAGAATTTTAGGAAGCAATTGACATTTACATTAATTTTACAAGGTTGGAGTTATTTTCCTTTTCACTAAGTTCTTGGTATTTGAATATCAGATCAGTTAGTCATTTTGATGAGTGCCACTTGTAAACAGTTTATCATTCAAGAGAAACTATTTGAAATTGCTTTTGAAGTTGATGCATTTAAAATTTTCATTAGAAATCTTGGGGAAAAAAAAAAAAGAAATTGATAAAACTTACTCTTAATGAGTTCAAATTTGTGATACTTTTATTAAATCGAAAATTATCTTTTAATGGCGATTGAATGCCTAAAACTGATTTATCATGTCGTTTACAGCATCAATTTTTGACAGAAATTCTTCGATGGCGTTCACAAACTACACCTGACCATGTTGTCTTCACCTTGCTTAATTCAAAGGTAAATTGATACTTTTCTGATTCCAGGTTTTTTTGTTTTTGTTTTTGTTTTTTTGTTTTTTTGTTTTTTTTTCTTTCAACCATTTTTTTTTTTTAAATTGATATTTGATTTTTATGTCAACTTGCTGAAATGTTTTACTGTTATTTTGTTAAGGTGCAACCAGCATTAGTGATGACATGTTCTCAATTACACAAGAAAGCTGAGCGCATTGGCTGTTTACTCATGGAAAAAGGCCGACTTAACACAGGCGACCATGTTGCACTTATCTATCCACCTGGTAAGTCTTTGCAATAAGACAGGTTTATACAAAAGATATGTTCGTCCTTATTAAAATACTTCTCATCTTAGAGAGTAAATTGCTCTATCATTTCCTGATTTATGATTCACTCTCTTTTCCTGTATTTTTTATTTATTTATAAATGTATAGCATGCAAAGTAAAGAAAGAATAAAGCTTTGTTTTGTAATTTATCTGACATTCTATAAAGAATTGTTTAAGGAATAAATAAAATTGAGTCTGTGTGTAAATTGAGTTATCCTTTTAGTCTTTAAAATGGAAAAAATTATATTGAGTAACAAAAAAAGTTCAGTTTATTAAGATAATTTTATTTTTTCCTCTATCTACTTTCTTTCAAATGATGTCATAAACCTTTTAGATTTCTATCAGAAATACTTACAAGCCAATAAACATGAGCAAGAACCTATACTTAAAATATCATAATCAGTAAATATTATTTTTCTTGTTGTTTCCTCATACTGATGTTTCTAAATCTTATTTACTTTAATGCAAAATATCTAATCTTGTAGGAATGATACTTGTCATGCAAAATTATTACAAACTTCTGATTGTTGTTTCTGCTCTACTGGTATTGAAGACCTTACAATAAGCAACTGAATATGGTCATAGCAGCAAATGGTTTTAACTTTGTACTCTTGACAGGATGCTTCAGATAATAGTTATCCTTGTACAAAAATACAAATGTTCATCTTACTGTTTCTTTCTTTATTATATTTGACTTTTTCTTAAGAACTGAGATTTCTTGAACTCCTTTTACTCAATTTATTAAAAATATTACAAAATCTATAAGAGTTAACACGAATCCATCATGTGTCAGTTTTCAATGAATTATAAAATGAAAAATGGTCTGCATTCTTTTTATGTCATTGTTACACTGAGTAACTTTCTTTTTTTTTCTTTTTGTAGGATTGGACTTGGTTTGTGCATTTTATGGTTGCCTTTATATTGGTAAGTTCTTGATTTTATTCAGTTTTTCTCTAGGCAGAAATTTTGTTTTGATCTATTTAAGTTGCTTGTTCAAGAACAATCGTTTTTTCTTGAACAACTTAATCTGTTCCCCAACAATATGATCCAGTTTCTATTCTGGACATTTTCAGGACCTGAATTTTTATCCCTAACACATTTTCCATTCCTTCTATAAATTTGGTCTCATTTTAATCTAATCTTGTAACCAAAATCAACTTTTATGATATCCAATTTTTAGCCTTTATTTATTTTACCAAATTTAGATAAATAAGGAGTAATCTTAGGAAATTGTATTTAATTGAAATAAGAGTAATTAAATCTTCTTGTATTTTAAATCTTTAAGTATAGATTTTTTTTTTTTTTGCACATCATTCAAACTAAAATTGTATTTCTTTCTGATGTGTATCATAGGCTGTGTACCTGTCACAATTAGACCTCCTCATCCTCAGAATGTGGCCACAACACTCCCTACTGTTCGAATGATTGTTGAAGTAAGCAAATCTGTAGCCATCCTCACCAATAATCCAATAATCAAACTGCTGAAAAGTAAGGTAAGTCATTGTTGCTTTTTACATTTAGTCTGTAATTCTCTCAGAAACGGATTTGCATCTATCATTCTTGATTGCTTATAGTATTCCATCAACTTCCTTCATCATAAAAAGAAAATTGACACAGTATCAAGTGAAAATTAGGTTGGTTAAAAAGTTTATCTAATTTATTAAGTAAATCTTTTTTTTTTTTTTTTCTCTTCAATATTAGTTTAAGTGAAGAACATATTGTAAATTTTATTCCATCCTCCCAGCATTTTTATCTTAACAAAGAACTGCTCAAAGTGCTTTTTGTAATCTCTTGGAAAACTGAAAATTTCTTTATATATTTTATGTTGGCTACCTTTTACATATAACATTGATTCTATTCAATATCTTGATTTGATCACTAAAAACCTCAACTGGTCTACTTTTCCATTCAGTAAGAAATCTTTACAAATTTCTTGTGATTCTTGTTTTTACCTTTCTTAAAAAATAATAATAATATGCCATAAGTATTTTTCTATCATAAGGGTTAGAATCGAATAAAAATATGCTAGTTTTGACAATAAAAAAAATATAATATGTTGATATGCCATTTGTCATAATATAATCAAAAGCAAGTTTATCAATGAAGTTATTGAAAAGTAAATACTCTTAATGCAACTAAAAGAAATTTTTTTTTTCAACTCAATATTTTCAAAGAGATTACCTATTAGTTGTCATATTCATACTAGGTTCTTTGGATAAATTTTTCATTTTTTAATACTTTTCAAGTGCACTCTTATGAACAAACAATACCTCAAAATTTGTTTACTAGTCGGTGGCCACTGAAAGTTATCTTTTTAAGATTTTTTATTTATTTTTGTTGTGGGAGAGCATTCTGTTTCTTTTAAAGACACAAAATTGTCTTTTTTTTCCTTCTTTTTTTTTTGACTGCTTCCATCATTGTTTCTTTCCACTTTAGAGAAACAGCCTTTTTTTTTCTCTCTCTCTCTTTGAAATATCATTTTTTTTTTTTTTTTTTTTTTTACAATTTCAGGAAGGAGGTGCTGTTGTAGATCCTAAGACTTGGCCGCAGCTGTTAGACACAGATGACTTAGGCAAAAAGAAGTTAGCAGCAGTTTATCGAGCCCCAACCCCAGAGATGATCTGCTATCTTGATTTTAGTGTATCAACAACAGGAATGCTTGCCGGTGTCAAGGTGATTAAACTTATTTTAATTCTGCACTTAAAAGTAATGGGTTGAATATGCATCAGCCATTTGGTTAGAATAGCATTGATCTTGAATAGTAAGTCTTTTGAGAATTAGAAAGTTTTGCTTTCACAATGAGAAACATAATCTGATTTATAACATTTATTGTCTGACTATAGACAATGACAAGCACATTTTCAATGTCTCTCTCAATAAGTAGCTTGAAGGTCTTTGAGCTCAATCTCTTCAAATTGGTGACTATTCTCTAGTCATATTGAAGAAAATTAAGTCCAAGGATATTGCTTTAAGAACTGGTTTTCATACTATTAGTAAAAGTTTTGTGTGATTTACTCTGAAAGACTACAATATTGCATTTCTTTCTTCAAAAGACACTCTCCGAAAATGTAATTTAAATATCACTCTTATTAAACTGAAGACGAATCTTGAATAAATGCAAGTAACTCTTTTATGTTTAAATACAGAAGGAAAATATGAAGACTGTTATGAACAATTTCTGCATATGTCTAGCAAAAGTGTTCTTTGATGTTTTGCGTTTGCTGATGCTTATCTTTGTGTTGCAGATGTCTCATGCTGCTGCCACTGCTCTATGTCGATCTCAAAAGCTCCAATGCGAGCTATATCCCTCCAGAGATGTAGCCCTCTGCCTTGACCCTTACTGTGGATTAGGCTTTGTGCTATGGTGTTTAAGTAGGTTAGTATTACAACAACTTTTTTCCAAATCTTTCAATAAAACATTCATTGGATTATTACCATTTATACTGAATCTTTGTTTTTTATCTCCTATTTTTTAGCATCTATTCAGGCCACCACTCTATCTTGATTCCCCCTTCAGAAGTTGAAGCAAACCCTGCAGTGTGGCTGACTGCTGTCCATAATTATAAAAGTAAGTACTAATTACCAAGTGTTTTTCCTTGTTTCCCTTACACTCAAAGAAAACAATTCAAGGATGAAGGTATTTGATGTGTGAGTGAAATTTGGTAAAATTGGTGACTTAAATATCTGTAACTTAAACATTAGGATAATAAATAAATGAAATTGAAATAGTGAATTTATTCAGAAAATGCATTTATTACCTTTTTGTCTTGCTTTGAAAATCAAAGAAAATAATTGAATTAAGCAAATTATTGATAACTATTATGCAGACCATCAGTATCTATCCAAATTGATGCTTGAAAATAGATCCTTGCCAATTATTATTATTATTCATAATAATTATTGTTGCAACTTGTCTGAAATACAAGTTGTTCTTTATTTTAATGTTTCTCTCCTAGAAAAATGCAAGTGTAATTTTTGTGTTTCTGTTACAAAAAAATGGCTAATAGCGATATCTGTCAGGCTCTGAAGAATATGAAAATTAAATATTTTGGCTGCTTGAAATTCCATTTAATATTTTTCTTTGTTTAAACACCAGAAGAAAAAAAATTGATTAAAAAATTTTCTCTTCATTACTTGAATCATCTTTTGATAAAAAAAATTTGTTTCTGTGAACAGCTCGCGATACATTCTGTTCCTATGGAGTGATGGAGCTTTGTACAAAAGGTTTGGGAACATCTACCTCTGCTCTCAAAGTAAGCTGATGTTTTTCTCTGAAATATATTTTTAATAATTTTAATTTTCATGTTCATTTTAAGTGTTTGCCTCTTAAAAATTGAAATAAATATTTGTTATTGTTAATGATGGAATTTTTGCATGGAGGTAGTTTGAATTTCTTATTTAAGATATATAGTTAACATATATATTAAGATGAATGCTTCTTGATTTAAAAAAAGACATTGTTAAACAGATCTGAAATAGAATGGTGCTTTTGAAGAAAGTTAATAATTGAATGATTATAAGGAAGAGAAATTGTTGAATGAGGACAGAAATTAAAGATTAGACAAAATCACTTTATAAAAAGAAACTTTTTAGTTGTATATATATTTTGTATGAGAAAGTCAATCGTTTCTTACATGTTTTGAGATTGTGTACATTTTAATTTCTTTTCTGTAGGCCCGTGGCATTAATTTGTCTTGTGTCAGAACATGCTGTGTGATTGCCGAAGAGAGACCCAGAATTCAGCTGACAACATCTTTCACCAAACTTTTTGCCAATCTGGGTCTGGCCCCACGAGCTGTCAGCACAAGTTTCGGCTGCAGAGTGTGCATTGGAGTTGGTTTACAGGTAAACAGCAACAAAATTTGTTTAAATTGTAAAATGAATCCAATAAACCTGGCTAATTTTGGGGGACATTTCAATTTTATAAAACCTCTCAAGCTTCTTTACCAAAATGTTCAAAAGGAGGGTATTTTTTTTACTTTTTGCTCTGGACTTCCAATTATCTTGTAGATTTTCTCATATACTTTGAAATATAAAATAAAAAAAATTAGCATCTCATCTTATGAATTGATATAAAATCTCTTAATTCCAGAGGTAAAATAACTTACTACTACCATTACGCTAGCTGCACCTGTCCATGGCTAGTGCAGGGGAATCTTGTAAGATATAGGTTAGCAACTGTAAAAGTCATCATACCAAAAATTTTATCAGTAGCATCACCATTCTGATCCAAACATTATAAAATAACTTAAATAAAACTAATATGTTGATATGAATCCACCATTAACATTGATGATTGCTTCAATACAAGGTCTGAAATGTTGACAGAATCAGATGATCTTTATCTATTTTGAACATTGTGCTAGTTATGGTGGACTTTAGAGATTTTATAGTATTATTGAATCAATGACTGACTTCCCTTTTAACTACACCCCCTTATATAGTAGTCCAAAAGATTCAGGTCTGAAGAGCTAGCAGACCATATGTTTGGAATGTCATGATAATAGAGATTGTAATTCATCCATTATTGAGTCAGTTTGGTTTTATGAGACAGCACAGTTTTGTTGATAGGTGTACAGTCTTCCTTTGCTCACACTCTCTATCCAGATCCTCACAACCCCCTCTAATACCTCCTTATAGTCAGCAGCATTGACCCTTAATTACTGAGGAAAGAAATGAGGAGGCATGCTCAGTTATTGCTCACCCATTTCCACTGAGTGCAAGTACACACTGCCTGACCCAGGGATTGAACTCGATCACTGTCACCAAATTCATGAACCAATGCTTTAATTCGCTAAGTCATTGTCCTGTAGGTAATATAGTGATTAGGAGTTCAATCCCTGGGTCAAGCAGTATATACTTGGAATCAGTGCAAATGGGCAAGCAATAACTGAGCAGTACTAATAAGAACTAGACAATATTTATCGACATGGGCAATAGAATGAGAACAATCTACTCTTGTAGATTAAATAACGGGTTCAATTCAGAATTTCCAGATCGATATACACCTGAGGAGGGTAGGAGGGCACAATGGCTGAAACACTGTGATAACAACAACAAAGATGAGGATAATAGTCCAGATATAAATAAGGAAAATTATTGTTAAAATTGATGTTTTTTTTTCCTGATTGATAAGGGTAGGTACTGTGTGTTTCAAGCCCTATGCTATACAGCATATCTTAATAAAATGTAACAACTTAAGACTGACTCATTTCAGATATTATTCAGGGCTGTGGAGTCAGAACACAAGACCTCCAATTCCTCTGTTTTTGGCACCTGTGACTCCTCTTTATGTAATTAAGTGATTATGGCCTACAAATCTCAAAGCCTATGCATATGCTTCTAACTTGAGTAGGCTTATATCATTATAACTGGTTTATACCAAAGAATAAAGATATTGTGGCTTTTATATCATACCTATTCATTCTTCATTAATACCAAATAGCTCTAATGCAGATATAGATAAAACAACCATACACAGGCAGACAGATACTCTCTATGTCTGGACATTAGGAAATGATAAGCTAGGGTAATTTAATTTGATTTATGATGCCCACTTGTCCTCAGAGATCGCAAGGAATTTTTCCTTACACACAATTTTGTCTTTCTTTTTATTTTCAAACTGAAGAAGCCAAAGAGGACAGACACTTTCTCTGGTGAAATGTGTCTTTGATAAAAAATTTTCTATTTCATCTCATCTTCATTTTTGTTTCAGATACTATTATATATCCTAAAAACACACACATATAATGTGTGTGTATGTATATAAAATAAATTTTCAAGAAATTATAAATCTTTGTGACAATATAACACCAAAATGTCATTAAATACAAAATCCAGTTGACAAAACTTGTCTCTTCTGTATTGCACAGATTTGCAGCTTCAAATGTTTTTAACAGAAATAGAAATTTGCTAGTCAATGTATTTAATGAGATTTTATTTTAATTATGAAACTCAATGAATTAAATTTGTAAAAAAACCTTTTCTCTCTTGATTTGTTGTTGAATATCGTAATATCTGTTTGCCTTTCAGGGAGCTTCCAGTCCAGAACCTTCAACTGTGTATGTAGATTTACGTGCACTTAGAAATGATAGAGTGACTCTGGTGGAGAAAGGAAGCCCTCACAGTTTGTGTTTACGGGAATCTGGGAAGGCAAGTCTCTTTCACTTTTAACAAAACTTCATGAATCACTTTTGCTTTGTTTTCATTTCAGTTAAATCTACAAAATTTTATGAAATTCATCTAGCAGATTTTTTTTTTCTGTTCACCAGTACAAGGCCTAAGAGAAAGGTAGTGGGGTTACTGAATGACATTGTTGAAAGTAGATCAGTTGGCCTGAGACTTGAAGAGGGTATCTGTTCCACAAAGTAGTTGTTCTCGAGAAGATGATGTCTGAATGGAACTTCCTCCTTACCAATAGAATACATAGGGAATGTGGATAATTTATTTGACCCTGTATATGTGACATGGCGAGTTTTATCTGTATGTTCAGAACCAATGGAACTAAGGGATGTAACCATGAAGATGGTGATAGTAGCAAGAGACTTGCAATGTTTTATCTGTAGTGTAGGGAAGGAGTTGTATGGTGGAAAATACTTCATCTCCCAAAAGTTCATGTAAGTGCTTTTGAACTCTGTCAATGCTAGAAAGTGAGGATTGTGCAGCTCCAGCCCAGATATGGCAGCAATACTTCATTTTTGGTTTCATTTGACTCTTGTAAAGATAGAGAAGGGCAGGAGCTAAATACTCTCTGGACTGCAACAAGGAACCAACCAGTTTTCCAGAAATTTTGCCTCTGTCATAAAAATTTTCACAGAATTTAGTATACTTGACGACAAGTTGAAAAGGAATTTTCTGATGCAACTTGATTTTATTGAGTAATGGTTAAAAGATTCTCTCTGATTTCACACTTCAGAAAAGTGTCAGGTGAAATGTAGTCTCTCCTAAACTGTTACTTTGGAATTTTTTAAATTAATTTTTTCTTGCATATTTCCCACTTGCACCAGTTCAATATTCAGGTTCAGCTAAAAGCCAGGATTTTATATACTGATCTTCCAGGCAGAAATGTACTCCCAATTTGAAACATTGGTAAAGCACAATCTTTTTAATGTTCTCCTTTCCAAAATTCCTCTTGAGGCAAAAAGAAATTTTGTGTAAATATTTCAATTTATTATTTTTGTTTACCTGCAAAAAGTTGACCTTTTATTAAATGAAACAACTTTAGTGAATTCCATTTATTATTATTTGCAAATTCTTAAGGCTTATCTTGTTTGGTTTGCATTTGTTCCAGCTCCTTCCAGGCGTTAAGGTTGTGATTGCCAACCCTGAAACCAAAGGGCAATGTGCTGATTCCCATCTTGGTGAGGTACATGTTACTTTTTATTCATTACTGCCTGAAAATTGATTCTCTCTCCCCATCCATCCATCCGTCACTCTCGCTCTCTCCCCATCCATCCATCCGTCACTCTCGCTCTCTCCCCATCCATCCATCCGTCACTCTCGCTCTCTCCCCATCCATCCATCCGTCACTCTGGCTCTCTCCCCATCCATCCATCCGTCACTCTCGCTCTCTCCCCATCCATCCATCCGTCACTCTCGCTCTCTCCCCATCCATCCATCCGTCACTCTCCATCTCTTTATTTTTGTTATTATTTCTCATACTGTTTTGTAGATCTGGGTGAGCAGCCCTCACAATGCCACTGGTTATTATAGCATCTATGGTGACGATTCTCTGCACACTGATCATTTTGACTCAAAATTGGCCACTGGAGATATTCACACTACCTATGCCAGAACAGGCTTCCTTGGCTTTATTCGTCGTACAGAATTGACTCAGTCTGATGGAGGTAAGACTTCTTGTCTCAACATCTATGATTATTAGCAGTAAATATTTTCTATTCAGTCTCTAAAAATAATTTGGTCTACATATTTTTTTTTTTTTTATAAAGACTACTATTCTGCTATACTTGAATCTCATTTTTTGATACCCAATCAAGATTTCTCATTGCAATAATTATACACAGACAATTTCAATATTCTTTTTTCCTATTTCCCTCTGTATAAAAACCTTAATTCCCTTTGCTTGTCAGTTGAGATTGTAATTTCTTTCCAAGAATTACTAATCGCTCCCCCACCCTCCCTCATTATACGTGCACCCACTCACTTTTGTGTCTGACTTTCTAATATTTACTAACATTGAATCACAGAGCTTATCAATTTCTCACCACTTCTTTATTTTTTAATCTTTCCATTGAAAAAAAAAAATCCCCATTTTTTTAAAAATGAAAATGCATGAATTCTTTTCCAGTTTTTATCTTCTGTATGTTCAATTCTTGTGATACTTGATTCTTTCTTAACAACAAAATCTCTACCTGAAAAGCAAGCATCATGGCAAGTAAATCTTCCTCTGATTGACTCCCCCTCTCTCTCTCCAAAAATGTAATGGATTGAATGAATTGTGTGCATTTATTTTTCCTTCTTTCTCTCTCTTTTATATTCTGTTTTCCTATTTGGAAGATAGTTGAAAAGTTAAGACACTTTTAGCTCTCTGGAAATGGTCAAGTCCAAGCCAAACTGGTTTGAAGAATATGGCCTGCCTCTAACGACATAATGCCATACTGTTCCTCTTTTATTTGAAATGGCTTCAATTTTTTTTTATTGATATAAATCTTTTATGATTGGGATTTATGATAGGTCATAACAATCCCAATTATTTATGTTTGAAGAGTTACATTATTTTTCTTCACTGTTCTTCAAAGTATCGAATGCAAACACAACAGAGATTTCCTTTTGATGATTATGGAATATCTTGCTTTATATTTTTGTGTTGGAATTAAAATAAAAATAGCTTTCTTTAATTCTGAAGTTCTTAAAACATAGATTAATTATTCATAATTGCATTAAAAAAAAACTAAGCAAGATTTGATTTGATTAATGTTTCTGCTAATTATTTATATAATAAAAAGAAATGTGAGAATTTCTTTTCTATACAAAGCACTTCTTCTAATCCTCCTGTTCTCTCTTTAAAGCATTTGTGTCTTAGCTGACAAAATATTTCCTTCAAGAACAGGGTTAACATATTTAGCTTTGTTGAAAAATTTCCATTCTAGAATTCTTTGTCAATTTTTATTTACCTCCACCTTCTACTACTGCAATTTTCAAACAGCCTTTCAAGGGAGTAATTTCAGCCCAGGAAAGAATTTGAACAGACTTTCAATTATTGGTATAAGTACAATTATAGCAATAACAATTATAGTAATAAATAACTAACTTGATTATTCAAAATAGGGAAGGAATTGGAAAAGTTTGGATTAAAAGACTCTGAGAATTCACATCTCTACTATTTTTATAGGTAAATCCATTTGTGTAAAATGTTAGTTTCTCATCAGAATGTACTGTTGATTTCTTTTCTTTTATTTTTCTAAGTAATATACTGTGGGGGTCAGTCTGCTGTGTGCCATTGAACTTTTCTCCCTCCCCACCCCTTCCAAGCATGCACGAAAATAACCCATCACCATGCTCTCATTGTCTCCTCCTCACTCTATTTTACAATAGTAAATATCTTTTGTTATTCCTTTTCTCACAATGTGTTCAGTTTGTCTTCTTGCTACACTCAGAATTTCTTTTTGCTCCAATGTTGTCTATTTTGTCAGTTCTTTTTTATTTTTTTTTTTTTTTTTTTTTTTTTTTTTATAAAATATTTTTTTTTTTTGTTCAATGAAAAATTTTAACCGAAAAGTAAATTATTTTTCACTCTGCACACAAAAAGATAAATCTTAATGCTTATATTTGAAAACACAAATTTGTTTAAAAAAAAAAATGCTGGTTAAGATTGGACACTTATTCAATGGAAAGTTCTTGCCTGCATTTCCTACTTCTTTCTATCAACTTGATGAGAAAAAAAGTTTTGTTTTGAACTAATCTTTGGTGTAAATGAGTTTCAGAGAAGTACTCTGCTTCTCTTATTTGCCTCTGATGAAAGTAATAATTTGACTGAACATGAGTAACATTGGTTGTGCTCGGATTAATGCAGATTGTCCAGAAATGGCTTTTTCCACCTAGTGCCAGATTTACCTTTATGCTTAGCAGACTGAAGCCTAGAGCCTCAAAATCTAGGGGGCCTCCAGCCAATGTGTATAACATTTTTGACACTGTAATAGGCCTTTTTTACACATGCTGTTATAACACACTAGACTCTAAATAACCCTTCAGTAATTTTAAACACCTATCATTACCCTCAGCTTTACTCAAATTGTTTGATGTAACACTCTTCCATTTTTCTTCTACTCATGAGAATGGGGTATTTGGAAGGGCTCACAAGTGGAATAGCCTAGGGCCTCTCTTCAGCTAAATCTGGCCTTGTCCTTACCTTTTTTGAGTTTTTTCACTCTTGACCATCTACATGATTTTGGCAGAAATCTACGGCCTTGACTTATTTTAAATTGATTGAATCTCAGTGTCAAGAGAAATCCAAATTCTTTTATGATACAAAGAAATCACACATTTTTTTGTCAAATTATCTCAGAATATGGTTGTTATCAAACCTCTTTTGGTCTTTTAATATTCATGATGCAAAAACTATCAAGACCAAATGTGACCTTTTTTAATTTTAAACTCTTATACAATGTGCCCACCTATCTTAACTTTTCTATGCTCAGTCTGCATTCACCAAAATTTCTACACACACCCACATTTCTCTTGCCTTTGTGTTGGTTCCACTTTTTAATTTTTTTTTTTTTTTTTATACATGTGCTGTTTTTGTTTTTAATAATTTTTTTTTTTTTTTTTTTTGCACTTTTCTTCTTGAGCCTCTAAATTGATTTCATTTAAATTAATTTCAATTCTTTTTCATCACCAAGGTGTTTGTCACGATTTTTGTTTGATTTCTCATCTGTTTTATTTTCTTTGTCTTTAGTTATGCAAAGCCTTTCATTTGTAGCAATGCTTAGGTTTTGTTTTTTTTTATTTGTTTATATTTTTTAGTTTTTAATGAGCAGAACCCTGGCCAACCACAGACTCTTCCGTCACCATCAGGTTCACCATTACTATTTGTTACATCTGTTATATATCAACATCAATATATTCTTCTTTCTGCTAATGTTATCTTCTCCTTGCTCTTTATTCCACCCATCAGGATTTTTATCTTTTAACAGCATTCATCATCATCATCATCATCATAGCTGTTGCTGTTAGCAATTGTTTTTCTTTACTCTCTACTCCCCCATCCTTCCAGCAAAATTACCTTTGCTCCTTGTCTATATTTTGCCTCGCCCTTCCCCTTAGCCATTCACTTCTGCACCACTGCTCTACCTCTCTTTCTCTCAACTTTCTCTTCTCTTTTTAGTGACTGCATGGCTACAATTTGGGGGTTCATCATTTTTCTACCATCCACTAATACAGTACAAAGCATTAATTTCTAAATTTGTAAATGTAACACTTCCAGCGTCAACAACAACTGCAGCACCACCCTGACCAAATCTTTCCTGAGAAATGTCTTTTCACAAATTCTTTATTTTCAGCTATGATATATATTTTTAAATTCAATTTCTCTACCCTACCTAAACTGTCATTCACAAAGTACTTTTATTTATTTCTAATAAATAATTGTGCAGGTGTGGGTGCTGTTTCTTTTGTGTCAAACATTTCCTCCCTCATTGCCCTTTCTGACAGCTTTGAACAACACATTTTTAATGTTCTTGTTAATGATTGAGACTCTCAAGGTAGTCATTTGTGTCCAACCTCTTGTTATATACAAAATGTTCTCACAATTTTATCTTGTATTTCAAATTAGACAAAAATTTAAAAAGTGCAAGGTATTAAGATTTGTGTGGCTTCAATGACAATTTGCAACTTAATGTCCACAACATCTATAACAAGGTAATAGCAGCAAAAATGAGAATATTACTTTGAATATAAATAACTCCTCATTCCAGAAATGCAAACAAATTACAGTTTAAATAAAAATAATAAAAATCTTTAAATATTTGTGTCCAGGATATCAATCAAGGTAGGTAAAGTGTTAAGATCTGTGGTAAATCTGGATCAGTTTTTTAATGCATACATGAAAATTTCTCAAAGGAGTTTTTAAGTTAATGTTTATATCCTAATCATTTTGGCATAATGTTCTTTTGTAATAAGAATAAATTAAATAAATTCTAACTGTTATTTAATGATAGAATAATATTCATTCATGGTTATTATCATGTGACTGTTAAATACTGAAATTTCTTTTAGTTTTCTTTGGATGTCAGTTTTTGTTTTCCAAAATGAGAAAATGAGGAATCAAGAAATAATTTCACAAAAATTAGATGGCCAAATATATATATATTTTAAATTAAAAAATCTCAATAGGTTTGAATATATTTTCTCATTTGGTTGAGTGTTCTCTTCAGGAATGATTAAATATCTAGCAACTACTTGATGGCAATTTGAATCTTTTTCACCTTGAAAAATATAAAGTGTATAAACAAATACAAATAATTATTCTCAGGTATTTGTAAATTTAACATTCCAAAATCTGCCTTTGTCAGCATTGCAATGAAGGAAGGAAAGAAAGAAAGAAAGAAAAAAAACCCAAAAAACAATGAATTTATAAAATTTTGGAGGTAACTTGTGAAATTATTTGATAGAAAAGAATGGAAAATGTCCCTACTATAAGATAGTGTTGCAGTAACAATTTTAAATCTTATCCAGTGTTACTTTCATATTTAATGGTGAAAAATGTATAATAGAAAGAACCAAGATATCAAAATTTTATTCACTTCTTGATGCATCTCATATTTTCACACAAGTATTTTATACATCCATTCTTTATTGCCATCATGTATGTTAATTGAATGATAACTGTTTTATAGATTGGCACTGTTTTCATTCTTTGTATTTTTGCTAATACTATCTAACCAATTTTTTTTTCTCTGGATTAATCCAACTCTTAGGGCTGCTGCTCCTCCTCTTGCAAACCATGATTGTGTCTGTTATTTTACAATTCTTCTCTTTGGTTAATTTGTTTGTAGATCTCTAGTGCCAATGTTTCAAGCAATGTAGCAATACCACTGTTCATGTTGAATGAGCTTTGGTCTTTGTTGTGTCTAACCTATTCCCCATCCCCTCACTTCCCCCACTCCCACTTTTCCTGATGGGTAGCACAGATCATTGTTACACTTTGTAGGTTTACTTCTTTCCCACACTCTTTTTCTCTACAAAGTAATCGAATACAAATGATTGTTGGAATTCTTTAATGTTTTACATGTTTGTATGTTATTCTTGTTTGTCTCTTGTCTTTGTTGTTGCCATTTCTGTTTTTGTCTCTATGTTGTGGCATGTCAATTTTGGTGGTGTCCTCTTTCTCACAATCATTGTGCACAGTATTTTGGTTTTATGCTATACAAGCAATGCTTCTCCATACTTGTATGGTTGTTGCGAAACCGATAATTTCACTAGTCGGTCAGTTTTCTGACTTCTGTGACTGTGAAGAAGATGGATAGAACACTGGAGAGGGGATCCGTACAATAGAATGCACACAAGAATCAGGAAAAAATAAAAATAAATTGATTTGATGACTATAGGCATATTTATTATTCAGTTTGATCTTTGCCTATAACAATGTCTGTATATAAACAGAAACTGAGATATCCAGCAAAGGTATGATATGTGGAACTAGAACAATCTACTCCAGTGGACTAAATAAAGGGTTTGATTTGAAATTCCAACCTCTATCACCTGAAGATATCACCGGAACATATAATGGCTGAAATGTTGTGAATATGACAATAAAGATGGGAACAACAGTTCAAACAATGTAAATAATTACAATACCTCATTTGTTTTTGTTTTTTTGTTGTTTTTTTTCGACACCCAATTAAGCAAAAGAATTTTTGCCATCTTAAAGAAACTTGTGAAGTTAGCTTTAAAATCACGCAACTACAAACCAGTCGTTTTTGTGCAAAAATTTCCCCTTTGTGTGAAATTAATCTTAATCTTTGATATTTAAGTACAAATATTTCATTTTAAAAAATCAGGTCTAGTTCCAGAGGATCATGAAATGTCTCTGATCAGAAATAGAAATGTGTGGACATTTTTATGACACATGCATGTGTGCGTGTCAGCAAATTTTCTACTTGCTAATAATTTTTTTTTTTTGTTTTTTTATTTGAATTTTTCATGTAAACAATATAATTATATTTTAAAAATATCTCCAAAATTTACTGATTTGAAATGAGTAATTTTAATTTACAGGTGTTTCCTTTTGTGTATTGGCTTCTCTTAATTTCTCAGTTTCTCTAAATGCTACCTTTTGTTATGGTTTACTAAAGTTTTAAGCAGTAAGAGTTGAATTTTAAGTTTGAAAATTTGTCAGATTTTCAAATTTGAACATTTTTTTTTTTTTGTCATATGCAAATGGTAGAAATTTCTTTCATTTCGAGAAGTTTTCTTTCTTCAGTCTAATTTAACTCTATCTTTTCAAATCACAATCTTACAGATTGTCAAGACCAATTCTTTCCTTCTGTACCCACAGAACATTAACCAGTTCTATGCATGCACACTAACATTTCAAAATTCTAAAATGTATTTTGCTTCTTTCTGCCCATTCCCTGTTGTCACGTCCTATTTTGAAAACATTGTCTTTTGTATGAAGTCGGTTATTTGAATTGTACCCTCATTCAAATTGAAAACTGAAGCATTGGCCAAAACCTTTTCAATGTCAACAAGGTTCTAATGAGTATTAAGCATGAATAACTGCAAAATTGCATAGAATGTCTTGTTATTGTTTGCCAAGCATTCAAATTAGCATGTTCCAAGATTGTAAAATACTCTATTAATTTGCCTTGTTAAAGCTTTCTGTGGCTCCTTTCATGGCTATTCTGCATTCTCTTTCTATTCTTCTAACTTGCCTCCTTCATATGTACAATGTTTACAATGTACAAGAATCTGCGTGCATGTGTGTGTGTGTGTGTGCACACATATAACTGCCAAATACAAGTGACTTGAGTAATTTCTACAGTCTTAAGATGTGTTTTTTATGTCAAGTTTTTATCATTGATTTGCTCAATGACTTGATACTCCTGCTAGTAAAGAGACCCTAAAATAATCAGAATGGCTCTTTCAGATCTTGTCACAGGTCTATTGTGGCAAGCATTGTTATATTTTAGACACCTGTAAAACATTTTCACTTTGCTTGTATTTGTCAAGATGTCTCTTCATAGTGACTTTTATTTTGTATATCTGTAAGGTAGGTATGTCATTCATATACTTTTCTTTTCTTCAAATTCACCTGCAGGATTTTGCTTTTGACTTTAAGAGTATTTTGTTTTACTTTACACTATTGCTGTATGCAATAAGCATTTATTTTTGTAATTTAAAAAAAAAAATTATTGTATCCAAAATAATTATGTATTCTCCAGAATTAAAATTGCTGAAATTGCCTGAGTCAAAGGTTTGCAAAAAAAAGTCCCTTTGACTCCCAAACAAACCATAACAATTCTTTTTTAGAAAAATCTACCTGGGATATCCTTAATAAATATTCATAAAATTTCCTCATTCATTAATTTAGACTGTAAGCATTTTAAGACAAAGTATGTAATTTTTGGAATATATAATAAAAGTGGCACCTTGTCTTATAAGGGAGGATCTTGATCAATCCTTGATGCATGAAGCATTCCAAAATGCTAAAGGAAGCTGAACAATTTTTGTTTTTAATCCCTTGTACATGTGGGATGCCAACTTTAAATACAGCCTTGTGCCATATTCTGTTTGAGTGGGTGGATAAATACTAATTCATGGAATTGGTTGGAGAATATATGCAATGGCAATTCTGCAAATTTCAAGTAAATTGAACCTTGTGTTTATAAAACTGGATACAGTTAAATAGTAGAAACCATCCTCATGCCACTAATTTCATAAAAAGGTTTACTTTGGTGAATCTGTTAATTTCTAAAACTGATGCAACTTTTTGTTGGTTGTCTTCTGGGGGCAAACAAGAAAGGGTGAAGTGTGTCAGATTTGACTGAAAATTAGAAAAACTGAAATAAGTACAAGTTCTTGTGCCATTGTTTCAGAATGCAGATAAACTTGACAAAAATGAGTCTGAAAAATATTCTGTAGATAAATGTTTATTTAACAAAAAAAAAAAAAGTAGATTTTTATTTTTAAATGTTTATCTCAAAGCGAGTTTTCAGAATTTTCCCCTTAAACTTGACATATTTTGATTTAAAACAAAAAAAAAAACAGACATTCTTGTGTGTATGTGGTGGGGGGAATGAATGGATGTTTTCATGGCTTTATTTGTCAGCTTATTGTTTAAATAAGGCAATAACAACTGGTTGAACAAATGTATTTTCTTCCAAATAAGGAAATAATTGTTGAACAGTTGCATTATGGATAAAAAAAAAAAAAAAATTCCTTTTGTTTTCTTTTTGCTTGCTATGGTTTATCTTTTTTTTTTTTTTTTTTTTTTTTTTTTTTGCAATGGCTATTTGCTTAATAACCTAGAATGCTCAATTCAAATATCTTTTGAGCAACAATACAAAAACTGAAGCCTTGCTTTTCTGCATCTAAATTAACATAATTTTCTTTCTGTGCAAATGCTGGATATTTTTATCAACACTGGATCAAGTGAAGACAACATTCCAGATTGACTGCATTAGGAGATTTTTTACCAAGATTCTACGTACAGTGTTCTCCAGGGGAAAAAAAAAATCATTATTTTGGAAATCAATATAATCTTTGATAAGACTGTCTTTTTTTTTTCTTTTTTTTTTTTTTGCCTTTTAAACTCTTTGGAAATATTTTTTTGTTAACGATGCAATAGCAAATGTTCTCATTCGTAGCAATTATCAATGCTTGAATTCCTCTAGGATGTTATCTTGACCGAAAGAAATTTTGAGTAGACACTTTGAACTTTCCCTTCCAAATTGTCTTCTTGTATTTCTGTTTTATTTTTTTTTTTCCAACCCTTTGTTTTCTTCTTCTATTGCTGCTAACTGTTTTGTTTTTATATCTAACAGAGAGACACGATGCCATATTTGTGGTTGGCAGTCTGGATGAGACCATAATGTTGCGTGGTATGAGATACCATCCGATTGATGTAGAAAACAGCGTCCTGCGATGTCATCGCAAAATCTGTGAATGGTATGTGTTAAGAAAACATTTGTTGCTCTGAGTATAAATATTTATCTGCCTATCTATTCCAAATTAATGCATCATGTCAGGGAAAATTGACAATTTTAAACTGCTTGCAGAAATGGATCAGATTTATTCACTTACTAAGTTGCTCTTTAGGAAGATTGACCTTAAATGTTTTTTAGATTATTTGATGCAGTTCATCTTTTTACTTGTAAATGACTGAACTTCTTTCACTTTTATGCTGGTTAAATACTGTATCAGGTTGAGCTCTCTTAAACCTCTTCATGAATCTCAACTGCTGCAATTACGTTGATTTGTAAAGTTCTTCATGACAAATATCCATTGTTTTATTTTAACATTTATGCTTTTTAAATTGTGAGTTCATTCTTATTTTCAACTTTATTTCCTCCATTCTATTTCAAGCCTGTTTGTGTTTATTTTTCAGTGCTGTATTCACGTGGACCAATTTACTGGTTGTCGTTGTTGAACTGGATGGCAATGAAAACGAGGCTCTTGACTTAGTTCCATTGGTCACTAATGTTGTCCTGGAGGAACACTACCTAATTGTTGGCGTTGTTGTCGTGGTCGACCCAGGAGTTATTCCTATCAACTCTCGTGGTGAGAAGCAACGCATGCACCTTCGAGATGGCTTCCTTGCTGACCAGCTTGACCCCATCTATGTTGCCTACAACATGTAGATGCCAGGGGAGATAACTGCTCCCAGCAGTTGAACATCACATTTTAACCCTCCTCTTCCTCCCGCCCCATGTCCCTCATCCTTAACCCACATCTATCTTTTGATGGTTTATCACAAAAACAAACAAAAAATAAAATGAATAAAAACTATTTACTCTAATTTACAACTTCAACAGAAAAAAAAAATCAACACTGCTGTCAATATTATTAAGGGGAGAAACATACTTCTACATCGGGTAGGTGGGTGGGTGGGATATTAGGTAGGTAGGTGTGTGTGCGCGTGTTTTATTTTTTATTTATTTTATATATATATATAACATTACATAATAACTTAACCCAATGATAACTACACAAATACATGTATACATATATACACACACACACACACATGTAAACTTGATTATTCTTCAAGAACTAAAAAAAATTTTGTAGAATATTTTTTTTAAAATCAAGTCCATTGGACATTCCTGGTGCTTTTTTTCCCTTAGTAGAATTAGCTTTCAAGCATTTTTTTTTAATATCCAACTTGAATTGTTGATTATTATTTTGCTCTTGTTGTTTCTTGTGATCTACACTTGCTGATATTTACAGCTGACATTTCATAAAACTTATGACTTTTACTCAGTGCACACACACACACACACACACACACACCCACACACGTGATTTCTACACACCACCACTCTTATACGACTGATAATGCTATACTGCTACTACGCATCACAAGTGCAAACCTCTACGCAAACTTGACACTATATGATTGGTCAATACTATTCTGCTACAATGCACACAATGTATGTAGCAATTCACCATCTGCATAAGTTACTCATTGTGTGCATCAGCTCTATATGCGTACATACCTGCACTATCTACCCCCCACCCCACCATTCATTCAACTGTGTATCCATTTTCAGTGATTACACACATGCGTATGCTCACACACGGTGTGAATTAACTAAATAAGCCACACATTTCTGCCATTGCTGGCATAGATGTGGGGATGAGCAGTAATTTTACAGAGCCAACCACATACAGCAATTTCTTGCAAGTTATATATACTCTTAATGTGCAAGGAGATTTTAGGATGTGTATGACAGTTACCTGTGTAAAGGTATGTGCGCACGCACACACACACACACACACACACATGCATACAGTGAGTGGCAATTACTCCTGCATATATGCCTTTGTAAGTAATGGTAAATGAGTATAATTGTAAGTGCAGTAATTATCGAGATGTGTGTATGTATGTGTGTCTCGGCAAATAATTTTACTCTTATGGCTACTGCTACAATCGAATACACACACACACACACACACACACACAAACTCCTGTTGTGAGAAAGACTGATTGTTGGTGTATCTCATTCCATTCTTTTGCTGCTCTCTAATGATTCCGAAACTGCTTTTACCTCTTGGCACTTTTGCTTCACATCCTCTTTTTCTTCCCTTTCCCTTCCCCCACCCATTTGGTTTTCATGATTCTCCTAAAATTTGTACTGAAATTTCTCAGTTAAAAAAAAAAAAATGAAAGAAAGAGAGAAAATTCTTCAGCCTACAAAATAAAAGCGAGAAACCTCCTGGGAAGATCATCGTCATCATCTTCGTTGTCGTCGCCATCTTCATTGTCAACAACAACAAATAAACAACAAGCAAGAACAACAACAATGTACCATTGTCGTCGTCGTCACACTGTGCTGAACATTATCTGCTACCTAACCACTATTATTACCACCACCACCACTACTATTACTACTACTCCAACCACAACAAACCTGTTGTGTTTTAAACAGCAGTTTTGCTTGTCTTGTAGAAATGTTTCCTTTAACAAAAAATGAAAAAAAAAATTTTATAATTTTTTTTTTTATGCTGCTCTGTAAACCACAATCTTCAACTTGGGATGTTTTCTGTTTCTTTTTATTCTAAGTTGTTGGGTTTGTTTTATAACTTTCTCTTTTTATTTAATTTTTTTGTCTTTTTCTGCCACCAAAATTTTTTATTTAACACTCTTTCTGTTTATCTTCTTCTTTCTTGTCCTCTTCCTCCTCCTCCTCTTTCCTGTGTTAGTCAGCCTCAAATATTTTCCTTCCAAAATTTGCTCTAGACTGCTCTATTCGCACTGGCCGGCCGAGCTCCCCACAATCACTGCTCTTTTTAGGTGATAACAGCCCCCCCCTACTTTTTTTCCTCTTTGTCTCTCTCTCTCATAAAATGCTCTCTCTTTTCATGGCTTGTCCATTGTTCCTTGGGCTGGTGGGACTTAATGCACCAAAAGAAGAAACTTAACAAGCTTGCTTGGAGCCCACATCTCTCTTATTCACTCTAGTCAGTCTAAAATCTCTTCTCCAAGGAGTAAAAGGGAATGTCATTGTTGTCTTGTCACTTACACACTGCCCCTGCCTTCTAAAAACAATCAAAAAAAAAAAAAAAAAAAGAAATTTTTTTTTATATATATATATATATATATATATATATATATAACCACACTGCTCTCCTCCCTCACCCCAGTAAATATTGGATGTACAAATCGTAAATGATAGAATTACTAACTTCTCTTTCTCCACTTTGATTTTTTGTTCTCTCCTGCTCGGCCAGTCCCTATTAATGTTGTTGTCATGGAACATACAGTTTTTAAAAGGGCTGACCACCCCCGCCCCATGCTCCATCTCCCCCTCACCCTCCTGCAGATGGGGGAGATTTGGCTCATTTCGTCTGTTTGGTTTTTAATTTTTTTAAATTTTTTTTAAAATATTCTTTTTAATTTTTGTAAACATTATGTAAGATATTTCCTTTTAAAAACATTTTGTCACAGTCCCAACATCCTCTTTGGAAAGAGAAAAATATTAAGAATTGAAACAATTTACAAAAAACAACAACAAAAAACATTTTTTTAAGAAACCCTAAAATCAACAAATATTGCCTGTTGTTATCAGGACGCTGAGTAGAATTGGGTCATCTTTCTTATCTCTCTCTCATCTCTCTCCTCTCTCTCTCACTGTAAAACAGTAACTTGAAACTGTTAATAATTTACAGAGGACACGAACTGACGCTGAAGTTGTCATATTGAAAAACAAAAAACCCAAATGTATGGACAAATATTTTCAATTCTTGTAAGACCCAACCACTGAGAAGAGAGAAATCTCTTGTGATTCCTTAAATAAATTTAGTCACCAAACTTTCCACAGAAATGTGACAGCATTTTCTCTTGTTGTCTTTATTTCCTGCATGTTTTGCATGAAACTTGTTTTTGGTGATCTATATTGCTTTGTGAATGTACCACACATTTAACTTGTTTTTAGCTAAATTTATAATTTCTGACTATTGTCTTTGTACATATTTGTTTTACATTTGATAAAAAAAAAATCATTTTAGTCTTTTTTTACGTTGTTATTTTTGCCATATAGAACTTGTTTTTCAGTTTTGATCTGAGTATGGTTAAAACAATTTCACTTGGACACTAGCATTACTATCATAAAAAACAGGAAAATTGTTAAAAAAATTTTTTAAAATGCATGAAAATTCAACCAAAGAGAAAAAAAAATTTTTGCAAGTTGCTACACAAAAGAACTTGAATATGTAAAAAAAAAAAAAAAAATATATATATAAAAATAAAAAAGTCTTATTCAAACAACTAATTTCCAATAATGCCTTTCAACTCATTCCCTTTATGTATACAGTGATTACAGCAGTTTCTTGAATATGTCTGTATTATTATAAGTCATCAATTGTGACATGGACAAGTTTCTTTTGTGATTCTGCCTGGATCTCTTCAACCTTTCAACCAGAATTAAATCTTAGAGAATAAGAAAATGTCACTGTGAGATCCTGTGAATAGGGAAATGACTGTTAGATTTTGGGGGAAATGTGTATGAATGATTTTGAAGTTAGGTTGATTTCTGGTTTGATCATTGAATTCTCTAGGCATATTTTTTACTTGTCAACACTCAAGTCTCATCATGAAATTTCAGTAATTCCACTCCTGTTCAAGCCATCTGCCAAAATTTAATTGTTCCTGTGCAGCAATTCTTTCAAAAATCTGAAATTATCAAGAATAACTTTGCCTGAAGTCTACATGGTTAATCTTAAGCACTTTTCCAACATAATCCAGTGTCATGTCAGTCAACAATTTTGTTATGCATTCATTTTCAAAATTTGAATTTGAGTGTTAAGCACTTTTTACTGCTATTTAACTTTGATATTCTGTTGTGTTTGGCATTAGTTATTTGCAGTAACTGTCATTGCAATGACAAACCTTTTTTTGGCAGAAGTAAACAAACATTTCTTTTCTTTTTTGGATACTGAATTTGTCACTATGAATCAACCCCCCCCCCCCTAAACACACACTTTCACTTTTCATATTCTGTGTCAGTTGCTTGGAGCCCACATCTCTCTTATTATGTTATACAAATCATCCACCAACACAAACACTGAATATTAACAAGTTTCAGCATCAACTTTTTAATTCTAGATCTGATCATTTGAAGTTTGGTTCTTTGTAATATTTGAAAGTTTGTAAATTCAATAAATTTCTACATTTTAGTCAATTTAGACAGAGAAAATTTTAGACTTAAAATTGCTTGACTGTTTCTTCTGATATCCCAAATAAAGAAAATTCTGCTAGAAAAAAAAATTATTTCTTACAAAGGTGGTGGGGTGAAAAACAAATTGTTAAAAAATATTTTACAAATAAATTTAAAATTTTCTTTTATCAAAGTATAGAAAGTACTTTGTGAATCAGTTTACTTCAACCAATTTTCCCCATTTCTTTTCATTTTGAATGTCTTGGTGGATATAAAACAAAATGCCTACTTGATAAAGACCCCAAAAGATGGGGATTGATTTCAAACAGCTGATAAGTAGGTCAAGAAGAGTTATCAATCATAAAATTCTGATCAAATGTTTCATTCCTTGGTTTTGAAACAAAAATGAACAGAAATTTGGAAAAAAAAAAAATGGTTAAGGTTTATTTCTGCTGTAGTTTATTAATCTTTCAACCAGTCTACTCTGCCGTTGTAACCAGCCAACTTGAGTTGTAGGATTTGCTTTTCTCTTGGCATTTTATATACAGTTTATTCTGTATAAGACTAAATGTTCCATTGGAACACGTTAGCATAATGAACTTTTTTTTAATACATAAAAATGACAATTTCTTTAGAAAAAGTACATTCACCGAGTGTAATCTATGGTATCTGATTAAACATTAACCTATCAGACTGAGGGAAGAACATTTACTTCTTGATAATGACCAAGATGTACAAAGGAACTCAAATGTGAACTTTAGACAGTTCATACACAATATTAATTTGTATGTATAAAAAAAAAAAATTATTTGAAAAATATAGAAAGATGAAGCAGAGAAGTCTTGTCAAATTTGAAGAAACTATCCTCCTTACTTATTCTCATAACCTTCACTTCCTACCACCACACCTTCATTCAGAGTACATGCCTCACTCATCATAACCATTTTAATTAATTTTACCTTGAATGACTCCCTCTATATTTTAAGAGCTGATTCCCTGTTCATCACACGTTGTGTGTGACTTTGCATATGTTTGTTTTTGCATAAGCAACTTGCCTGTGCCATGTACACACTCACAATTGACCAAGTTTGAAATAAGACAATGGAATAATAATGCTCTCCTCCTACTGAGTCTGGACAACCTCTGTCTTTGGAGTAATAAAATTAAAGTTTGAAACAAAAGTTTTAAATTTTTTAAAATTTGATAATTATAAAATTTTATTGAACATTTCGGAAATTATTCATTAATAAACAAATATTTTTTTAGGTCTGCCATTGAATTAAAACATGCATGCATACACATGTAGACAAATATACAGGAAGGAAATAGTTGTGTTGCAAAATTTTGTTTTCTTTTCTATCTGGCAACAACCCTTTGGTAACAAAAGAGTATAAACTGACCCTTTGAAGTCATTTTTCTGACTCCTCTATTTAAACTTTATATATTTTCTAAGTGTAGTATTTTAGATGAACAAACCGTTTAAATTTGATCATCTTGCTGTCAGTAAAGAGACAGCTTCTGAGCTAGTTAGTATTTAAAAAAAAAATGCTTGCTGCCTAATTGTATTATAATAATAAATATATTAATGTTACTGACTAAAATATATTTTTTCAGAAGTGTGTGCTTTTGTATGCTATCAGATACAATAAATAATATTCACTTTATCAACAAAGGGGCATTGAATAAACTGACAAAATCATTATGAACAAAAACAAAGGTCAGTGAGTCCATAAAACAAATTCCTTGGGTATTAACAATTCATAAACTAGTATTAGCATTAGTAATTTTTAAAATGCCTCCACTCCTCAACTTTCACTTGTTATCCTTTTCTATAAATACTTTCATGGTAATTGTTTGGATCTCTTCACTATAATATCTAGACTCCATAAATTTAAGCACAGTACTAGGCTATCATTGGTGCTCTCATCAATTTACAGTTCAGCTGGCTAAGATGTAGCTGTAAGTTCTATAGTAACAGTTTTTTGTTTTTTTTTTTTCCTTGGACTTCCTGCTTGTGGAACTCCCTTCCAGTTCCATGCTTTCCAGCCAACTTTAATCTGCAAAAATTTAAATGCAATATCAATTGCTATCTACTGTCTTCCTGATTACTCTTTTCTCTTTCAGCTCATTATTAATGTTTCTGTTCCTAATTCCTCTGCACTCTGTAACCCCTTGTGTTTTAGTGGCTTTACTGTGTTGCTTGGGGTGATACTGTTTTAAAAAGTATATATATAATATTATGACACTATTTAGCGATAGTAATTGGTTAACTAATTAACCATAGAAATTAAAACAAGAAAATACTGAGAATAGAAAAGAAGATACCCTGAAATTTTTTTTTTTTACTTAAAAATAAAATCGAGTTACTTTCTTAAAGACCTGTAAATTGGTGTAGACAGTGGACTCACAGAAATGCCAAATGCAAGCTTTTGACAGTTGATTAATGGTGTTTGTAAAAGTGCTTGCCGAGAAAAACACAAAATTCAGAAAAGGCATTGAGATATTAAGCGGCAGGCCATATGGTGATTATAAAAATTTGGGCATGAGAAAGTATTCTGAAATTATTTGCCGATACGGGGTAAAGAGAATCAATATTAATTATCTTTACAAGATATCATTTTTAAGTGCCGGCAAGTTGAAAAGCCATATGTTCATTGTGAAAAATTTCAGCATGAGAAAATATTCCGATACGGGGTAGAGAGAATTGATATTATTTACTTTTCCAAAATGTTGTCTTCAGTACTGACACGTGATATGTTGATTGTAAAATTTTGGCATGAGAAAAATATCTTTGAAGAATTGCCAATTTGGGAAATAAATTTATTTTCTCAAGAAGCCAAGGTATCCAGTAAACGCTAACTTCACGAAGGGAACAGATAGCAGACTTTGACAAGTGATTGATGGAGTTTGTAAAGAGTGCTGATTAAGAAGACGTAGCGTGACCAAAAGATCTGAGAGAATTTAATTGGTAATGTGTGATTCGTAAAAATTTTGGCTAATGGGAAAAAGAATTTTGTAAACAAAAATTCTGGGTTATAATTTTAATGAGGCCAGCTTAGCCACACCTGCACGACCAGGACACCATTGGTCGAGTGGTAGCAATGGTGATAAGCAGAAGTAATTTGATGAGAAGGACGAGGAAGTTATTAACGCCCACTGAAGGGATTATCAATGTGAGAAGGGAGGAGTTTAGGAGGATAGCTCTCCTCACAGATGAAGGGATCTCCCCAAAATGGAAAGTGATTAATTTTCCAAAATGGGAAGTAATCAATTTTCCTGGCCTAACAATAAAGAGGTTTCTTGTCAGAAATCGGGATTTACCGGAAACCCCAGACTGTCTAACCCCACACCGGTTTTTGGTCAGTATCCATATAAACAAACGCCCTTGGGCCATTTGACAGTCAGTTCAGTTCGAGTAGTTCACCAGTTAGAGCCTTTGGAGTGGCAGGAACCAGTGTTGCCTCACAGAAGCTGACCAAGAGATTCCATAACCTCCAACTTCGCCAATCCTACCAATAGCAAGTTATACTGATGAACAAAGCTAAGCCAGCACTTAAAAACTGTAGTTTGAGGAAAAAAAACAACAAAAAAAACTTACCTCATGGACATCTGTACGTAAAAAAAAAAATCGTGGGGAAGCCATATTGTTTTTATGCTGACAAATTAATGCAAAATCATGGCAACCATGAGATTTGAGAGAATATAAATATGCAGTGTACGAAAGACAACGCGACAAGACATCTACACTTTGTCACTCGGGATTAGCACCTACTAAGGAATTTAGGACAGTCTCTCAAATTTAAACTACAAGCTATTTCAGCTTATGTATCTGTTATAAGCGCCATGACAATATGGAGGGGAATTGCAAAGTAATCGTCGATATGGTGAAAAGGTTCAATGGCAAAGGGGATTTGATGGCCTGGTTGGCAAAAGTGAAATTGGTAGTGAGACTGCAAAAAATCCACAACCTCGCAAGCTTTATGTCCATGTTTATAGAAGGAGGCGCCCTGGCCTTATATCTCCAGTTGACCAAAGAAGAACAGGAGGCAACCAGTGCGCCAGTAGTTACCCCTTCAAATCAGCAATGGCACAAACCAGAACACTACCAACAATAGAAGCGCTAAAAGAAGGCAGGAGAGCAAGGGCCATGATTGATATGGATTGCACCACAACATTAATCCGGTCGGGTCTTTCGGCTGATTGTAGGAGTACAAGTACTGTAAGAGCAGTGGATGGACGGGAGGTTGTGTGCAGAGGGATCAGCACAGTGATGTTGGAGGTATGTGGACGGTTACTGAGAATCGAGGCAATTGTGATGGAAAAGATCATCGATGGTGTTGACATCATTTTGGTCATGGATGTTATCTGCCAGCTTGGAGGGGTTACCATCTATGAAAATGGTAACATGGAGTTCAGAGGAAGAGATTGTGCTATGAATATACAACCAAATGGCAAGAGTAGTAAAAAAAATCAATGCAAAGTGGTAGATAAGGACTTTGGTGCAAGATTTAAGGGAGAGAATTGAATCATGGAATGGAAATGGATTTCAGAACCCCCGATATTAAAAAACAACATTAATCATTATCATGCTAAACTGAGTAAGGAGAAGGTTGAGTTCAACAGTGAAGTTAAATGGTGGATTGAGGAAGGAATCTTAACCCCGTGGGACCAGGATGTTCAGATGGGAGTGCTACCCTTAATGGCGGTGGAACAACCCACAAAAAACAAGATCACGCCAGTTCTCAATTATCGAGAACTAAATAAATGCATTATGTGTTATTCTGGTGGGGATGCAATTGACGTTTGTGGAGAAATAATGAGGAAGTGGAGGCAAATGACAACGGCATCAAAAATTGTTGATCTGAGGTCCACATATTTACAAATACATGTTACGAGACATTTGTGGAAATACCAGTTAGTTCAGTACAAGGGACAGACCTATTGTTTAACTAGGTTGGGGTTTCAACTAAATGCCCTGAAGATTATGTCAAAAATCCTAAAAACTGTGCTAAAAAAGAGGAATACATCAGAAAAAACACAGATTCGTATATTGACAACATACTGGTGGATGAAACAGCGGTACCATTGGCAGACCTTGTAAATCATCTTACACCTTTGGCTTAAAAGCAAAGTCATCGGAATCATTAGAAGGATGAGCAGCATTGGGTCTTCTGCTTCATACGGATAAGGCAGGAAATCTGGTATTTGCGAAAGGGAATGACCTGCCTGAGGTGCATGAGGAAATGAGCAGGTGTGAACTGTTCTCTGCCTGCAGAAAAATGGTGGGACATTACTCAATAGCTGGATGACTTAGAATTGCCTGCAGTTATTTGAAGAGAAGAGCAGAAGAAATCGATTGGGAAAACATAGTGGATAGTGAAACAACTGGTGTGGTACAGGAAGTTGTGGAAGAGGTTCGACACCATGATCCAGTTCGAGGGAGATGGCATGTTCCCAAATTGGAAAAAGGCGTTGTATGGTGTGACACAAGCAGTATGGCTACTGGTGTATGTTTTGAAATCGATGGTGTGATAGTCGAAAATGTGGCGTGGTTAAGAAAGAAACATGACTACAACCATATCGACATTGCTGAATTGGATGCTACAATAAAAGGTGTAAACCTCGCTTTGAAATGGAGTCTGTTCCAAATGTTCATGAATTAGGAGAGGTCCAAGTAGACACCAATTGGACCAGGTTATCTATCGATGTGACGCATTATAGAGGTGAAATGTACCTGAATATAGTTGATTGTGGTCCTGGCTGGTTCACCATTTGGAGGGAGATTTGAGCAGAAACGGCAAACATCATTGCATAGGAGCTGGAGGAGATTTTTTTGAGCATGGACTGGTTGAAGAGGTATTCATGGACAATGGGGCAGCGTCCCGTTTGGAAGTGTTTTGGGAGATGTGGGACAAGTGGAACACTAGACAATATTATAGAGCAGCGTACAGGCCTAGCAGAAATAATATCGTAGAACGAAACCACCGAACTATAAAATTCATTGCCAAGAGAGGAGGGATATCACCTTCCGAAGTGGTATTTTCCTATAATCTACATCTTCTGGCCAATGTGAAGACACATGGAGACATCCTGGAGTTAGATCATATTTAACACACTCTGACGGGCCTGAATCTATACGGATTGGAGAGGAGGTTTGGGTCAAGCCAACTGGAGACCACTGCATGACAAAATGGACAAGAGGAACAGTTACCGAGGCGCAGTCACACAACAATGTTGAAGTGGATGGTATGCCAAGACATGTTCTTGACCTTAAAGTGATTCAGGAGGATTCAGAGAATGATGGCGACAATGGGAGAAGTTCTCATGAGGCTCAGCCCCAGACAAAGAGAGCAACACCCGCCCAGATGGATGGATGACTATGTAACATGAGATGTGATCATGAGATCATTTTGCGTGTAGTTTGAAAAAAAAAAAAAACTTACTTCATGGACATCTGTACATAAAAAGAATCTTATGGGGAAGCCATATTGTTTTTATGCTGACAAATTAATGCAAAATCACAGCGACCATGAGATTTGAGAAAATATAAATATGCAGTGTACGAAAGACGACAAGACAATACATCTACACTTTGTCACTCAGGATTAGCACCTACTAAGGAATTTAGGACAGTCTCTCGAATTTAAACTACAAAAACTAAACCAGTTGACTTAGAGGACCAGAACTTGCCTAAGAAACGTAAAAGTGTCACACTCCATAGAAAACAGGTTGGGAGAAAAACACACACTCCTGTATATAACAGACGGATAAAAGTTAATTTGTTACTTTTAACATACTTGAACCTCTTGGGTTTTTATTTGCTTCTTTTCTTTACGCTTGTGCGATATCACCTCCAGTTTAAACTTTATCTTACACTACGGCCTGACGCCTGATTGATCTCGTCTACCTAAGATCAAAATCACAACATGGGTAGGTTAGACTTGAGATTGAAGCAGTTATTTCAGTAACCAGATGTTGTAAGTGAGCTGGGAATGTACTTAGAATCAGAAAGAGAATTGAACTTTCTAAAGCACTAAATGAGGAAAAAGGTGGCACTTTGACATGGTTAGCAAGTTTGTCTCGCTAGATCAATTATAACTTAATAGTGAGTTTGATCCTCACTGAGTGCCTCATACTTTTGGCCTAAACTGTGCTTAGAAAACCACCATAATGAGGAATTGGAGAATTAGATACTCATAAGATATATTGCAGATATATTTAAGTAAGCGATTAGATATTTAAGTAAGCGATTAGATTGGCAACTAGATTTCACTATGTTCTAGTCTAATAGTTTCTTTTTTCATCTGTGGAACTTCCTTCCAATTTCTTGCTTCTCTGCCACTTACAAGCTTCAACAATTTAAATGCAATATTAATCACCATTTTCTGTCTTCCTGAATCCTGTTCTTTTGTTGTCCTTTCCCCTCACTAAAGTCTTCTCCTCTTTCACTCACAGTAACCTCTTGTGTCTTAGTGGTGTTATTTTAAATAAATAATGTTATAATAATGTGCTTGATACATATTTTAATAATCTTAGATTTCCAAAAAGAATCTTGAAAGTCCTCAAGCTATACCTAATTTCCATAAGTTTCTGTCCTGTTTGATAGCTGTGAAGATTACTTGTGAGGTTACCTTGTCATTGTTACTACTCTTTGGGAAAAACAGATATATTTTATTTAATAAAGTATTACAGCAATATTTTTAAAAAATACTGAAAATTATATAAATTGGCAAAGTGAAGCATTAAAAAAAATTTTACATTCACTAAGTTTTTTCTCTCTCTCTCTCACACCACTTTCTGATTGCTAGAAATGCTACTAAGTATAAGCTAACAATTTCCATATTTGGAGCTAAAGCAAACTAGAAAAATGAACAAAATGAAAATTTTCCAGTACAATGCTTATCAAACTTATAAATTTCCAATCTCCACTGATATTTTATTCTTGGTTTTCTGAGAAATGTTCTGTTATGGCTCATTTGAATTTGATCAACAATGACAACAAATATTTCAAGGAAATGTTCAAAAAGCAGCATTAAAAGGCTAATCTTTGCTGCTGTGTCATTTTGCCAGCTGCTTCTCTGCAAATAAAAAAAGAAAAAAAACAAAAGGATAAAATCTGAAATTTCAATATTCATGTGTACATCATCACCTCAAAACAACTCCTTTTATAGAAACAGATTGTGTTTCAAAACTACTGAAATGTTTACAAATCAAATTCTTTTCATAAGTACTTCTGTGAATCAGCATGGAAAGTGCAATCACTGTGCCAACTTCAAATTCCACTTTTGCACAAATATCCTTGGGAAAAGCATGAATCCATCACTTCTCCTGCCAGCTATGGGTTAACTAGCAGGGTAGACTGGGCTCTTCTGTAACCAGTCTAGGAGAAAACAACTCAGAATTCAACTCCACTCTGTAAAAGAAACAAAAAAAACTACATGCTACAGAAACCACAGCAGCAACACCCAGTGTGGTGAGGCTGTGGTTCTATATTCTACCAGGAAGACTAATGACACTAAGGAAAAGAGAAATATTAAAATGAATTGCTTTTATAATTTTACAGTGATATTCACTTAAGTGAAATTTTAAAATTTCACTGAAAATGTTGCTTAAAAGAATTGTAACTTACCAAGTTAAAGAGAGTCTTCAACTGCCTTCTCTTCATTTACTGTAGTTTCAGTGGTAGAGATTTCAGTAGAAGGTGGTTGTGGAGATTCCGGGAATTCTACAATTGGCACTGAAGCATTGGTATTATCTACTGACTCTGCAGAAACAGTTGTCTCCGAGTCAATTGTTACTTCCTGGATGGCTGCATTCTCCTCAGTTGATGTTGAAACTGGTTCAGCTTCAGCTTCACCTGGTTTAACACTCTCTGCTGATTCTACAGCCTCTCCAGTGGTGGCCAAATCTACATCTGCTGTTGCTGCTTCTTGTGTTTCATTTGTCTGCTTTTCATCCTCTTGTGTTTCACTCATCTGCTTCGCATCCTCTTGTGTTTGGCTTGTCTGCTTTGCATCCTCTTGTGTTTCACTTGTCTGCTTTGCATCTTCTTGTGTTTCATTCATCTGCTTTACATCTTCAGCTTTGTCTCCTAAAAGAGGAGAAATTAAAGATGGTGTTTTTAATCTATTACAGAACAAAGATTATCATGTAAAGGAGTCATTTTCATAGGTCACTTTTTTATTTATGATTCATGTTTTTGATGATTATCTAATAATGAATCATTTTCATCTCCTATATGGATTATAAATTTCATATTTTATCTCAAGTGCCAAATTGGTGGCAATATTGTCAAGTTACTCTGGTAGAACGAAAAAAGATTTAAATTCCAAGGTAAATCAAAGAATCCTATTCTCTGCAAGCCACTCTAGCAATGTAAAATGTGTTAAATATTTTTGCCAGAATACAAATTTGGCTTCTTGTTTCCAAATACACATAAGTAGTCAATGCTAAAATGATACAGTGCAGCAAGAAAATAAATGATCAGCTTAGAATTGCCTTCTTTCCTTTCAGTCTTTGATTTTAAAAATCTTACCAAATATTCATTTTTTTTTTTTTTACTCATGAGAATCACTCAAAGTTCTGTTACTCTTTTACATTTGCAATAGACATCCATATACTTACAACAATGACTGTCTAAAAGGGAAATATCCTAGCCATCCTTTAATGGTTACAGCTCTCAATATATAGCAGGCATTACTGCTTACATGCTTATTTACTAATTCTATTCTTTTTCTTTCTTTCTCTTCTCTTTCTCTTTTCAAGAACTTAACCTTTTGCTATTTTCATCTTTCTCTGTCTCCAGCCACCTTAATTAGCTCACCAGCATTGATTCCTTCAGACTTACCATCAAGCAAATGTTCTTTGTCTTTTGAATATTCATTCTTGCTTTGAATATTGCTGCTACATATGGTCTACTGCTCTTGCTATATATTTAGAGGTTCTACAGTGTTGTTGGTCCTGACCTGGCATCTTAGCTACAGTCCCTTTCCCACTGTCATAATGTAGTTTCCATGTGCTTTTTCTATAAATACTTTCCTGGTAATTGTTATGATGAAATTTCTACTATGATGCCTAGACTTTATGAATTTAAATGTAGTACAAGTCTGGCAGCAATGTCTCATCATTTTACAGTTGCAATGGTCAGATGTAAATGCAAGTTCTGTGCTAACAATTTCTCACATGTAGAACACTTTCTACCAGCTTCTTGCTTCCCAGTCAACTTTGTATTTAAATATAAAGATCAATGTCAATCGTTATCTTCTGTCTTCTTAATTCTTGTTCTTTTATTCTCCTCTCCCCTTAATAGTAGTTTTTCTCATAATTTCTAACACTCAGTAACCCCTAAGTCCTAGTGACTTTATTGCCTTGCTTAGGTTGAAATGATTAAAAAACAATGTCAAGTAAATATTAATCTTAACCTCGTTCTGGCAACTCCTCAATGGCAACTTTCATCAATGGCATGAAAAATGGGGAAATGTGCTGCTTGAGCAACTGTCAATCTCCCATAAAATCCTGCACCCAACAAAGGACACTCAAACACCAACATTACCATGGCAGCAAAAACTCAAAAAGCAGTATCTACCAGGTCTGTACAGCTATAACAGATGTTCCATCACTGCCACTGGCTGAATCAATGCTCCCCAAGTGCAGATCCATGCTCTCCCACAACTGACAAATGTCACCATAAATATTAATTATATATAAATTATACAAATATTAGCTTCTATATAAAGCACTTCTCTCTATATATATATATATATATATATATATATATATATATATATATATATATATTTTATTTTAGTATAAAACAGGCTTGATATTTGCAGTCAATAAAATAAAATATACATAAATAATTGACAATTTTTAATATTATGATAGTTTAAGTGTCCAAAACTTTGAATTATTCATCATTGATGAATTTCTGGATTTTATTTTACTAAAGTTGTTGCTTTTTTGTTCTTTTTACACAAATGAGTTTTTACAACAGCATAATTTATATAAAAATCGAACAATTTAATCTTATGTTATAATACATTAATTTTTAAATATGATGACAAGATCATTTATTTTTAGCATATTCCAAAGTTGAAATTCATCTAGAATCTCATTGGTGTTCCTTATGCAGTGTATATAAATATATTTGCTAATGAATTCAATAGATTTATCTGACCCTGACATGCAATGTATCTGCAAAACTTGAAATCAGTCCTAAGATAAGTCTTTTGGACTTTTTCTTATCTTGACACACACACATAATATAAGCAGTTAGTGGATTTTTTTTTTATTATTATTTCTTATTATTATAAGAATATTTTATGTTTGAGTAGAAATCCCTGATTTTTAAAATGAAAATTAACCTAGAAAATCAAATCTTAATAAAAAAATCAGAAATTTTTTTCTTGGATTAAAAAGGAATACAGGTTTAATTCCTGTCAAGAAGTTATATTTTCTGTAAGACTTTTTATCTTTAGACCAGTAGATGTTAGTTTTACTATTTAAAAATTACAGGGATGACTACACACATGTATCCACAGAGTATAATGTTTATAGTAATAAGAAATATGTATGCATATGAGAGAGAATTTAAACAGATGACTTTCACTATGAGTTTGAAAATGGATGAGTAAGTAGGAGCTTGTAATTGATAACCTGACAACTTATTTGGTTTTTCAACTAACTTAATTGAACTTAATCACTTCACAGCTTTTCTGTTGTTCTCAATTTTGCATTTTAAGTTGAAACTTTTTTTTTAATTATTAATTTTATTGCCAGATTTACTTCTGTACAATCTTTGAATGTTAAAGCAAACAGCATGAAATTGGAAATAAAATACCATCTCTTGAAACTTGAACTCACATCCTATATCTTAGAAAGCATTTGTAAATATGTGACCATTTAGAAATCTTGACAGTACTCATTAACACGTATTTTGATTTTATATTAAATGGCATCTTTAAAGGAAGAAAAAAAACCCAAAAAGCCAATCTTACCAGTTATAATTTCCTCATCAGTAAAAATTGTGTTGATTATTTCCTCAACTTTCTCCTCTGTAGAACAGCCATGCACAGCATTTTGCATTATATCTGTGCCATATTTAGCACGCAGACTGAAAAGAAAATAGTTTCTCTCAGATCATTGAGGAGATGTAAATGCTAATATTTGACATGTATCTTTCCCCTGACAAAAATAAACTTAATTTTGTGATTGTTTATTTTGCTTTCTGAGTACAGCATTTGTAAATTTATATAAAAGTTTGTATGTATACTTTTGTATTAATAGAGTTGCCATCTGAAATACTCAAACTGGGGAGAATTTTTCAATTTATGTCAGGTAGGAACAAAAGTTTGTAGTGATTTTAAGTGAATTTCAAAAAAAAAGAATATTTAGATATTTGTGCACAGATTTATTCAAATATTTTCTGAAAAGTTTTCTCAAATATTCAGGCTGGTAGATGTTATTAAATGAAAATACTGGTTAATTAAATAAACGGTATTTACTCGAATATGAGTATCCATCTAAAATAACATTTAATCAAAACAAATTAAAATATGTCAGATTTAATCCATTTCATATTATAAAAATATCTTTGTTTATGATAGGGTAGAAAACAGAGCAGATATTGATGTTTTCAAGAATTGGCAGAGAATGTGAGTTCAAAAGCACTATTTTGGTCTTTGTTTAACCAGAAGTCCTATATGGCTGAATCGGTTAAGCACATCCTATACATATATATATGCCATTTTGTTTTACTACCATTCACCATCTTTAAAGCAGCTTCATAATTCCATCCTCTCAGAATTTGGTATATTTCTGGGTGATGAATTGGTTTAAATGTCTTTTACAAGTTTCCAGAGAAGTGAAGTTGTTCACATTAGGAGATCAAAATAAGTACTCAACCAAAGGTGCAACATCAAAACCGAACTGTGTCAATTTCTGTGGGGTCTGTAAAGAGATGTGAGGTGGTGGAAGATAACACTCATCCAATTAGCTAATTTTGGATGCTTTTCATTAAATCCTACCTTCAATCAGCCCAAGAACAATACATGTTTGAATTCAATATCGTAATTTGTGAAAGGAGCTCTTAATATACTACATACTTCCAATTCCACTAGATAGACAGCATCACCTTCTTCAGATGCTGAATAGCTTTTGAAGTGGTTAATGGTAGCTCATTTTATTTTTCCCAGGATTTTTTTCCCTCCACATTTTTGTAAACAATCCATTTTTCATTGCCTGTAATCATTCTTTTAAGAAATGGGTTATTTTTATTGCATTTGAGCAGAGAATTGTAGATGGCAATGCAGCCCATTAAGTTTTTCTTCTGTTAAATTGTAAGGTACCCAAATATAGTAGGGATTCATGTAGCCAAGTGTTTTCAAATGCCATAAAATGCTCTTATGACATATGTGGAGTATCTCTACTTTCTGGAAATAATAGACTCAAATGACGAAAATGCATCTCACTTTTACTTGTAATGTCAAAACATTTAAAATTCATAATCCACACATGAATCATATAAACAGAAGTGTTGAAATGTCACTTTTTAGAATATGTATATATAGCATAAATTTCAGTTATATTTTAAACAAAATCATGTGTTTAAATACCACCTATTGATAATTACTACAAACTATATGTATCCCCTGCTTTGAAGTGATTGTAAGTATCTCTAGATATTACAGATTAGTGATTTTGATCTTTACAAGGTGATCTGTTATCAAGTACTTTTTGGTAACAAATAAATGTCAGCCCTACCATTTGTTAATTTTGGGATTTTCTACACCCATCCTCTGCCATTCAGAGCTTATTACCCCCACTCATTATTTTTTTTGGACACTTATATTGTAATGCTAGCAAGACTTCATGGAAATATGTTTGATTTTGTTAAAGCATTTTACTTAAAGACATTGACAGACATTTTTTTTAGTTTTATTTCTTTGAGGTCTTCTTATAGTTTGAAGGACATGTTTTTAATCATTTTCTAACCACTCCACTTATTATATTTTCTTATTTTTTCCAACCCTACCTTCTATTTGGCACCCAAGAATACTTGTACCTGCTTTATGGATAATATATATGTTAATGTGACAGAATCAAATAACAATAATAAAGACAAGAAGCAAAGAATAAAACCTTTCTTTCTGCTTACAATTCAGGATTTTCCTCTTTTGCTTTTTCAGGATCTGTAGGTCCCATGAGTGATCGCCATCCTTCAATAGCACCTTCTCGAGTAAGGACCATCAACATGGTGGGCCCACTGAAATGAAAATCATATGTTGATGCAATTCAGGTCAAACTAGTACCAGTGTCTTTATTCCTTGTCTAAATCATTTGTTTTCTATTGAAGATCAATTTGTGATAATCAACCAACTTGACATCTCAACCAAAAACCTCTCAATTAGACTCTCTACTGGTAATTTATGTTCAAAGAAATTATTTTCCTGTAAAATACATCACATTTCTGGTAGAATTAAACAATTTTTTATATGATGTTAAAATTGTGCTGATTATGTTGTAATGTTGTGACAGACTCTGCATAACTTTCAGGGCTCAGCCTTAATGATGAAACCATGTTCTAATATTAAAAGTCATTGGTTTAGGGAAATAATATATTTAATGCTATTTATTCTCAAGACTAAAGTTCCAAGTGGAGCTTTTCATATTAAAAAGAAAAAAAAACTTGTCATATACTGGCTTCAAATTGATAAATACAAATCCATTCAGAGACACAGCTAAAAATTCCCAAAGAAAATACTATATTGCCTAAATCGCTTTGTACATATTCTATCTACTTACAAAAACTCCATATCTGGGGGTCTGTTTGTTTTTTTAGTTGTATATTTTTCACAGGAGTTCAAATCCAAAAGAAAACTAAGTTCTTGATTACTGATTTTATGTTGGGTGCAATACAATCTTCCACTCTCTCATTCACCTCATTGGTTCTTGTGTCAGACTAAATTTACTAAATATATGGTTTGATCTACAGTTGATATGGTTGTCTATTTATAACTGACTCAACCTGTCGGTGTTCAGGCTCATGTAAAACCAGGATCTTGGATGCAGATTTTCCAGGCAGGCACTTTCCACTGTAAAAATTAATTTTCTTATCCCTGTTTTCCCTTGTGTCAGCCAAAATGAAACTTTTTAAATATCAATTTTTATATTTATTACAGAAAAATGTCATCATTTGAAGATCTATTCTGTACTACTATATACATTTTTTCTTATTTTAAACATCTTTAACCTCCCCCCGCCACCTGACCTGTGATTTGTGGTTTTAACAGCTTGACCATCTTATCCCTTAATTTTTTAGTACTTAGGTATGGATATATTACAGCAGTGATTTATAAATGCCTGCTGACAGATGGATACTATCAAAAGTTAAAAATCTCTTCCCCAATCATTTAGAGTAATAAGCCTCTTCCACCTGGCACTGGAGCCAGGACCATTGACCTTGTAGCCTCTAATCTACTAAACTACCTCTGAGTTTTCCCAGAATGTACACTGATTGTATTATCAGAAAATGTTACTTGGGTGTCCTTACTTCTTTCTTTCCCAGATAACATTTTTAAGTCAATTTCTAAAGGTTAAACTTGTTACCAGGAGTTAACACTGAACTTTTGTCCAGGCAAATTAAAAAAAAAAAAAGTGACATTTAAATAAAAAGCAGGCAAAAACAAATTTCTTTCATTCTAGTGACATTCATGGATTTATTATTTATTTGTTTATTCTTTTGTCTTCTACAATCAATTTGGAAGAAATTGCTAACTTCATGTGTGTGTTTAGTTGGGAGGAAACTCCAGTCTGAACTTGAGTTATAAGACTGCTTTTCTGAAAATGGCTGGAGAAATTTCTCACAAAATATTAAAAATTGGTGTTGGAAAGTACATATTGCCAAATATTTCTATGTTCCCTGCATTATGTAATTTATTAAGAATGCATTGTAGGTTCTTTATACACTGATGAGCAAACTTTCTAGGTATATTATTTCAAATTGATCATTTTTTTTAACATTTCACAAACCTGACATGAATTTTTAGGTGTCTAGAAGAAAAATAATTCCTTTTGTTATGAAATAGAAATTAAGAAAGAATTTAATAAATCTAATCTTTATAGAATTTGTCATTGTTTTACTGAACTACATTTCTTTTCTAGAGTCACAGCCAAAGATGGCAAGATGCATAAATTGGTGGGAGAAAAGATGGTGAATTTTTAAAGATTTTTAACAATTACAGATCAAATCAATAAGTAGTGTGAAAAGTCTATAAATGAACTTAGTAACCTTTTGCTTACCTGACCATGTAATTGACAAGATCATCAAAATATTCTTTTTCCTTGTGGTTACCATAGAAACTTTCTATAATGGCAGGGGTCAGTAGTGTTTCTTTCTGGGCAGCTATTTGGAAACCAGCTTCATGGATTTTGTTAATTATCTCCTCTGAAAAACAACAAAGCATTTTTAATTGTAACTTTTCAAGTTTAAATTCATTGACTTTTCCAAGAAGAACCAGTGATTTTGGGAAGACCAGGATAAACTGAAAATATAATTAGCAACAACTACATAAATGTCATCTGAAGCCCCAAAATGGTTTATTATTATTATTGAGTAAGAGAGCAGCATGCCAATAAATTGATGCTGGGTTACAAGTCTATAAAGTCCAATATCACAGCCAAATGTGCACCATATGTTGATAGGTTTTGATAACAGCAACATATAACCTTCAAGGTGGGGCCCAGTTAGAAATATTGAAAATGTTCCCAAGTATCTACATCTAGTTGCCTTAACTAACATCCTTTAAACTTAAAAAAAATCAACACACAGCCATGATGCTCCCTCGTTATTCCTGCTCATGAACAGCAATGCACTGTGTGTCAACCCCTAGGGGACATAGAGAACTAGTTGTGGTCAAGTATTTGACAAGCAAATGTGTGGTACTTAACAGGATATTTACTGTAGCCCTTCTTAATTCACCAAGGCAAAACATGTATATATTAACACCTCCAATCAGTTAAGATCAGAAGCCATAAGAGCCATGCCTGGTGTAACATCAAGGCATCCTCCTCATAATCTTTATTATTATTTTAATAATTCTCTGTATTATTTTTGTTTCAAGATGTCAGCAGGTTAAGCATGGAGATTTAGTGCCAAAATAGGTTCAAGCTTCAGAGGAATTATAAATAATGTTTTTAGAGATGTCAAAGCTCACTATGAGAGCAACAGCTTTTTGATGCTGTGGTTTTGGGCATGTCATATAGAGAAACATGATTGATTTATGTATTCACTTTCTCTTTCTATATGAATTATCATGGCATGCCAGTGCAGAGATATTTCATCAAGATATCTGCTAATGAAACAAAGCACAGGGAGAAATGGATTCATGCTTTTCCCAATGACATAAAGGATCAAAATATACACAGCCTCAACTTGAATTGGAAGTTAATGTTCAGTGTCTGTTTTCTATACAAACAACCATTGCAACACTCCACATAAGAACAAAATTGAAAGAATAAAGAGATAATAATTTTATTTGTTTGTTTTTTAAGTGGTTTTTGAAGACATTCTCAATGTGAAGCAATAACAGACAGCCAAGAGCAACTCTATAAAAACTATCATATATATATTACCATGAAAAGTTAGCATATACATTTCTTGTAATTTGGAACTTTAGTTTAAAAAAAATTTTCAGACTATAAATACAAAATTACTAGTGCAGCATGAATCTTTATTGCTTGGATCCATGCACTGTAATTAAAAAGGTAAAAGTTTGCTAAAAGCAAATAAATTAGGTGACAAAATATGAAAATCTGTAAGATACACATAAGGAATGCTGGGGAGAATATTGACCAATGAAATATTGATCAAATAAACAATAATGAGGTCATAAGTCTAAATAATTCATAGAATAAGAGTATTTTTAAGACCTAGTTGTATGGCACATTGACTCAGATAAACAATGTGACACCAAGCCATCAGCCCATGGTCAACTCTCAGCTGCGGTGCGAAGCTGCAAGGTTTCTTCTACCGGCATTTTTGGGGTTGAATTTGTCACTGACACCAGCCTGTGTCCTGGTTGTCTGGTGGTCGTTGCTACTCGGCAAAATCCCCTGGTCAGGATACCAGTATGTCCAGGGTCGAATCCAGTGGTTACGGCACCAATATGTTGAGTTCTGGTCATCGATGTTAGCAGTTTCACCAGTTGTACCGGTTCAATGCCAACTCTATTGTTCACAGCTCACTTGCTATGTCTGGCTACTGGAGTAACTGCCTTGATCTCAAGTTTTAACCTACCCACATTGTGACTTTGATCATAGGTAGACGGGATCAATCAGGCATCGGGCCGTAGTGTCAGCTGAGTCCAAATTGAAGGTGACATTGCACAAGCACAAAGAAAAAAATAAATGAAAGAAAAACACAAGATGTTCAAGTATGTTAAGAAATAACAATTTGACTTTATCCTTCTGTTATATACAGGAGCGTGTTTTTCTCCCAAAGCCCATTTCCTATGAAATATGACACTTCTATGTTTCAAGCAAGTTGGTCCTCTAAATCAACAGGTTTAGTTTTTAAATGCTGGCTTAACTTCGTTCATCAGTATAACTTGCTATCGGTAGCATCAGCGAAGTCGGAGGTCATAGAATCTCTTGGTCAGCTTCTGCGAGGCAACACCCTGGTTCAAAACCAGCTCAACTGTGTCTCCATCTCGAACTATACTCAACTCCAACTACTCAACTGCTACTTCTGCTTAATGACCCATCAACGGTCGTTTATATGGATACTGACCAAAACCCGGTGTGTGGGCTCAACGCAGCCTGGGGTTCTCGGTAATCTCTATTGTTGTCAGGACAGGAAAATTGATTATTTCCCATTTTTGGAAAATTAACCACTTCCCATTACAGGAGGGTCTCCGTCATTCATGAGGGAAGGTCAGAGGAGAGCTATCCTCCTAGAGTCTTTTTCTCTCACATTGATATCTCATACCAATTCCTTCAGTGGGCGTTAACATTTTCTCCGCCTTTCTCATCCATTCACCTCTGCCCATCACCATGCTACCATACGACCCATGATCTCTCGGCAGTGCGGGTGTGGCTAAGCTGGCCTCCTTAAAATTATAATCTAGAATTTTTGTTTACAAAATTCTCCTTGCCAGTTAAATTTTTTATCACATGTTCTCTTTTTCCTGGGCCACCCAAAAGTCACTCTTACCATCTCATCAATCACTGTCAAAGTTTGCCATCTGGTTCTTTATGCCAAGTTAGCCTTATCGTGGAATCCTTGACTTGCTAAGGAATTAAATTCTTTTATCTCATCAAATCTCAATTCTCCACTATTTTCTGGAGATTGCCAAAAGTTTACAATTGCCACATTGCCATTCGACATCTTAGCGTCTGTTGGCAAAGTAAATGATAACAATCCTCTCACCTATATCAAGACAATGCCAAAATTTTATAATTGCCACATTGCTTCTCTTCGCCTGTATCCAAGAAAAAAAAAAATTAAACGATATCTTGGAAAGATAATTAACATTGATTCTTACTGCCTGTCTCCAACCGAAATTTTTATGACCAACGCATGTTTTGGCTGATAATTCCATATTTGCCTTTATTTCTATCTCCCACGGTGATAACTCAACAGGACAAGACCTCACACATGGCTTCTTCCGTTGGCTATTTTTGTAAATAAAATCTTTCTTTTAACGTCGATCAGTCTATCTTTCATTATAGCTCTTTCTTTTCACTTTAAGAATATCTATTTTCTATTTCAATTTCTATGGTTAATTAGTTAGCCAATTACCATAGCTAAATAGTGTCACAACAGAAAACAAGTCTGTTTTAGTACAATAATTGTTTTTAATGAATCTTTCAAGGTTTTAACACTGGAATTTCCTCAAATGCCTGTAATAAATAAATTTGATTTTCATCTTTCATAAGTTTATGGTTTAATTCTTACTGATAGCACTATTTTTCTAAAAGTAACCTTTTGTGTTTAAAAGTAATTTTCCAGACAGACATTTCTTTTGATATCTTGATTATAGGTAGTGCCAAATGGAAATGAGTTTTAAGTTGGCAACACAAAACACTAATGTTTTCTTCTTATTTTTTTAATTCACCTTAAGCATCTGAGCCAACAGTGCAAGTTCAGTCATAGCATATTTTCATAAAAATATCTGAGTTCAGTCTTTAGAAAAATCCCATTTTTATTTGTTAATTTCAACATTTCCATGTTGATTGCTGAAGGGAGTATTTTTATCGAGTTGTAGCTGTTTAATTAATAAGCATGTGATTGGCAGTGAAAAGCTAAAAACTGTGAGTCTAATTTGAAACATTAACTGGTTGGAAGGAAAGTTATTGCAGTTTCTAGATGAATTTAAAGTTCTACAAACCACGAGAACTTTACTTTTGATCAGATAGAATGAAGAAATAATAGAAATAAGTTTGGTGTAGTTCAAAGAAACTTTAAAAAAAGATTAACTTTAAATTCTAGTGATGAAAACTTATGCTATTTTCATACTAATACCTCAAGAAAAGGAATGAACCCAATTTTCTCATTTATATTTGCTATAAACTAAACATTTAAGAATGTTCAGAGCAAATAGAAATATACAATATTTGCCCAAATTTCAAATGATATTGAAGAAGGATTAAGTACAGCACAATTTCTATATATAAAAATTCCAGTGGGTAGTTTTTTTGGGGGGAAAATGATATCTATAAGTCTTTAACAGAAAAAGGAATGCTACAAATACAAATGTAAGCAGATATTTACCAATCTTAGCTTAATCTAGCACAGGTCCTTAATAGTGGGGCACATTGTGAGAATCAAATTTCCTCAACTAGCAACAGTCTATAAGATTAATTTTCTTTGCAGCTGATGGCCCTTAATTTCAAGATTGTATCAGATTTTTGTAAGACTGAATTTTATCTGATTATGTTTCAAGGATTTGTTTTCTTTTTTTTATATATTTTTTAAAGAATGCAGTTTTACAAAAATATTTGATGTTTACTAGCTTAGGATAGTAAAACCAAAAATCAAAGAAAGCATTTTAGGAAGAATATGTTGTGTCAGCTAGCTTTTACCAGGGTTTCAATATTAACCACTGCCTTCTGTGGAAAATATGCAACTACCTCAGTCATAAAGTAAACCACTAATCTTACATGTATGTAAACAAACTTAAGTTTGAATGAAATTGGACAAAACATTTCAGTGAAGAAACATTGATACTGTTCATCAGTTATAGATGTATCTACTTAACCAGGTTCATTGCCATAGTGTTTTTTTAGAGTGGGAGAGAAGCCTCTAAGTTAAGAGATCCACAAGTAATAATTTGTACACTAAAATTAATTCACATCATTTTCACAGTGGAATGGGTGTAAATGACTGGGGGAAGGACAGCACACATTTCACAATGGGTCTGCACCTTACCTTTAGTTCCAATAGCATCAGGTTTAATGGCAGCTACTGTTTTCTCCACAGGGAAGAAATGATTGATTTCAGTTTCAGCCTCTTCAGACGTTTTTGCTCCATGCAGCATATTCACTTGCAAACCAGGAACATTGTACTGCGCTCTGAGGCTGAAATATATTTACAAAAGTACAAAGAAGATATGGACAATTTTGTGCCTCTAGATTCTTAAAGTAGGTAACAAATCTTGAAAATAAACACAAAATAGGCTTATCTAGTGATCACACCAAATATTTGATTTGATTGTATCTACAAACTATTGATGATTGTTGAATCAAAAGCTGACAAGCAAGAACAAATAATAAAACTCCCACAGTTTAACAGGACATTAAGTCCAGAGTCATGTTGTGGCTTCTAAACTATTTTTACCTCCTTAAGGTCCACTAAAAATTTGGTATTAATAACAAAAATTAAAATTAAAAGCCAGTATTAATTTCAGGTTTCTAAAAAAAAACATCAGTTTATTAATTATAGATTTATAAAAATCTGATATTAAAGTTTATAAAAATGTGATATTATAAGTTTCTACCCATAACCTATTAAGGTCCACTGTCCCATTTTTGGAATGGTGGTTTTCTAAGTGTAGCTTAGATGTGGCACAAGGCTGACAGTATGGGGCACACAATACAATGGTCTGAGAGCCACACAAAGTAGAGGGTTACAATCAATGAAATAGTAATGCCAAATGAGGTGCTTGATATGAATGGAAAAGAAGGTGATAGGAAGTGCAGATCATGAGGATAAGGTTGAAAAGATAATGATTGACCCTTGACTTGAATAGGTCAATATTGAAGTGTTTAGGGAAGCAGCCATGTGGAAGTCTGTTCCACAAAATAGAAGATCATGGAGCAAAAGCTGCCTGAGTGTAACTTTCTTCTTACATTTGGAACATAGAGGAAATGTAGATGATTCAACTCTGTGGGAATAGCATAGCATGTCCTAGCTGTAAAAGTCTGAAAACTGGTAGAACTAAAGAATGGAGCTTATCTGAATATTTGCCATGGAAAGAGTGAAGTAGTAATAGGCATGCAACAATATTGCTGTGGGAAAGAGTAGAAAATAAGTCATACTCAACAAGACCATGTAAACGATTTTGAAATCAAGGGTGGAAAGTGAGTATTGAGAAACTCCAGCAGCAATACGCCATTTTCCATTTTTCGACTAATCTTACTTGAGTAAAGATAACGCATAGCAGAGATCAGATGCTTCCTGGAGTGCAAATTTGTTACAGAAATTAAGTACAGAAAGGGGCAAAGAATTCTCTCTTCTTTAACATGACCTTCACTAGGAAACAATGAATATTGATTCCAAGTAGATAGATGGATTTTACATGTATGTTACCAACAGCACCATGACCTTGATCAACCAACTCACCAAACATACCATCTCCAGGCCTTTCCAACTCTTTAAACATTCAAAATAGCCAACACCTATTAAACCACAGCTATAAAAATGGCATGCCTCACCAACATGGAGCATGACTTAACACCTCAATGGTGTCACATCAACTTGTGCTGGCCCATCCACATGCTTCACCAGTATCAATTTCAACCTTAAATCTAGATGGATCAACCCTGCCAACAACACCCGATTCATGGTACCAACTGTGTATATCCTGTGAACTCATAGTGGTGAATTCATACCAAATAAGTCCCTTTCACATAACTATGTATGCTGGCATTATGTATTTATCCTGAAAATTGGTTAATACATGCTTGTTGAAATTTTAGTGCTTGTTTGTTCTTTCTTTTGTAACCATGCATGGATATCTGATATCTACAAAACAATCATGCAACAGCATGTCTGAGACCAATTGTTTGAATTGCCAACAGGAATCCAAGATGAAGATTAAGTGTCACATTATTTACCAGTTTGGATCTTTTTCTTTGGCTTCCTCAACATTTGGTGGACCAAGCAGATCTCTCCATTTATTAATGGCATCTTCCCGTGCTAAACCCAAAGCCAACAGAGGTCCACTATAAATGAAAAAGAAAAACTTTGTTTTTTAAAAAGACTTTGGAGCAGCAACTCAATCTGGACTGAAACATTTAATATTAACATTGAAAAAAGTCAAACAAAATTGATAAGGGAATTTCTAAATAATTTATTCTAACAAATAAGAAAACTGAGGCCAGATTATGATTAATATTAAAGTCTTTTCTTCCTTTTAATTTCTAAACGTTCAGTTTATTTCAGTTTATTTGTTATTTTAAGTTTATAATATTTTTTTTTTAATTTAGAGAAGAATTCAGGACATACTGAAAATTTTTACCAGGAGAAAAACCTTAAAGATTTCAATCAAGAAATACAACTATTTTTGGTTTATGGAATTTACATTTTAATTTTTAAATTTATCAGTTTCTATATCATCAGTGAGCAGCTGACTTTTAAAATTTGAATTTCATTCTAATTATAAACAATCTTATGAAGAAAAATGTTCTTGAATAAAACAATCCTTTTATTAATCTGTGATATATTAAAAAAGATCAGTTAAAAGCTATCTAACGCCCTCCCAAGTTTATCTCACCTGGACATTTGTTCAGTGAGTTCTTCAAAATATTCCTCTTCTTTATGTTCTTTATAAAATTCTTCAGCTTCTGCTTTGGTGAGTTGAACCACTTTTTGTAAAGCAATTTTGAAACCTGCTTCTTTAATCTTTTCAATGATTTCATCTATAGAAACAAAAACAAAATTATTTCACGTGAAAGATTTTCTTAGGAAAATTTCAATAGTTAAGCAGAAATAGTAAATATTTTTCTATTTGGATTTAGTAATACTTGTATTGCTTTAAAAGATGATAAGCAATGAGAAGAAGAGGTATAGTTAAAACAAATCTTCTCAACTTGATCCAACTACACATATTTTCTCCTTTGAAGAACATTGCTATTTCAAATTCCCAAAATGTTTCTATTAAATTTAATTTCTAAATAGAATTTCTTGTTGATTCTCAAAAAATGTTCTTAGAGGAATTTGAAACTTATTTCGTAACTTTATCCTCAATAAAATCGACCAATGAAAAATATTAAAATAGCAACAATTTCATTTTTATTCAGTAAAATTAATTTCAAGATATTTTTGCAGTTAAGTGTCTCAATAAAGAGTTGGATTTTTCTTATTTTTTTCTCTGAACTTTTTTTACTTGTGCTTCAATTTCTCTTCAAAAATGTAAGCAATCATGGCACTTGAAGAATTATCTGTGATTTGTTATGACCACTTGGGAAAGACAATTTTGATTTTTCCATCATTTTTAATTCAGAGTCGTCTTTCTCCCACATTGGATGCCACCTAGTCAACCTTGCTATTTAATGCATAAAAAAAAAAAATGTTGCTATTTTTTAAAATTTCATTGATCAATTTTCTAGAGAATAAATTTACAGATGAAATGTTCATGAATGAAATGACTTTCAAATTTTTCCAAGAAAACTTTTTTCAGAGAATCAATAGGAAATTCTAATCAGAAATTAAATTTAATAGCAACATTTTGAGAATGGTGGAGGATGAAGAAGAAATGACTTTGTCTTTCCTAAGGGCATTAGTGCAAAAGTGAATGCAACAGACTAAAACAGAACTTGAACTTGGCTTGCCAATTCCATTTTCCATGCCACTATTTTGTTACTTACACTTTAATTTTCCCAATTCATCTTGATATCTACATTGTTTTAGTAATTTGGAAGTATTTTTTTTTAATGTATGACAAAATTAATCAATAACTACTTTATGGTGCGTCAGTATTATTGTTATCTGTTCTATAACTACTTTAATCCGTTTGTTTTTTTTTATCCACCTAAGCCTTCATGTTTCAAATTGTATGAATAAATTTTTTCTCCCCTAAGAATATGTTTTTAATTTTTATTATGTGAGAAAATCCATTTTGTATGCTTTTAAAGAAGTAACAGACATTTTGTGCATATCCCATACAAAAGGTGACATTTTGTGCTGAACAGTTATCCAACCTTTGTACAATTGATAAGCCTCTGGCCGAATCAAAGCAAATGTCCTTTCCAATCGTCCAATGTGTTTCTGATAGGTTGGAACGTCGAGATTCGGGAAGAAAAAGGCCAGTTCTCTGGGAAAGAAAGGTTAGCAAAGTTTTAGGAAATCTTTTTTCTAAAAAAAACAAAGTCACCAACTTTTCATAGATTTCATTAAAAGCAAAGTCCTTTGACAAACTTTAAAAGTGATGACGTACCTAATGGCTGAATCTGGACCATCACTACCATGCAAGGCATTCATGTAACCTTTAGATCCAAATTTAGCCCGCCAACTGCAACAGAAAAATAAAATATGTGAAGAGAAACAAATACTGTATCGAGTTTCAACATGAAGACTACTCATTATGACAAAAAATATTTGTATCATCAGTTTGTTGTTTTGAGCAAAGTGTTCCTTGACTTGTTTAGTGTTGTCTAAAGTTCTGAGATGAAGGATGATCATTATTCTCTGAAATATTTGGAATAGTACCTGTATCTGTGGATGCAGACATAGCATAAAAGTTATCAACATGGAAAGCGGGATTGGTGTGCTGTTCAATTTCCAGCTGAGGTTGATGCATTCACTTTGGCACAAATATCCTTGAGAAAGATATGAATCTATCACTCATCACCCCACTCTGCCAACTATAGGTTAAATTGCAAGGCAGATTGGGCTTTCTAGCCTTCGTTAGCAACCAGCCTAGGAGAAGCACTGCTCAAAATTCAAAATATACAACAGCTGGACTTGGCTTGTTTGCCCAGGCAGCAAAGTGGTGATTTAATGGCTAAAACAGCAAAATACAGTAAACTGTAGAGCTGAATCAACACCTGAGAATCTGGTTAGTGAAGGTGGTTAAGGTGATCCTCATCTGAATAGTTTTGATTACTATGTTTCTATTAGTGAACACTGTATGATCTTTTTAGTATTGCTTGACATTCTGAAGTAAAATATCAACATTCCATTAAATATTGATTAGTGTCTTCCTCTTTGTAATTTGGGTTTTCAGGCTTTCCCTGGGCGTATGATGTGATCTTCATTTATCCTGTCTCATTCTCCCTCTTTTCCCCAATCAAAGCAACACTTGCAGAAGGCTGGAAAGACTGTTGGCTTAAAATAATGATTAAAACAACAAGATTGAATAAGTCATTGAATTCCTTTGAGCCAACAAACATGAGTGATAGATTGTGCAAAGACACTATTTGAAAAACAAATAAGATAGTGTACAACTAAAAAGGGAATTTAGAAGCAATGTAAAAATGTAAATTTTTGTTGATTGAACTTTAAATTATAATAGTTTTAAAACAGAGATCAAGGCCAGTGCCAAATAAAGTATTTAAACAAAAGTTTTATATTGACATAAGGAAAAGAAAAGCTGAAAAGTTTTGTTTTGCCTAACAATATTTGCGGATTATGATGATTTTTGTCATTATTTTCTTGCTTCCAATTACTTGTTAAGGGTGAGGAAGGACACTTGTGAATCTATCATAGAAGTTAAAAAGAAAAGGAGTAATTTCAATTATATTTGAGTAGACTTTATTAAAAATGTTTGGTTTCTCCAGAATCATAGACCTTCCATTAGAGTTTTTATTAAAATTATTTTAATCATAAGTGTGCAAATCGTGTAATGGCTAACAGTGTAGAAAAGTAGGAGCAGCAAGCTGAGTTCAAATTCATCTCTCATCAATTGTATTCCCTTTTGCACATATGCCCTTGAGAAAGGTATGTATCCAGTTCCTCTTCCCCCAGCTCTGGGTTAAATAGTAGAGTAAACTAGTCTCTCAAGTCTTGAGTGGTAACCAGTCTAAGTGGAAAATTCTGAATTCCTAACTTTGGAGAAGGCAATGGAAAACCCTTCCACTACCTTTCCCAAGAAATTATGGAAATTCACAGATAATGAAGAAAAGGCATCTCTGGAGATCCTATGTTCTGAAAGTACATGAGATTTAAAAAATAAAAATTAACAACTCTCTGCTATATGCTACAAAAGCAATGAAAATCAACCAGATAGTTAGGTATTCTTATAACCAAGAGTCCTTAAAATATGACTTTTGTGCTAGTAATGCTGCATAGAAATATATTTTTTCAGATAAAAAACAACACACTGACAACTTATCAAAGAAACAAAATAAATCTTAAAGCTATTGATGCAAGCACCTACAAGATGTGATGGATAAACTGTCATCTAAATTACACAAAAATGAAAATAACACTGACATCTCATTTTAACAAATATATTTACCAAAATTACACAAAAATATCTTGAAATACTAAAGAGTAAATCTATTCAATAAAATTGCCATTAGTTTTGACTCCCAGATGACTTTAGAGTCTCCTGCAACTCTTCTAGAAAGTCTCCTTGCTTAAGTTGGTGAATGCTGCCATAATCCTTGCCTTAAGTTCATCTTTGATGTTACAAAGAGTTTTGTTGGTCTCTCGTTCAACTATGCTCCCACATAATAATCAAAGGAGTTGCAGTTTGGGGAGTTAGGTGGCCAGTGTAAGGGGTGATGTGGTTGCAGAAATTGTCTGAGAGTCATGACTGTATTCTTCTGATTCTGTGGCATGGTGCAGAGTCCTGTTGTATGATATAGGGTCTTCAGCAGCAATCCTCTTGACTTAGGGCCAGGCCAGCAGTATCTCCTCAGGGTACTTGATGTAGGTCTCTATATTCAATCTGAGGCCCTACAGGAAGATGAATGGAGGAGGCATAACATTGCCATCCCTAGTGATCACTCCAAACACCATCATGTTGACTTGATATATCATCTAACTCTTTCTGAATCCTCTGCACTGTCCTCAGATTGTCACCCAAATACTTTGAAATGTTTGTACTGGAGCTTCCAGTGTGAATGCCAAGCAGTACAGCATGCCATTTCCAAATTTCTGCATGGAGTGAATTGCATCATGGTGCTCTTTTTTTCACAGTGCTGCTCAATTGACACTACTATACTGTGCAGTCAACAAAATAAAAAACAAACAATGCACATGCACAAAATTTAGAATATAAAATGGCAACAATTTACCTATTGAATCCTGTATTTAAGCATTCTCTAGATGGTAAATTCCTAACAATAAAATCCCTCAGGAGAATGAGTAAAGTCTTTAAAATCCTTCATCTTACCTGTCTGGAGCTGAATCTTTTGCTGTTTCCACATCTGGGGGGCCTAATTTGCTTTTCCATTCTTCAATGATTCCTTTTCCAGTTTCACCTTTACTCAAAACCAGAATGTAGCTGCTCCCACTTGTCATGAATTGTATGTAGTCCTCAAAGAAACTCTGCATGCAAATTAAGTTAAAATACTTTTCTTTACCTCATTTCTTATCAAATTTTGAATTGTTTGGTCTTTCTAATGCCATCAGAAAATGCAAGAACCCAACTCTTACTATGCTCATGATTTTCATCTGTATGTGTTCAAATGACATTTACAGAGAACTGTAAATTAAATTACAAAGAACCATTATTTATGAATTCACTGCATTCTTGATCAAACCAAATTCATGCATAATTATATTGAACATGCCTATCAAGAAGACATGTTACACCTCTCTGACCATAGTTCAATTAGAATTCATTTAAACACACATGGAAACCTACCAAACTCCATCTGCAACATACGTGTAGAAAATACAAGTATAATAGCCTCATTCACATGTAAAAAAAAAGCTAAAAACAATGGATGCACTAATAATAAAAAAGAAAATGCCAACACTCAACAACATCAACTATGAATATGCTGACCATGTTTGGAAAATATAAAAAAATCTACAGATTCTGTTAAAAATGAAAATAAAAACCATCCTTGATAATAGCTAAAAGAATAGCCAAAAGTGCTTAGATATGCAGAACATTTAGATATTTTTTACACACTTTATGTCCAGAAAAGAAAACACTTATATGAACACAAGAAAAATTAAATAAAAAGCTTAATTGCAGAACTTTGTCAGTCATCTTCAATGAAACTTGTATAAAAGAGGGATTGCTGCCCAAATACACAATTAAGTTATATAATATTTATATATTATATATATATATATATATATAGTTATTTATTTAAAAATATGATTCCATCGCTACATAAGAGTTCTCATGTTTCAAAACAAGAGCTGAAAACTTCAATATAATTATTTGAATTAAATTGAATTAAAGTACCAAGCTCTGTTCCATCTTCAAGCGAAATTTTATTGGAATAACTAATTCTTGAAATTTACGCATTTTATAAGCATATTCATTTTTAAAATTAATCCAAATAATTATATTGAAGTTTTCGGCTCTTGTTTTGAAAACATGAGAACTCTTATGTAGCGATGAAATCATATTTTTAAATAAATAATTATAATTAGGCTCTACTTTTGTATCGAGCACTGTTTTTTAAAAATAATAACAAAAATACTAAAGAACTTTGGATTATTTACCTAACGAGTTCTTTCCTGTTTTCTATATATTTTCACACACACACACACATATATATATATATATATATATATATATATATATATATATATATATATTCATTGAGTCAACTCTTCCATTTCACAATGTTATTCCTAACCCTCTGTTTGCTAGGATTTGCCTCTCAACTTTTATTATTCTATTTTACAGTTAAATCACTAATACTTAAAGATTTTGCATTTTGTTGACAATTCACTCATTTCTAAAGAAATAATTGATAGGAGAGAAACGTTACTGTAAATCCTTGTTATCTGTAATTCAATGTTTTCAAGTTTTTAAGTTTTTAAACACTTCAGAGAAATAAATCTTTCATTGCTTTAGCATCATGTATTTCAGTTCAATTGGAATGAGAGTAAACATTGAATTTACCAAATTGTGGTTGAAACATTTGAAAAGGTATAAAAAGAAATCTAGTTATGTCATTTCATTGCTATTCCTTATTTATGTTCGTTAGTTTGGTATAAAACCACTCTAGTAGGGCATCTAGTGAAAAAAAATATGTCTGTGAAATTAGTTGCTAATTATTGTGCTAAACAAATCAACATTTTAAGAGAAAAATGGATCAGTTGAAGTAAATCCACTCAAAGAAGATTTTTAATGAATAAAGGAAACATCTTAAAATTTATCAACTCATGTTTTTCATTGTAATCATCAAAAAAAAAAACTCTCAGGTATTAAATACTTGCCTCTTCAGCCAAGTGACTGTAAAATTCTCGTGCTTCCTCTTCTGTCAATTGTCTTTCTTCCTGTGCAATAATCTCAATTCCATCTTCCTCCATCTAAAATGTAAAACATGAAAATTACCAATCAGTGAACTTTAAACAAATCAAAAGCAAAAGTTAACCAATCAAATTTAATGTGTAATATTTAAGAATATTCACTTGTCTATCATTTAAGGAATGAAAAGAAGAATTTAAAATATTGCTTAGTCAAGCTTATAAAACATTGATCATTTTAATACTGTGATAAACTCTGTAAATAAAATCTTTATTTCAATATCAGTGTGTTCAAGATAATACTATGTCACTCAGTATTTTCAAAATATGACTCTTCACTCTAATTTGAACTACTCACTGAACTTATTCTCTATATATATATAAGCTGTTTGTTCTCAATACAAATAGCACATTATTTGTATATCCCTTCTATATAGATCTCCTAGCTTTCCAAGTTCTTTGTGTTGTACTTTATGAAATACCTTTGTATAATTTACAAAAGGTATATCTCTTTCTGCATGCTTCTGTTGCTCACTCATTCTGACAGGCTTTTGACCATGATCATTGTATTTCTTAACCAGCATCCTGAAGGCAAGCTAATTGTTGTGTAGTTGAGATTGCTCAAAAAACATGTCTCAGATTCCTTGATTTTATGAGGCTTTAAAAAAACAATACAATAGACTAAGTTTGTTTATGACACTTTCTTTTGAGGGAAGTGTTTAAAAAAAACATTTACTAAAAGAAGAAAATTACTAACAAATATTCTTTAAATATAAAACTGCTATAATGAAACCTGAGAGTTAATAAAAAAAATGTCTTGAATAAAATTTGATGTGTAAAACTTTATATATATGAGGCTCAAATTGATGTTGTAAAATAACTGCCAAAATGAAGCCTGACGGTTTATAAAAAAGAAACATATATAAAATTAGATTTTCAAAAATTTGTAAAAAAAGAGGCTCAAGTGTATAGGATCCAGATCTGACATTGTTCTTAAAACCCTTAAAACCGAACAAACATAGGCTCCAAATCAAATATTACAACTAATGTAATTTGATTGGTCCAGAGATACTAATGGCATGTTGTTGCCTACATCTGCATGTTTGACCTTGATCCGACCTGTTCAAGGTACAGCAGGCCAAAAAATTTAAACATGTTCTCGAGCCTATCACGTGGCTTACATTGCTTATAAAAACAACAACACTTAAGGAAAAGGAGTTGGAGAAAATTTCAGCGAAAAAGCAGATATGCTATGTGTCTATACTCCTCACTGAAGTCCAGACTAAATGTTAAGATATTTTCTTAACACAACCACAGTCTATATTTCTTCATTCAATGCAAAAAATGAAGACAGACACTTAAAACGTCACAAAGTGAGTTAACCACACACATTATTTTTCACAAAATTTTAAACTGTTTATTTTGCATACAAATAACACTACATTTAACTGAAATTCTCCAAACTCACACACTTTACACTATAACTTGCAGTTCATCAACAAGAACATTTTCTCATTCAAAAATCCAAAAGGACAAGTAAATTTCACATTCTAAACACATTCAGAATTCCTGTTTTGTACATTTTGTTATATATAAGTTCTATTTACTTGTACAACTTCTCTTGTTAAATTTCATTTGTTTCTTCTTCTTGTTTCATATTTTGTGGCAATTGTGTTGAATATAAATTGGTGAGGGTATCTGACTCCCACAAGTCTTATGGTTTCAAAATCTGTCTAAATAAAGTTTCCAAACAGGTGTGGTTTAAAGAGATACATTTTGTGATTTTTTACTCAATGGAGAAAGTAAGTTATGCTCATAAGTATCAGAATTCTGATTCAAATTGGAACCAATTTGTGGCTATGTAAAAATTCTGGCTTGTCTGATAGGTAGAAGTGTTTGGCTTTCAGAGGCAAAAGATGTTGGCTAGTTGCTGGAAGTTAAACTTATGTGAAAAAGCAGAAGAAAGAAGAAATATTTTCACTTTTACAAGGACAATGCTGATGACAATGATGAAAATAAAGAAGCTGAAAGAAAAGGAAAAGGAAGTAACAGAAGAAAAAGAAATAAAAGCAGAAAGGAGAAAATTCTACAAACTTAGGGACATACTGTTATCTTTCTATAGATGTTTATCACAAAATCAGATGTATTAACCCTGATTTTGAACATACTTGAGTAATAAGAGTCTTGTGTTTTTTCATTTGCACCTTTCATAATACTCAGGATAAGAGATTCAATGTTCTGTCCTATCTTCTTTCTTGAAAAATCTATCTCAAACTATTGAGAATAAAAATCTGTATCATTAAATATTTCCTGCTCTCTGGAATAGTCAGTTTACAGAAATGGTAGGATAAATATTACACTGTGTCTAATGTACTGTTTTTATAGCTGGGAAAATGTTCAATAAAACCTAAAACAGTAGACATAGCCAGTTTGGAGGATTTGTGAAAATCAGAGTTTCCCAACCTGGGCGATATCAACCACTGGTGGGCAATTTCAACTGTTGGGTGGGTGATGAGCAACTGAACAGGAAATGGTGGTAAATTGGAAATTTTGGTGGATGATATAGGATTTTGAGTATTAAAATGTATTTCAATATATGCTACCTGAAAAAGTTATTCAAAGGAGATATACAAAGAACCTGTATCAAAAAAAAAAAAAACAGGAGGCTAAATGGGGATAACTGGGTCACATTCCTAAGAATCTGCAAAAACAAATATTTTGGTATTTTCTATAGTTTTGAAAAGCATCATTTACATAAAAAATTTCTTCAATAAAACAAAAAAATATTTATTGAATTTTTATTAGTTGCTAGTAGTGTATATTCTTTTTAATTTTATAATTGCAAAAAAAAATTGTTTAATTTTTTTGTCAAAACTTGCAATGCTAACCCTAACTATAAAACTAATCTTGACCATAAAACTAAGTTATATGTAGTTTTCAATGGTCAAGTTAGCTTTCATTTGTTCTTTAATATAGTAGTAGCAGTGGCAGCTGCATAAGTCAGTGTTACTGGTTACTCCCTTTGGTGTTTTTTTATTAAATCATAAAGTCAATTAATGAACCAGTAACAAACTTTTACCAAACAATTTTTGTGTACGTTTGAATATTTAATATACAGGTGGACAATGGAAAATTTTTCCATGTGAAAGTGGGTGATGATGCAGAAAAGGTTGGGAACCGCTGTAATAAATAGTTATCTTATAAATGCCCTTGTAGATTTACAACTATTCAAATGTACTTAGTGTTAAGAGTTTTGGAAGATTATGCTAAGGTCTGCTTTGAAAATAATCAATCAAAATCCTTGTCTTAGCTGAGTTTGTATGTTAAACACCAGAAACAGATATGCAAATTGAAAAGAAAAAGAAACAAAAGAACTCTTTCAAAACTATTAACAAAGGTTTATAAAGCCTATAATTGAAACATATTTTTGTAGGTTTTATTGAAATTATGTTGAATTAATACCATTATTAACTAAATTTCATCCCCTGAACATACTCACTTGTTGAATGATTTCATCTACCTTTCCTTCTTGAACCACGTCTGGCTTAATAATAGCAACAGTTACTTCTTTAGGCTCTTCTACAATATGACAAAATCAAAAAGTTCATTAAAATCAAACCAGTTATAATTTTTTTTGGAGATGTGAATCCATGGATTTAAGAATTATAAATAATTTAAAGTTGATATCAAATGCTTGGTTTTGTTGATTTCGAAAATTCCTGCTAAATTGAAAATATCTTCAAATAAGTCAATCACCTTATTTTACATAGTAGTATTGTCTTCATCTTTATTCTAATATGCTCAGTGTTTCAGCCAATACATTCTTTACTCTTCCATAGGTACCTCTTACAGCTAGTCTTTAAAATTGACTTAATTTCTTTTTCTACTAACACCCAATCAGATGATAATTTTCCATTAGCTTATTTGTGTTGAAGAGATGGAAAAAAAGTAAAGAAAAATCCTAGGCATATTTTAAAGATCACCATATTCAACATACCCTTTTCAGGTGTATCAACTAAAATATCATCATAAGAACAAAGATGAAGAGAATAGTCTGGAAAGTAAATAGAATAATAAAAACACTCCATCTCAGAACTTCAGAAACCAACTAAGTTATCTATGAAAAGAAATTTTTCCTGTCTATGACATTCAAAAAAGACAAATAAATAGAAGAATGTTTTTATATAATTAAATCAGTGTGATCAATACTTCATACTTACCATCTGTTTTTAGGCTGCTTTTTTTCATTTAAATTAAAACTTGGCAAAGATAGAACATATAATTATTATTCAGATATGAGAAAGTGAAGGATAAAAAGTCATTTGAAGGTTTGATAGCATTTACAGAAGTTTCTCATAAATTTCGTGTTCAAAATATAAATTTAAACAAAAACTATTTTATTCTTGAACTGCACAAAAATGCATGTCATTATTTTTATAGGAATTTAGTAAACCTAGTTTAGTTTGACACAAAGTATTGTGTGGTGTTTTTAATGATGACCAAACTTACTAAAGTTGTAATGGTCTGCTAGACTAGTTCACTAGCTCCAGGACTCTTTCATTCTTTGTTCATGTAGACAAACTCTATTGTGCATCTAGTCATATTTTTACTTTCTTGTTTGTGTTAAAAAAAAATAAAAAAGTTATACACAATTTTCCACAATCAACCATTTTGTCTTCCTTAAACTTCATAAGGGACCAAAACAGCTTTCAGGTTTTATTAAGAGAACACTGTCTGTCTATATTTCTGAGATGAGGCATTATGTACATTATTTACATTATTTGGACTATTGTCCTCATCTTTGTCGCCATATTTATCACAGTGTTTCGGCCGTTGTACACTCTGACCTTCAGGTGGTTGGAATGTCAAACTGAACCCTTTATTTTGCTCACTGCGGTAGTTCCATGTGCCATGACTAATGGATGTCAGTTGTCAGTTATCTCCTGTTAATTTTCCCTCTGAAAGTTCTCTACTGCCTTAACCGGGTATTGAACTCCCACTCTTTGGGTCCTGTCACTGGATCTAACCAATGCCTTTATCCACTGTGCCATGTTTTTTTGCTGTTATCATTGCATGTTTTACCAGAGCTCATATTGCAACTTTGTTGTTATCATTGCTTTTCTCTGGCACTCCTTATATACTAGTTCCCATATTGTATTTATTTCTATGCTTGGTCAGCTCAGGAGATTTTTGTGGCCTAACATATGTGCTGATTCCTTAAGATTACGAATTTTCCAATGATGTTCCTTGACTATGATCTCAACATGATCCCACAGAGGGTGGTGATCTCCCTTCTCTTTTCATATGTGGTCAGCCACGCCTGATTTTTCTACTTCCTCTCATGTTACAGCTTTCTGGTGTTCTTGAAGCCTTACCTTGAGGGGGTGGCCTGTCTCTCCTTTATATTCCTTTCCTCAGCTGCTCAGGATAGCGTACACATAGTCTTTAGTCATGTTCTCCTCTCTGGGGGGTCTTATTTGGGAGAGATATCTGCGAAGTGTCGTCAAGCTTTTGAAGGTTGTCCTGATGTTATATGGACCACAGATCCTATGTATTTTCTCTGATAACCCCTTCACATAAAGCAGGTAGACTGTTTTCTGAGTGTTGTTGTCCTCCTCCTCTTGTACTCGCCTATCCCAGTTTTGGGGGGCTGCTGCCATGTACCCAGGGTAGTTGTTATGTTGTAGGGTACTACTTATACTGACCAATTCTTTATCTAACATCTCTGGGTCGTTACTTATGACTTTTGCTCGGTGTTGTAAGCAACGGACGATCCCTTTCTTTATGCTGTATGGATGGTGGGAGTTGAAATTGAGGTACTGTTCGGTGAATGTCGGTTTACAGTATACAAATGTCTTAAACCCATACTCTGTTCAAGATATTAGAACATCCAGGAATGGGAGTGTATTGTTACTCTCTTTCTCCATTGTGAACTCTATCGAAGGTCTTATTGAGTTCACATGGTCCAGTAAAACCTGAACATCTTCCTGGTGTGGCCAGAGTATGAAGGTGTCATCTACGTACCTTAACCATGTAGTTGGCTTTAGAGATATAGATTCTAATGCCATTTCCTCAAAGTATTCCATGTACATATTCACCATTGCTGGTGATAATGATGAGCCCATTGCTAAGCCCTCGTCCTGTCGATATATGTGTGATCCCATTCTAAAGTGTGTTGTTTGTGTACAGAAAGTCAACATTTCCATCAGATTATCTATTGGAATACTGGTCCGTTCTTCTGGGGAAGAGTCAGAGGCCAATCTGTGTCTAACTACTGAGAGTGCCTCCTCCATGGGTACCGTGGTGAACAAACTCACCACGTCCAAGCTCACCATCTGGTTGGATAGGATGGGAGCATCTTTGATTATTTCCATGAAGTGGGCAGAGTTTCAGACATATGAAGGAGACTTTCCGATCAATGGGTCAATTATATCTACAAGGGAGCGACTCAGAGGGCCGGAGTGTACAACAGCCGAAACATTGTGACAAATATGGCGACAAAGATGAGGACAATAGTCCAAATAATGTAAATAATGTAAGAGAACACTGTAGTTATTTTGTGCAAAACACTCAAATAATTAATGATCATTCATAAAAGACAGTTTAGACTGAACTACTGTTGATCGTTAAAACCTGCAAAATCCCTTTTTGCTCACCATTAAAATTTTGTTTGAACTGTTATTTGATTTCTTTTAATTTTTTTTCTGTTTCTAGCCCAACTGAATATTTTACTGCAAAATTTACTAGTAAAAGAAATTCCATCTTGAAACATCCTGATTGTTTCTTTTATAAATTACAAGATAGTACATTTTATTATATTCCTAAGTTAATCTTTTTGTCAAAGTTGACTATAGAATATACTATTTCTTTTTCTGATACACAGTCATACATTTCATTTTGATCAGTTGAAATTTTTTTTTTTATCACATTAATTTATGCTTACACTTTTTCTTTCTAATAGGTATAAACCAACATAGACATCTCAAGAGAATGCATGATTCTATCTACATTCACTTTAACTGAAAGGCATACTAAATGATGATTGCTACACACAAAAAGCACATAAAAAGCAGTTACAGCAGGAGAAAATATTGATGCAAAATATGAGTACCATTTATAAGTTTATGCCTGAAGTAAGTGGTTATGTGAGATGAGGATTATTAAGGAATGTAAATTTACTTCTAAAACAATAAGTATATTCAGATTCCTGACTGAAATGGTAAGTAAACAGAATAAGACACTGGAAGATGTTATTAGATTATATGCTTGTTAAATGGTAAAAAAAAAATGATTGAATCCACTCAAGTATCTCTGTTAAGTATTAAATAATTTATATAAAATTAAATAGTTTTTGTTAATTAAATTTTCAATAGTTGGTTTACATTTAGTATTAACACCTTAAGTAGATCCAGAAAGGTAAGATCTAGCAAGGTTTTGAATGTCAACAAGAAACAGCTATCATCAAAATTCTATGGCTATAGTAAAAAATTATTGTGATTTTTAAATGCTATTTATTTTTAAGAGTAATTTGAAAAATAAAAAAATAGACAAAAAAGAATTTGTGATGAATTTAGTCTATTAGAATGATATCAAATTAATATGGAGGTGTGTCTCTGTCTGTACATATGATAGTCACTTTCTGTAAAGTTTCCTTTATTGAATATTAATGCTTTTAACCAAAGGCAGTTCTTTCATTATTGATAAATTTGTATTAAGAACTATCAATCTTTGGAATGGTGAGCTGTCAGAAAGATCTTCAAATGGCTCCTCATATTGATTAAATGGATAAAAAGCTGTGACCTTAAACAATGGGAAGTCATGGCTGAAAGAATAGATGAATATGATTAATTCAATTAATGAAATTAGAAATGGCCATTTTGCATGATACAGTTGATGTTTTGTAACAATATGGAACACAGTAATAGCAGCTTTGACGATCATTGCAGAAATGTTTTTAGGATTTTACTTTTCTATCGATTTCTCCATTCAACTTAGCAAGTTCTTTAAATTAAATGTTCCTCAAAGCAATTAGGCCAATATGTATTTTTTAATTTCTTATACCAGTGTAAATGCAAAGTATTTAAAATATAATTGTATTATAGAATTGAACTCTATACATTCATGGTCCCTTGAATATTTAAAAAAAAGAAAAAAAAAAGTAAAAACTGAATAATTTGAAATCTAATAACCAGGGAATTAAAGTAGATTTGTAGTTTTCAAACTTATTAAAACTCAAATCTTAAGTGAAGTTTCTTGGAATAGGATTTAAATGTGGGTTTGACAATTTCTTCACTAGTTTTCCCATTTTTAATTCGTAATTGAAGCAATGATCATATTTAGACACTATATCAGATTCTATTATACAAATCAATGTTTATACAATGAAATGAGTATTAATCAACCATTTATGCAACACAAGGGTTGTTCATCATACTGTAAGTGTATATATATATATATATATATATATATAGTTACTGATATTTATTTTGTAATTTCAGATATATAAATATTGGCATGGATTATAAGTAAGATATAATATTAAAAGAGTGACAAGATATAAAGTTATTGAGTGATGAGAACATTAGAAATTTTGAAAAGGTTGAATAGAGATTAAGAAACTGAAAATATTGGAAAATTAACAAAAAATAGTTTTAAGAATATCACAAAAGAGATTTGAAAAAAATAAAGGGTTTATGAGCAAGGAAATATTTGAAGAAGCTGATATTGTGAATGTAAACAAAGAGAAAAGATGAAGAATATTAAAAAGACTGGCTAAAGCAATGAAAGCAACCAAACTAATACATTTAAGCAAGCATTATGAAGGGAAATTTATAAATTGGATAATGAAGTACATGGAAAGGAATCTTTCAACAGTAATTTTTTGTGACTAATGCATAGATATTGGTTGAGTTAGAGGTTAGGTCCTTCATGGAAATAGTCAACCAATACAACTTAGAAAACATCAGTAGGGAAATAGAATAATGTATGGGGCTAGTATTGTAGATAGTAAGATTAAAAGTTTCTTCAAAGTATTGAGATAAATGCATAGAATTTGGATCTATTTATACATATGAATTTATATTGCACTTTACATAATAAAACTTGATACCAACCCAAAATAGATTATTATCAACTTTAAAAAAAATAAAGAACAGATGTTATAAACTGAAATTCACATGATATATTGTTCTTATAAATATGTTCTGAAAGTTTTATCAATATTGGTTGGTTAATAGCAGTTTTATTGTGAAAACGTATTTGTATAAATATTGTTGATATTCTGTCCCAGATTTAAGTTTTGAAGATCATTCAATATGGGTACTTATAAAATATCTGTTACTTAATACTTTGATGTAGTTAATATATACATTTGTTAGTAGTATATGAATGAGTATTATTTAGTGGATTAACTATAACATTATGGTAGACTGAGTGAAGTGTATAGGGTATATGCCAATCTCTCTCACTAACAAATTTATTAACATGAGATACTAAAAATGTATAAATTTACCATTTGAAAACAATTTGGTTGTTTTCTGTATCTAGCCATGTGACCATTTATCAAATGAACAAGTTTATAAAGTAAGTGATCAAGGTTCAAACTTCCAAGAAGTTTGAATATCATATTGATTTTTTGAGGCAAATCATACAAATATTCAGTATTTTTCTTTTTATCTCTCAAGTTATCCCCACCACCACTACCAACAACAACACTAACACCACCACAGTAATAAATAACATGATATATTTATCAATAGCTTTTAAATGTGACCTGATGGGTGAGGAATATTGAGGTTAATGGATGAAACCTTCAAGGGGGCTATGCCATCAATCTAACAAATGGCAAACAGCTGGAAAAAATGTTGGAAGGTGAATAAACATGACAAAAATGAAAATTACAGTTTTGGTTGGATAAACATTTCTCTCAAATTAGCCTGGATTGTTGATTGAAAATATTAGCATAAGGGGTTACACTACAATACTAGAGGCTATTATATCTATAAAATAAACTAATGAGTTATAAAATAAAGATTTTTTTAAAGTGACAACATTGCAAATTTTGAAAAATCATTGTATCTAGCAGACAGTACTATTATCCCTTTAAAGCTAGGAGTGCCTAAATGCACCCCCAAATTTCACATGCTTACAGTTGGGAGTGTCTGAATGTGCCTGTAATTGAGTAACACTGTAATTCAATAAACAATATTAACAGCCATCATATGATCAACTAGAGGCATTGGAAAAAATTATCTCATAACCAGTAATACCAAAAGACAAATTTGATATCATTTGAAAGAGAAATCAATTTACTTTCAAATAAAATGAATTTGTAAGACTTGATTTTCAACAATTTTTAAATATATCAATTGAATTGCTCTAACATCACATATTCAGACTTCTAAACAATTCAGTTAGGTCTCTAGGGATTTAAAAATTGAAATCTCTTAAGAGCTGATAGGGTTAAAGGATCTTCTCAAGTATATGACCATAGAGAGAGGTCTGATGTTGGTCTATAAAAAGTTTCCAAAATCACCTTATGATGAAGATTACAATTTTGACTGTCCATTTTAACAAATCATTGCAAAATACTTAAAAAATGAAAGATTCTTCTCATTTAAATCATAATTTGAAAATCTAGTGACATCTCTTTCTACAAAAGTGCATGTAATTTCCAATGCTGTGCTGAAGAAAAAGGAAGCCTAATTAAAAATATATTTAGCCTTATTGTGCAACATTTATCATTTTACATAAATGGCAAATAAAAAGCAGTAACTAAGTTCTTTTAGTGACAGATATAATATGATTTTCAAAAATCAAAATAATTTTGCTTGGTTTAAATATTTGTGGATGTGGAGGATGTCAAAGATTTCCCATGATTTAATTTTCATAAACAAATAAAAATCTATGTCCCATTTTAGTCCCTTAAGGGTCACAAGGAAATAAATAATTTATCAAGATTGGATTTTGACTTTAAAAGTGGAATAATATTGACATTTTAAAAATAATATTGTCATTTGCATGCATCTTGTTCTTTTTGTTTTGTTGAATGACAAAAGGAAAAAATATTTCCAAATTTCAAAACCAGTTGTAATTTTATTCTGAATGTCACCATTCAAAAGAAAAAAATTACCATATTTAAATGAGGAACCAATTTCCACCTTTGATTTTTTTTTTTTAGATACAAATCCTTTTACCTAGTCCTTTACTAAAAGCATAACCCTTTGGACACTACTGGGGAAAAAAGTATGTCTGGGTCTTTCTCTTTGGATTCCTAGTGATATATAGTTCCAAACCAATCTGTTTTTGCCCTATTTTCTCTTCTTTGACAACAATAATAATCTCTTATTCTCTCAAAAGTTAATTGGACTACTGATAACATTTCTTTTTGTTGTTTGTTGCCATGATGTTTTGCTTTTTTTTCTTCTTTCCATGCTATGGCAATGCCTGGAAGAAAAGAGACTCCTTTTGCCAAATGGATTATATACCCAAAGAGAGTTGAAGAATGAATCAATTGAAACAACAAAAACTCAGATCAGTAGTTAAAAGAAAATCTTGAAATGATGATCAGGCATCTCAGAATTTCAAAATGAGTCTTCACTTCTTTTCTGCATTCATTATTCTCTCAATAAAAACAGAAAAGGGACCATTTTGTTCTTTCAGTTATTGTCCAAATACTTCAAAAGGTCTAATTTATGAAAATTGGATGTGAAAACAGCTTGGGTCAAGAAATAAATTATTAACAATTTAATTAGAGGAAACTTCAAGTTTGATAAAATCAGAAATATTTAAAGAATTGATTACTCAACTGAAGATTTAAACTTCATTAACTATAAAAATACAATGATTTTTGAAAATGAAATCATGAATATGACTCATCTAATTTATGGCATTGTTTGACATATGAAACTATTTTTAATGAAAACAAGCAAAAAATTCAAATAAGTTGTAGCCTAGTAGTTCTGAGTATAGGCACATGTCCCACAGATAGGCAATTTGAATATTTTGGGAGGCAATTTGGAATTTGGGGGGAAAAAAGCAAAAAGAACTGAATTAAATCTTAACTGATTAAGTCTAAAAATCATCAGATGTATTCAAATATCTAATTTTTTAGTTGTTAAGATAGGGCATGGAATAAAAAAAGGTTAGGAACCTCTGCTGTAGCTTATCGTGTGAATCAAGTGAACTAACACATGCAAAGAATGGCTAGGTTTGTAGTTTTACTTTCCAAGAACCCAAGAAAGTAAATGATTTGACAAAATTTCTATCTGATTCCTGATGTTAACAAATGATTTAGTATTGAATAAGTTCATCAACATATCATATTTTTTTCTTTTTAAAATTGGTTAGTTGATGTATGTGAGTAGTAAGGAAATATTTATTTGTAGATATCAAAGGAAAACTTTCTGTTAGACCTCCCACCTCCACTGCTAAAAGCAACTGTGATAATAAACAAAAGACACCAAATGACATTGATTAAATGGCAATAGAGAAGCACCACAGAATACCTCCACTGGATAATTCCAGTTTGTCTGCAAAGTTTACCAGCTCCCCATTGAAGTGCAAAAGATTTTCTAAAAAAAAGAAATAAGCAATAAAGAAAACTGAAATCATAAACCACAAAAAGACACTGGAATTATGACAGAAAAGTAACACTTTTTTTCAATGTAAGAAAAAAAAAAGTCACTACTAAGTCTTACCCTATCATCAAGAATATTGACAGTAGCAGATGCTGACAATATGCAAAATTATGATTTTATCTCATGTCTACTTAAGGGACACAACTATCTGACAACGATATCCTGTTTTATACACTAATGAGTTTATCATTCCAATGATTTTAAAGGAATGCATTGTGGTAGTATATGATAATCATATAAGCCAAATCCTTGAAATCATAAACATCTCACCTAGATTTGTAATATAATAATGAACTGTATATAAGAACTTTATGCTTGGATTTTTGTAATTTGGAGTTATCATTATTTACATTTGGACTAATGTTTTCATCTTTGTTGTTATTATAACAATGTTTTAGCTGTTATGCCAAACAGCCATCTTCAGATGTCTGTTGATCTGTGTAACCTTCAAGGAATTTTAAGCTAAACCCTTTATTTAATCCATAAGGCTAGATTGTTTGCATTCCACAGTCTATGACTACAGATGTTTTATTCTGTTATTTTAATTTTTTTAGTTCTGCTCAGTTGTTGTTAGCCTTATTTCCACTGATTTTGAGTCTGTACTACCCAATGTAAGGACTGAACTCACAATTACTATGCTAGCAAATTCATAACTTAGTGCTTTAATCCACTAGGCAGTTGACCATTATGGTGTGTGTATATATATATATATATATATATATATATATATATATATATATATATATATATATATATATATATATATATATATATATATATATATATATATATATTATGAAATGGACAAAAGTCCAACAATATTTTAAGACATTTTTATGTTTATACATTCTTTTTATAGATACAAATATTTAAGTAAATGCTCTGTTTATAATAAACAGTATTAAACAACATTTACTGGCCTGAATGACCAAGAAATTTTCATAGAAAATATTCATCCTCCGACAGGATTCGAACCTGTCTCCTATACGGAACCGTCATTTAGCTTGACATGCCTTAACTGATTTGGCTACAGAGGAGTGTTCGGTTAGCAAGGTCGAATTTTCTGTCTTTAAACTTTAATCTTCCATGAATCTCTCACGTACATTCATATCTGCTCAAAGCGCATCCAAATGTAATCAAATGATGTCACATATTATGAAATGGACAAAGTCCGACAATTATTTTAAGACATTTTTATGTTTATACATTCTTTTTATAGATACAAATATTTAAGTAAATGCTCTGTTTATAATAAACAGTATTAAACAACATTTACCAGCCTGAATGTCCGAGAAATTTTCACAGAAGTAAAATTTTGAAAACTGAAAAGAAAGCTTTGATTATTTATGATTAATTATAGTAAATAAAGATCCCCAGAAAAATCTTTTGCTATCACGTTAGAACTTAATGAACCAAACAAAAATTTGATAATTTTCAACTTTCACTAACCTTCTTCCAATTCAACTTCTTTTTCAGCCTGAAGTTCAACTGCTTCATCCACAATCTGAAATTCAACAGTTCACATTCTCAATGCCTAAGTGCTAAATAAGTAAAACCAAATTTTGTGCATATTAATGATTCAAAATCATTGGAACCAATATTAAATTGTGACTACAATTAGGCAAAATATTAATCAGCAAAAATTATTTTTTAAAAAGTCCCAAGCATTTAAAAAAAAGACAGAATAACCTACTTTCTTCAAATCTGGAAACAATAATAATAATTAGCACCTAATTAAATCATATCAACAATTAATAACTGCAGTATTAAGTGAGCTAAAAGACAAAATATATTTATTTCATTTAAATTTTAAATGCTAGTCATCATATTAAAAAAACTAAATTCTTTTTTTATATTTATTTTTACTAGTATTTTTTTTCATCTTATTTCTGTCACTTTTTACATAAATCAGTATTTTATAGTTATTAAGCAAGCAGTATAGAAAGGAAAATTTGAGAGCCTAACTTATTGTGATGACACTTATGAATTTGGTTATGAAGTCTTCATAGACAAATTGATAATAATGATGTCTCATTAAGGCAGGTTCCAAACAACAAAGAGTGCAAGTTCAAATTTTACCAGAAGCTTATTCTCTATTTAGAATATAATGCTTTGGAAAGTCTTTGTCCAATGTTTTCAACAAGGCTTTAAAAGTTTTTTCATATACAGATTCCTTGGTCTTTCAAATATTCTTAAGTCATTTCTTATAAATATTACTTCAACCAAATCAAAAAAAGAAAAAAGACAAACATTTGTTTTGCAGCTGCTTCATTGAATCAGGCATTAATTTTTATACATGTATTTCCCAGTGTTGAAGACACACTGGCTTTCAAGATATGGCCTAAATTTGTCCATGTAAATTTTTAAAACAGCTTAACATTTTTCTGTTATTTGATATTGGCCTGAAAGCAATGTAATCATTGATCTTGAAGATGCAGGGTAAATTTTCAATGTTTATGTTAGAAAATATAATTTTTGTATCATTTTCAATGTTAAGAAACTGGATATATTAGAAGACACACCATATTGAATTTGTCTACAAATCCTATGGATATATGATTGTAAATAAATTCTTTGTGTACACTTTATTATATTTTTTTTACTTTTTCCCCTTCAAAATGAAATAAAAAATAATCTGATTATTTTCAGAGAGAAGCCTTACCACTTTTCTTTTACATTCTCCTTTCAAAACTTTGTGTTCTTGCTCTAATTCATGAAGGATAACCTTCATTAACAATGGACTCTTGGCACCTCTGATTACATTTACCAAGGATCCACCCTAGAATGAAAAACAAGAATTGGTATATCAAACTATTTTAAGGGAATAACAGTTACAATGTTGAATTCATCATAAACTTTGATTCAATTTAGGTATTATTGTATTTTTTCTATAATTCTTGGATAGCTTTCTTCCTCTAAAACAGATTTTATTAATAAGTACTAAATGGATGATTGAGAGTGAAAAAACTTTTACCTTCATATTTCAATTTGGGCCTTAGTTTTCAGAAATGCTGTATCATAACAATTTTTTCTTTGCTTTGCAGTAAAAAGTGAATTGTATATAATTAAGTGATTTTCAATCAAATTCTTCACCAACTGATTCATTGATAAAGTAGGTGCAACTATGGTACAGTCTATAGCCTCACTTTGGTGAGACTATGGTTTCCAATATATCTTCATTTGTTCATAATATTTTTATTTCTATAAACAATATATCTTTTAGCTCAGTGGCTGAATATACACAAGACAACAATTTCTTTTTTACTGGTCTTCTTCACAAGTTGAAAAGTTGAAAGGTTATAGTATTTCTGGACAAATTTTTGAACTGATTCAGTCTTTCTTATCAAATTGTGAAATGAAAATTGTCTTGAATGGCCACTCTTCCAGACGTTTTTGCATTAATGCAAGTGTCCACCATGGCTCTATCTTTGGACTTCCCGATGACATCAACCCAGTATCTATGCTGTTGTCTTAATAGTAAATTTGAGCAATTTGATAAGGTCAAATTGGCAGCTGATCTCAAAAATGATCTGCATTTTATTGTTAACTAGGGCAAAAAATGGCTTGTTAATTTTAACATCTCCAAAATAATACTGCTATCTTTTAATCATCTGAGAGAACCCATTTTACATTCTATCAGCATGGAGAGTGATCCATTGCACTTACTTGGTCTAACATTTTCCACTGACATGAAGTGGAAAGATTATATTGAATCACTTGCTAGGTCTACTGCGAGGAAAGTTAGTTCCCTGTGTCATGCTAGACAATTTTTTTTGCCAGATACATATTTATAAGTTATATATTTATAAGTTCATGATTTGAATATTGCTGCCAGATTTGCTCTGGTGCATCTGCTATGTATTTAGAGATTCTGGATAAAAAACCAAAGAAGAATCTGCAATGTTATTGGTTCTAACCTGGTATCTCGCCTTCAGTCACTTTCCCACCACTGTAATGTAGCTTCTCTGTGTCTTTTCTATAAATACTTTCATGGTAATTGTTCTGATGAACTTTCTTCTATGGTACCTAGGCTTTATGAATTTAAGCAGAGTACTAGATTGGTGGCAAGGTCTCATCCTTTTACAGTTGAAATGGCAAGAGATGTAACCATGTTCTATGCTAACAGTTTCTTCTGTCACACTTCTAACTTGTGGATCACTTCATTTTAAATGCAATGTCAACAGTTATCTACTGTCTTCTTAAGTTTACTTCTTTTCTTGTTCTCTCTTCTTAATAATGTTTTTTTTTCTCACATTCTCTAATACTCAGTAACTCCTTGTATCTTAATGGCTTTATTGCCTTGCTTGGGGTGAAATGATTAATCCTGACTTGAGGATTCATTTTTTCCTAGCTGTAAAAATATCTGATGATGGACAATAAATTGTGTTGGCAGGTCAGTCAAATTGATCAGTAAACATTACTTGAAATTCACAGGTAGAAAAAGAATACTCTTTGGGACAATTGGTGCAGCAATAAGCAAAGGATTGATGAATAAAAAATGGTACGAAAACTAGATGGCAAGTTCAATCTCTAACAAGAAAAGGGTAAAAAAAATTATATCCCTATGAATGAAATGAAAGGTTCCATTTCAAAATTATCAATATGATATACAAAATGAGTCAGAGAGAGAATTGATCAAAATATTGTGGCTGAAGCAAAAAAGACAAAAATGCAGATGCTAGTAATTCAGGCAATAATTTTTGCATTGAAAATTATTGGCAACAGAAAAAGATTGAGAGTTCTGTTCCAAAAATGGACAATCAACCATAATAGGAAAATAGTTTTTCTGCTATTTCAACAATGAATGCTTATTTGAAAGATGAAATCCAAATTGATGAACTGCAAAAATTGATGACCATATCTGTATTGTTATTAGAGACAGTATTTAGAATAAATGACTTTTTACTAATAAGTAAAGAAAGTAGGATTTTCTTTGGAATGTGATCAGTTTGGTAGAAAAATCTCAATCCTATTAGTTTCTATTTATTTAGGTGAGAACTCTAAGAGAAATAAATGACACTATCTACTTTTATCATTCATGTTCCAAACATTTAATCCAACCTAACATCTATGAGTCTCATCACATTTTTGGGTTTTAAAACAAAGCTATATTTTAGAAAATGAACCTTTCAGGTATGTATTTTAAGAAGGAAAGTTGTCTATTGTAAGTCATCTACTGCAGTACAGATATGCTAAATGGACCACATATGTTTATACATATATATAAATTTGATCTCATTTCATTTTTATTTTTCTGAAAATAACCTAGAATATTCAACTGCTGGCCTACGACATACAATTTCTCTTCTTACTCAGGTTAGTTCAACCTGGACAGCTGTGTGCATGTGTACAGATTGTTTTGCTGCTATTTTGACTGCAGATCAATGGTTCTCACTTAAACAAGAGTTTAGAGATGAACCACACAGAGCAGAGATATGTTGAAGTTGCCGACTGGCACATTTACAAGACTTTACATTTTTGTTACAGGATAATCTTTACCAAAATCAATATTAGCATGAAAATCTGCCCAAATGAAACTGCATAGTAGATTAAGGAAAGGTAAAAGGTTATAAAAGTCATTTATACTTTCTTGAGTCATCATCATCATCATGAGAATGACGGTGATCATCATCATGAGAATGACGGTGATCATCATCATGAGAATGATGGTGATCATCATCATTTCAGAGTTGCTTACTTTGTCTCTCTGCTGTCAGTGTCTGGAAACATACTAGCAATAACATCTCAAAATCATAGGGAAAATAAAAATATCCACATATATATATATTGGATTATTGCAAAGGGGACTTTCTCTGCATCACCCTAATCCTTTTCTACCCTGTTTACTTTTATGATATATCTAACAAGCTCCTGGTGAAGATGACTGATGACAGGACCCAATACAGGGGGGATAAATTCATAACCTTTGTTTGAATGTTGTTTGCATGAAAATCATTACAAGTGACTATAGCCAAAGTTAGAACACACAGCTCACTAAATGTGAATAACACAAGAATTTGCAAAAATATTGAATATTATATTGAATTTCTTATACTCACAGCAATTAAAAGAAAGCAAGGTTCACATTTGCCACGGTATTTTTCCAAAGCTTCAATCCGATCAGCTTTGGCCTAAGAATAAAAAAGAAATGATTCACAAATTAATTTTTGTGCTTTATTCAATGAACTGGTTGTTTATTTTGGATTGGTTCATACATTAACAATCACACACAAAATTTGGTTTGAAGAGCCAGCAAAAACAATGAACCTCTTCAAAAACAGAAATAAAGTTGCAACTAACTTTGATGAAGGTCAAAAAGCCAAGTTATAAAGCATCAGTTGCCAAAAATTAATTTCTTTTTGATTTCTTGATATTTAACCAATATTTCATTTTGAACTACTCACCTGAAGACAATATAGACATATTTATATACATGATATCAGTTTAACGCATCAGGTTTTTTAAATAAGGATTTACAAATCTAAAAATTAATCTGATTTCATCATTTGATGAACTGAAAAATTTGCTGTGCTTGATAAATGATGAGATTAAATACACTGAATTCACTGGTCTTGAACCACAAAGCAGAATGAAATGTCTTTTTTGATTGTAATTAAATTTTCTCTCTGAAGTTATTAAGTTATTATTATTTTCTCTTTACAGGTTTCATCTTTATCAAAGAGAGTATCTAACAAGCAATAGGGGTCTGATTTTATTGACTTTCATGAATGCCATTCTTGTTTATATTTTCAAAACATAATTAATCAGGTATCATCTCATTTTTTCCATGATAGAAAGAAATGAATTGAGATTGCTACCTAAGTTATTGATATCCTATTATTCTACACAGGAGGTTGAAGCATTTAGGACATTTAGCATAATCAAAAATTGGTAAAGTTTAACCTTACTTGCAAAAAAGTAGTGTTTTAAAAGGATGTTTTTTTTCTTCACACCACTATTATTGTATACTCTCTCAACTCCATTGGCAATGTTTATTGTTTGAGAGAACCATATTTAGAATTTTAATAAAACCCAAACATATGAAAGTGGATTTATACATTTTCTTTGTTCTTGAGAATTAACAACAAAAATATTAAACATAATTTATTAGATTGTTTATTTACAAGAATAATTTTATATATACAAATTTAAAAACTTACAAAATTATATAGATATGTGAACCAACTATAGTGAAATATTTATTATTTACCACTTTATAAAGAAATAAATATGAAAACAATTTTTATGAAAAAATTTATAAAAATGTTTGTGAACAAGAAAATAAACACATAACAACAAGTAACTGTAATTATAAATTTTGAAAAATTGCATTTTCCGAGCATTTCTTTTATTTACTCTTGCCAATTTTTATAAATCTTATAATAAAAAGATTTGTTTTCATAGTTATTTCTTTACAAAATGGTGAATAATAAATCTTTATGAAGTGTAAAATATTGCATTGTAGTTGGTTCACATATTTTTATGATCTTATAAATACAGAATTAATATTGTAAATAAACAATCTAACAACTAAATAGTTGGTCACATTTTTGTTGTTATTAATAATGCAACAAATTACACAGCACTTATTTTGATTAACAGCACTACTTAGAATGATTACTTCTCTACTTATGTAAATGTAAAACCAGTCTTAGTTGGTAACTAGCAGCATGGCTCGGCGTTGCCTGTACTTGATTAAAAAATCATATGACTCATACAGCAATTGCTATCACTTGACTTAAAATATTTTTGCCCTTCCTTGCCTTTAAAGGAGTGCCCTTTGCCATGCTGATGTTGCTACATGCCTTACTTCTTGCCTATCTCACACTGCAATTTTTTTCTAAGCTCTATAGTAAACATTAAATCTGTTATGAAAAAAGAACTAAACAAAATGAGCACAAAACAATCAGCTTTAAAAAAGGACTTGTAACTGGAAAAACCGAATGAAAAAAGAATGTTAACAACAAATACTTTTTCACACCCAACTCAGTTCTGTGGAATCAGAATCAACATTGAGTTTAAGCAAGCGAATGAGCCAATTGGAGTAAAGTGCCATGCAGATCTAAATTTTTCCCACTTGTGATGAATGCAGCTATCGTTTTTTTTTGCATGCTAGCATGCTAGTTAACATTCGTGTCAGTCAGCTGTTGGCTCTCACACTGGCCAATAGAATCTTCCTGCCTATTCATGGCAGCCAGCTATAGGCTCTCACTCTGGCCAGTAGAAAATGGCTGCAAACTACATGAAAACTGTTGTAGAAGCATGAAAAAATCGATTATTTCCACTATCAATGGGAGTTGGGAAATGCAAAGTCAGTCTTGGCCTTCTCGCTAACTTGGAGCATGTGCATGTAAATTTTGGTGCAAATCTGTTGAAAATTGCGGCTGTGCATTTGTTACACACACACACACACACACATCCTGCCTTTTATAGATAGAGATAATATGTGACAGATGCCTATAAAAAGGCACTATTGATTTGTTTAAATAATTCACTGACTATTGTTTGCATCATGTGGCAATAATTGTAAGTAAACTGATACATTAAATTAAGTAATCAAGTAAACATTTTATAACTTTTTAAAACAATAAACATTACCAAGGGAGTTGAGGGAATATATAGTAATAGTGGTGTCAATAAAAAAAAACTCTCCTATTGACACACTGTTTTTTGGGAGTTATTTAGATTAAACTTGCTCCAAAATCTCTAATTATTCATCTGATTTTCTGAAAAAATTGTGCATGTTTCTTTTTCTTTCACTAATAAATTTAATTCTTTATGAAATAACAATATAATTAAGCAATTTTATTCAAGTTACCTCTCTAATTCCAATTATTTTTTCTTTCAATATTTGCAGTACAATTTAAATACCTTAGTGTCTGGATCAGTTGCAGCAAATTTAATCTAAGAGATAAGAAAGTTGAACACAAGGTATTTTGCACTAGGGATACTTTTGTTCAGCATCAGAAGATGCAATGAAATCAAAATGTTGACCTGAAAACTCAAGTCTTGTACTTAAATAAAGTCATCAGATCTAGACTCTCATATGGCATTCAAATCATTCAGAAATGTATAAACTATCATCTATATGCAATTATTTCATCAGGTCACTGGTTAAAAAGAGATTCAAATGAATTCATAAATCTTAAGGAAGATGATCCTTTATCAGTCCCTATAGACTGGTACTACAAAACTGCAAATAAAGAGCTATACCAAATAACAAAAACTACATCACTTGAACACTTCCAACAGCAGCAACAAAAATAGGTGGCCATGTAACTAGAAGAGAAAATAATTATATAATCACGTTATTAACATACCACACTAACAAAAACAAAAATTTTAGAAAGAAAATGTCATCAATATTAGAAAGTGCTACAACTTAAGAAGTTAAATTTCCTGGAAAAAACTGTTTTTTAATGAAAAGATTTTATAAATTTCAACCAACTGCAACACCAACCGTTTGATCAATAAACGCTGAATGTTTCCTCTATTTTACCATGTGGACATTCCATGCTACTTCAGGTAATAGTTTAGGAAGGACCCCCCTCATCTATACTGGAAAGATTTTTAAAAATTTCAAACAAAGGCAGTACTGGCTGCTCAATCAATGAATGACAAATATTTCTTTGTAGGGAAATGGCTAATTACCATTACCAGTGCTGTTAATATTTAGATAGTAAATTTTGCATGTTCCACTGTAAACAAATATCTTTAATCTACTGCTTTCACCAGGAACTGATTGCCTGGAAGTCACTGTCACAATCAGGACAGAAGGCTGGTTCATCTGTCACTTAAAATTCTGTCATAATGATGAAAACAAAAACAAAAAATAAGTAGAGAAGTAAGTTTAAATTGTATTACAGTCAGTGGCGTAGCTAGAGTAAACGTCACCCGGGGTGGTCCGCTCAAATGCCACCCCAATGAACCCGATTCACCCTATGCTGAATGGTTAGCTATAGCTAAATTTTCATACTTGCTCTACCTCTACTTTACTCTACTGACTGGTACGTTACTGTTTACATGTATGATCCAAGACAAAATCCAATACCACAAAATAATCAGTTCAAATCAAAAGATTTTTAAAATGCAACTGTTCACTTTCAGAACAACTAAATACAAAACACGGCAATACACAAAAGAATGACATTTGATACTATGGTCTTAGAATGAATGTTTTCTTGTTTTCATTGTGGCAAACTGGTCAATGACATCGTCAAAATCTGTTTGTCTTGTAAGCTCATTTTCAATGGACAGCACAGCCAGATCCGACAGTCTCAACTGGCTCATGGTTGACGTAATTTTCTGTTGCTAATTTTCCAGTGTCCAATTTTCCGTTGCATCATTTTCTGGGTACCATTTAGTTATCAATGATGTTTGAAAGTATTTTTCTTGACAAAAATGTTTTATTTAATTTTTAAGCATTTTTCGGAACATTGTAAATCAACTGCATTCTTTTAAAGGTTACCTAGAGAATTTATGCAAAGTTTATTTTTTTGTTTTTCTTTATACAAGTAAAATAAATTTAAATCATATTTTGATGTTATTATGATTTTAGTTTTAGTGATAATTTAAAAACAATAAATATTTATCATTAGTACCAATAATGGAAAATTAAGTTAAAAATTTAAAAGAATCGTTTTTGGAATCAGAAAATAGGCACAAATTTTTCCGATACCGTTTCCGATACCCCAAAAAGTTCCGATTTTTCCGATTCTCGATTCCGATTAATCGTCCCAACACTAGTAGATATATTCAAAAGTATATCGCTCACTCAATGGAAAACTGTATCTCAGCGAATTGATACACAGGCAAGACTGAAATTGTTGCACTTTTTGGCTTCAGATTTCGCTTTGTTGTTATTAATGATGCAGAGTTAAAACACCATATCATCCGATAAAATGTTACAACAATGTCTCTTGTTAGTAACCAAGATTGTAGCAACTGAAACACATGAAAGCTGAAAACATTGCTATTTTTCCTACTCACAAATTTCCTGACAATTTATTAGAAAATTTCTGACGGGGGGACAAAACTGGGGAGTCATAAATTATTTCTAGGGGGTCATATGCCCGCCTGCGAAACCCTGTGTCTCCACCACTGTTTTCAGACTATTTTTGGCACCTTAGCCTGGTTGAAAAATTTTGTTGGGGATGACATTGTGTCACCCCTCCTGTGCTGGCACCCGGGGTGGTCTGCCCCTCCTTAGCTACGGCACTGATTACAGTCAGGTTGATCTTTAGACGCAAAAGGTATTTGGCTTATTTTCTATATTCAGAGTACTTTTTTTCATGAACAGATTAGAAACTTTGTTTTAGGCATCCAAGCTGCTGCTGTTATTGCTCTTAAAGAAGAACCATAGACTAAATCAAATTTTGAACTTACAGTGACAAAATGAAGCAAATCATCAGTCACTTGATTCTTTATCCGTTTGAAGTTGCTAACCATTGAGATGCATGGGCCAGCCCATTCTTGATAAATGTCCACCACTATTGGGAATAGAAAAATAACACATTTAGTTTAACAAAATGTCAATGACACTTACAATGAAACTATATTTACACACTTCATGACTGCCAAAGAAGGAAATGCTTCCAAATTAATTCTGTTCAATTTTAGTGTTTGAAAGCATTAAAATATGGTTCTTTCTTGATTGTTAAAGTTAAGCAATACTTTAACTGGTCAATACCAGTAGTCAGGTGAGCATTTGAGAAATCAAGATGGTCTACATGAAAATGGGAAGAATAAGTGATTTTAAACACAAAACAGGTACTGGTCACTCACTAATGTAATACTATAAATTTCAAACAGCTTGAGGATGTTAAGGGTTTGACGTTCTCTTTTTATTTTGATAATGAGTATCCACATAATTTCTTGTGATCACAAAAATTTTAAAAAAAAAGTAAAAAGAAAAAAAAGAATCTTTGTTGTTTATATTTGTGAATGATCCTAATTGGAGTTTTGGTAAAATTTAACTCAAAAGAAATTGTGATCAAAACAAGGAAATCTGTTCAAAATTCCTTGAGGATGACTATGTGACATTTGTTTAGAGAATGTCTGTGAACACACTAAAATTACTTAAGTAAAGCAAGAAAGATATTAGTATAAATAATCCATAGAATAATAAAACATACTTCAGACAACAGTAGAAGTACTAGAGAGTACATCAGTTGAAACTTAATTAAAATAACAAAGATGATAAGATGGATCTGAATAATTCATAGATGAATAAGTTTATATGAATACAAATGATTATGATGATGATGATGATCATCATCTAAAAAGAAATATGGAAGTTGATAAATGTTGCCCAAATTCAACCTGAACTTGGGCAATTTTGAGAAATTCAATTCCTTAAGGTATTTCACAACATATGAATAATGATTTAAACGTATTACCACTCCAAATAAAGACAAGAAAATTTTTCTGAATTAAAAGACATTGTGTTTGGTAATCCAGAGCTAATTCATCAAATAGTTAAAGAAAGATTCTCTCAATATCATGAATAATAAAAAAATAACTCATTATGACAGAAAAAATACAATATAGCATTCTAAAAGGTAAAAATGTTTATTTAAATTGTGATTTTGATGAGAACTGGAACAAAAGCATGATAAACCTGTGAGCCCTTCTTTAGCCAACATTTGTTCCCAATCTTCCTGTGTTTCCAGATCCTGCTGGAGTGATACTTCTCCCTTGCGTCGTGCCATCTGAGCCTTCAGCTGACTCTTCTTTGCTTCTTCAGAAAGTATTGACTACAAATAAGTAAAATATTAAAAATAGCTTGACTTCTTTAAATAGTCAGTTCTTTTGTCCCATTTTTTTTGTTCCCATTGAAACATATTTTCTGTTCTGTTCTAAAAGTCAGTAAATAAAAAGTAGTAAATAAGTCTTATTTACCACAAAACTATAGTTAAACAATAAGGACACTGAATGGACAAGTGGACATATAAATTATATATATGAAATGAATAAATATATAAATGAAAATCAATTTATTTTTATTGGTAAAGCAAGAAAAAGAGTGATATAAATGTGCAGTGGGGATAATTGAATTATTGTGAAAATAGTAGTCAGGCTTTCCCCTTTGGATGGCATGAGAACATGATAATGTGTGTGTGTGTGATTATGTATGTACATGTGCATGTGTTGCATAATCAAATCTAAAACAAAAAAATTAATATTATTTAAATTTAAAAACAGGAAATTTTTCATTATCTCTGTTAATGCACTTAATTCAATGGTGACTATTAGTTACATAGATTGAACATTTTACAGTGAAAATTCCAGATCAATCTTATTGATCTGTTCTTACATACATGCAGACACACACACACACACACACACAAATTTTGCAAGAATTTCTTTAAATATGTTTTAATGAATTCAACTGACGAATACAGTATTTATTCCAGTTTGAGTATAAGTTGTGAAACATCCACATCAAATTTACAAAGAAAGTGCCCAAAGTTCATGATGTTTTTATTTGAGTACTTTCAACTATTGCCAGTTATTATCAGAAATGTTAATGTTAACAGTTACACTAGGGACAAGTTTTTATGAAACACTATAATTTTCATCTAAATATATATGTATCAGATACAAATGCTATTATGTATAGAATGTTATATATAAAATAAATGATATACGTTTTAAAAATTAGTTCATAAGGAGCCACAAAAACAATAAAATCCTTTTCTTTGTTGTTGTAGTAAACTCTAACAGTCATAATTTTACTACTTCACTATGAAGGGTTGCTGGAAAATACTTAACTGGAGCCACTTTCCAAACTGATAAAACATGAGAAATTTTTGGAAGGTTTTCTTGGGCAGGTCATGAAACTTTCAGTACCATCTCGTACTTTTACCATTATCTCCTAATTGTCTTGAATCACCATTCAAAAACCCATTACAATTATCCCAAGATATCTTACTAGCTACACCCAAGTGGTTATAAAATACATTCAAATTTTTCTCAGTTGACTCTATTCCTCACACACTATATTATTCTGTGCTTTTTGGCAACAACAAATTATATATCATGAAATATGACAACTTGACAAGGAAAAACAATGTATTTGTCAGAGGAATATCATGTACATCAGTTAGCACAAACTCAATATAAATGTTTGCTTTTAATTTCAATTGTAAAAATGGCACAACTTAAAAATTGCTTTAATTCAAGCCATATATAAAAAAATTATAAACAATTTTAAAATAAACTGATAAATAAAAGATTTTTCATAAATAAACTGATAAATAAAAGATTTTTCATTACTACAATTCATCTATACAATAAATGCAAATGTCAGTGTGTCACTGTATCACACTTTCTCAGCTTTACTCTTAAAGTCTGTAGCCCAACATATACCATTTTGGAACCAGGCCAACTCTGTGAGTAAATTAAAAACAAACTTTATGTTTGATCTGTTGTAATTGGCTGTCATCATTTTGTGATAAAATCTAACACAAATTTTCATCCAAACACAATAAAGCTTTTTTAATGTTTTGTTTCTGTTTTAAAACAAAAAGAAAGTGAGAATAAGAACAAAAAATAAACTTGTGTTGAATTTGTTGAGAAAGTAGAATAAAAAGTGCAAAAATAACTAAATCCAATATTAGTTTATCTGTTGTATTTGCCAGAGAATTTTCATGGATATTTTGTTGAATATTTTCTATTTTTTTTTTACTCTGGCAATAAATTTCATAAAATTCAAGTTGTTATAAATGTATCTTATTTTCTAAAATGTGAATTTAATTCAAAATATGTTGAAAATTGAAGATTAATAGTAAAAAAAAATTGTTTTTTTTTTTTGTCACTGTTCATTGAAAAATGAAATTGGACTGCAGTGCCCAGGTGCACCAACACAAAAAAATATATATATATATATATATATATATATATATATATATTAATGACAGCCAATCACATATATATATACAACACAGATGAAACAAACACCCATACATTTTAAAGTACATTTACAATTGTTAGTGTGTGGCAGCATTCATTTTACACAGGGCCCAAAGATAAAAGATGCTCCTCAGGCACTTTGTTCTGGAACTAATACATCTAAAACATTGCCCTGAGTTTAACAGATCAAGTGCCACTTGAGATGCATACTGTCCTTTATTATGTTTTCTGCTCTGCTGCAACAGTGAGAATTAGAAATGTCCTCCAAGGAGGGCAGTGAGTGGATGATTATTTTCTGAGCAACCTGGAAGTATGTGTAGGTAGGAAAAACTGCAAAGGTGACAATATGTAGAACATACTGGATTTTAATTTGGGACAGAAACAGCACACTCTTATGTATATATAATATAAATAGAGAAATGGATATACAGAGATATGCATGCTCACACACACACATATACACATACACACAGTGAATTTACATATACCTTCATGCATGTATCATGTGCATATATATATAAAGGGCATGCCAGATATTTGAGAACACATCTTTAGCAGGCCATAAATTAAAAACAAATTAGTTTAATGTTATGCAATATATATAAAATGTTAACATTCTGTCAGCTGAAAATGATAAAGTGTGCTTGTGGCACAAACTTCCAATCAAATCAACTCTTCTTGAAAGTACCAGGTGAACAGGAGGAATGACAGGTAGCTTTACACAGACCCCATGGTGATGTACCATCTGTGATGATCCTGAGGGTCATGAATAACAAGTGCAATGTTATGCTCCTTTCTCAAGGCTTCAGACTAAATGCCACCACTTACATCGAGATGTTGGTCAGGCTTTGGAATGAGGAATAAATATCTTTGAGAATTTTTATGATTATGTCACTCCCACAAGCATAACTCCCTTGCTTCTCTGATTTAAATCATCTAGACTACTGTATCTGGGGTGTTGTCAAGAGATACCAAACAGTGACTTCACAATACCAAGGACTCATTGAAGGCTACTATCTGGGATATGATGGCCAATATAAATAAGAACGACCTAATACAAGTATGAAGTCAGTTCTGAAGCCACATGAAGATTGTATCTGAGGCTGAGAACAGTTTTATTGAATGACCTTTTACTGTTTTTTAAGTTAAATATGTGTTCAAATTTTCTTAAGAATATACTGACTTTTTCTGTTGCATTTGTTCTCAGTTACCTGGCACACTCTGTATATGAGGGGCATATGGAAAAGTCCTTAACTCAAAACACTTCACAAAATCAATATTTCAATGACTAAAAATCAAAATGTTTTTTACAGGAGTAACAAAAATTGAGAAATAATCTGCCAGATGTGAGACATCATCTATATTTCAGGCTTCTAAGTCAGTCATTTTTCTTGAATTTTCTTTTCAGTGCCCCCTTTATATGTACATGCATTTATGCATATCTATAAATATACACATTTATGTATTCAATACACAAGCAAGCAAATAAATGCAGACAAGTATGTATGCATAAATAAACTTTTCAATAAAATACACAAATAGAAATACATCAACTGAATAATGAGTAAACATTTTACCTACCTAAACATAAGCATAGTATCAGAGCACATGTACATATTCATAAAAGCTTTCAATATATATATATATATATATATATATATATATATATATAGGAATGATAAAATGGAAAAACCCTATATGACATGTTTCATCCTTCAAAAGGAATTCTTTAGATTAAACAATTTTTGATTGGTGGGTGCATATGTAGAAAGAAGGAACAAAATAAAAGCAAATGTTTATAATTATATGCCAATGGAAACACTGAAAATGCAGGGTTGCTTAGCTTTAGATTTAAATTTTAGATTTCTAGCATCCAATTTATCTAGATGTACAACATAGTCATTCTCATTCAACTTCCTACTGCTTCTATTTTTGTTTTAATCCAGTAGCATGCAGAATGGGGGCACAGAGAGTGTGATAGCCCCAGGCATCAATATCGGGAGGACATCCAATCACAGAATGAAATAAAAATTTAGTTTTTAAAATCTGAAAATTGTTACTGTTAACTTTGTTGTACAAGTGCCCTACAGTCACATCTGGTATGAATGTGAATCCATGTTTTAATAAACAAGACCAGAGTAGAAAAGTGTTTATTTCATGTTTGATCTGTTTTTACATATTTGAAATATCTTCCTTTCTCACATTTCTCAGTACTAGGCCCTATAGGAACCCCTTAGGGGCATACAATCAAGGAGTTGACCCCAGGCATCCCCAAATCTCTGCACACTACTGTTTTAATCACTGTTGTTTTTAAATATCTCACATTGTATAAGTAGTAGTTTTGTTGAGAAAGGTGATATGCTGTATGAACCTGGATGCAAATTTACAATGAAAGTCCTTTTGAAGGGTGAAATACATCACATAGGATTTTAGTTTGATATATAGAGTTCATATATCACATTCTCCCATATATTTGGCACATAAGCATAGACCTGTAAACACAAACATGTCAGCACACTCATAGACTTATGAATAGATACATATATACAGAGAATTTTATATAATTTCAAACCTGCTAAAACATATTGCTTGCTATATACACAATTTCAAGCACACACACATACACAAATAAATTACATAAATATGTGAATTTGAAAACATCTAAGCACTCACAAGCACATATATGCAAATGTACATAATCACACATGTGTACTAAATACTAAAACTTATAATTTAGTAAATTGTGAAGGATTCACACAGCCAATTGTGACAAATCACTAAATGTCTTCATGCATTG